GTTATTTCAAATTTAAGCTATTGTGAATAATACTACTATGACTATTCATGTACAAGTTTTGTGTGAACTTGTGTTTTCAAATCTCTCATACCTAAGAGGAATTTTCAAATCTCTCATACATAAGAGGAATTGGTAAAAAGCTCTTTGACTTATTATCTTATTGAATGTGTTGATATTTATGCTTATGCACAAGAATGATCATTCCATAATTTTCCTGTTAGTATCTTTGTTAGGTTTATTTCCAAGATTACATTTTTTAAAGTGATATGGGAGATATTATCCTCTTTAATAACTTGCGGAATAGCTTTTTGTAAGTAGGAGGATTTACATGTAACACCATCTGGATCTGGTATTTTTTCCAGGAGAGTTTTTAATTGTAGGTACATTTTCTATTACATATATTAGCCAATTATCTTTTATGTCTCTATTTGGGTTAATTTGAGAAAATTTTAATTTTTTGAAGAGTCTGTTAAATTGAAAACATATTTTTCACTCTGTTGGCAAGACTTTCTTTGAAAAATATTACTTTATTATCTTCTTGATGTTTATAGCTTCCATAACATGATCTTATTTTTGATTTACAGTGGTAATTTTTTTTCCTGGTTAGTATTCTTAGGTATTTCAACCATGAACCAGTTGAGACAAATCCCATTATTTACATAGATTTGTTAATATACATACTTAGTGATTTTCAAATAGTTGAAAGGGGAAAAAAAACTAAACTAAAATAAAAGGCCTCTGAGGGTTGAAACCCCAGACTTTGCTAGAGGCCAACACTCAAAACACTCAGCTCAGATTCATTTTTTGAGCTTGGAGGAGAAGTCTGTTGGGTGGTGATTCAGATGTCTCAGAATGGTGCAAGACAGAACTGCAGCTTCTGAGGCCATGAGAACGGTACTGCAAATCAGAGAATGTGTAAATTGTGTTTAATTGAAGTTACTAGGAAAAAAAAATCTTTGCCAGGATGAAACAGTCAGGCTGAGACAATAGAACAGAAAGCAAACAGGAGGGAACTTGCCTGCCTGTTCTCCTTCTCCTTCCTTCCCATCTCCTCTCTTGCTCTCTACTGGCAGAATGTAACACAGCCTAACCACAAAGATGAGTTCCAGCCGCAGCATCACATGGTAGGGTCAGGAAGGGTGGGCTGGAAGTTGATTGAAAAAGAGTATAATAATGGCATTTTAGAAGAGGATTTCTATGGGTTTATCAGTTTTCTAATTTTATCCTTTTATAAGCACTTTTGACATTGTTGAATAACTGCTCTCTGCTCTCTAATTTTACTGATACCTATGCTTTATCATTTCAATTCTTCCATACTTCTTAGGTTCTCCGCCCCCCAGTAATCTCTTGAATGGATGCTTAGCTGTTTTCGCCTTTTCTTCATTTCCATCACATAGGTTTCAAGTTAAAATTTCCCTCTAAACTTGGCTTTGTTTTCCTCTTGATAAACTTATATGAAAATCTTTATTCAGTTCAGAATATTTTCTTTATAGATTGATCTATAAGCTATTTACCTTTGGATTACCCTAGTATAAATATATTTCCAAATAAGCTAGAGTCCTTGATTTATGTCTTTGCCATTAATATGTGTATATAATGAGTATAAATATGATGTGTTATAACACTGTATATGTATACATTTTTATAAGCATGGATATATACATATAATACATTCTATTATATTCTCTGGATTGGAATGTGATTAGGAACCCAATTACCTGAGTCGTCAGCACTGCCTCCTAGGTTCTGTATGGAACTCAAAGTCGGGTGCTCTGGTTTGTGAACCAGGTACCGTAAATATGAGGCTAACTATCTTTACATTTGGGGTTAAATCTTTTTTATGTTTGTGCTGCATGATCTGTTTCTTCTTCTCTTCTGTGAAGTCGTTTCAACTAGTTTTTCAGCATTCTGTTTCTCTCCTGCAAAAACAATTTATTAAACATTCTCTGCATGGTTATGTAACATGTATTCCTAAATTACAGAAGTTGATTAAGTTAGCACTTTCCACACAGGAAACCTGATTCCATTTGACATTTCTTGCTTTCATGTTTTGTTAGCTGCATATGCATTGCTGTTTCCACCACCAATGCCAGAATCATCATTTCGTGCTTCTCAATTCTTGTAGATCATGGCATTATAATTCCTAACACACAGCCTTTATAGTTCTCCCATGCTTTCAAAACAGAAGTTCTTGTTCAGAAACATTTTGTCCTAGCTGTTCTCAGCAGGAGATTGGCTTGAATCACTTAATACACCACTACTGACATTGGAACTCCTCCATGCAAAATTTTAAAAGTTTATATGGTTGATTTAACAATTTTCCCCTTATTTGCTTCTGAATTCTGATTCAACCGGGCCACGCTATTTTACCATTACTTAAATTTTGTGTTTCGCTATGGTACTTTTACAGTTTAATGTTTATATTAAAGTTTTTTTATCCGCTTGGAATTTATCTATTGAGATTTCAAACACTTGAAATTTCCTTTTGTATAGAAAATTCATTACTTTCTATTTTTAATTTTTGCTTCATTGTTTTTCTGTTATGTTGGCTTTATTTAGACTTGTTTTACAATATTCTGCATACACATAAGATATATGATTTGATGTTATATGTATGTCCTGGTGAAACCATAATCACAATTTAAACAATAAAAATCTTGTGTCATTTTATAAAAATCTAGAATCCCTCATCATTTCTACCTCCAGCTATCACCAAACAACGAATTTGTCATTAAAACTTGTAGCTTTGCAACGTGTAGAAAAACATCTTCCAATTTGTGGCTTGCCTAATTTTATTAAGCTGGAAGCCTTCTGTAACGATGGCTCTGCTCGGTGAATAAATTCATGCCTTAACAATGAAGGCAATTCGTTTATATCCTTTTGTGTCCTTCCTCCATATTAGGTTTCTGCCTTGCGATGACATAGCAGAAAAAGTCAATATTGAAAGCCAAGCCTTGACCTTGGACTTCCAGGTTCTAGAACTCTGAAACATAAATTTCTTTGGTTATAAATCACCTAGTCTCTGTGGTATTTTGTTATAATAGACCAGATTTTTTTTTTTTGTCTGTGTTAATTTTTGTGACTACAGCAAAAACACCTCAAAATACAAAAGAAATATTTGGTTCACAGATTCATTCCAAGATGAAGCAACCTCAACGACTTGGGAACTGAATAGTACCAGGGAGGGATCACCTAGTGAGTCACCCAGCAGACTGACTGGATTCAGTTTAACTTCAACAATGCTCCCCAAAGAACTATTTTCCACCCTCTGTGACCCAATGACTCCTAAACACTCTACATCCACCTTCTGAACACTAATTGGATTACATTTCCACCCTGTTACAATTACTTTGGGGTTTAAATTCCTTCAGAGTTCAGTCAAGTCCTGCTCAAATGACAGCCAAGAGTGTATTTCTTCTTGCTCTATTATTTCTTATTTCACTATTTCATCATTTGCTCTTATTTTTTCTATTTCTTTGAATTTATTTCCAATCTTATCGCAGTCTTTCTGTATTTAACAAAGAGCTCAGACTTGTAAACACACATTGACGTTCGTTTTGAAACGATTCTTTTATCTTCTTGCTTGTGCTTTTTCAATTTCTTTAAATACAGTATACATTTTTTCATTTTCGATAATCCCAATATGTGCAGACTTTGTGTATCCAAATACCAAAGATATTGTTTGAACATCAACTCTTCTCAGTGTGGCTAGTTTGGACTGGATGAGACACATGAGACATGGGAACCTGGTACCAAATCTCACTGTCATGACCAACTGCACAATTTTCAACTCCCCCCAAAAACAGAGATGGCCAAGTTTCACCCATTTCTCCCTGCCGTTGCAGAATATCGCTCCCTAGCCCTGGCCCACAGGAGGGCCCTTCCAGATGCTCAGCGCCACCCGCGGTGGGGCCTCCAAGCAGGCCACCGGTCCTATGTGGGCACAGCTTCATTTTCCTCGGGTCTTTGAAGTCGCACCGCCTGGGACCTTGGTCTACGCGGTGTGGCCCTCGGACCTCAAGGGGCTGTGAGAAACGCCGACGGGGTTTTCTGTTCATTTTGTTTAGGTGTTCTCTTCAATCGTAATGTACTTTTTCTGTTTTCTGCATTCAGAAAAAAAGAATAAATACCATCTGGGGAGCAAATGCGCTTAAACCTGTTTACATAGGGGAAATAAGGAGGCGAGGACTATCTCGTCAGCTCGTAGGTCGGGAGGGTGTCTCGACTACAAACTCCACGCTTCTGAGGAGGAAATGCGTCCACGCTGCCGCGCCCCAGTTTCTTCCCAGGCTCCCGAGTCTACCGCCCCTCCTTCAGGTTCCCCCGCCCCGAAGCGCGGCCTCACCGGCGCGGTCCCCGCCAGCCAGCCAGCTAGAAAACCAGCCGCCCCGAAAACCCGGAGTAACGGACTGCGCCCGAAGCCGCATCTCCACAGGGCCAAGGAACCTGCGAGCGCGCATGCGGCTGGCGGGGGTCGGGTGGGGCGCAGGCGCACTGGCGGGCGCAGGGCCGCGCGGGGCCTCGGGCGGCTGGGAGGCTGCGCGCGCGGGCTGACGTGTGCGGCGGCTGAGGAGGCGGCGGGGCGCCGGGCGGGGAGGGGGCGAGGCGGGGGGCTGAACCCGGAAGTGGGGAGGCGCTCGAGCGAGCGCGCCCGGAGTGGAGCTCGGCGGCCGGCAGCCAGCGGGGGAGCCCTGTGTTCCCGGTAATGGACGTGCGGGGCTTTAGCCCACGGGTGCCTGGGTGGGGAGGGTGGCGGGTTCGCCGGCACCCGGGGCGTCCTCCGCCTGGCCGGGGCCTGGGAAGGCTCGTGGGCTGCCCACGGTCGTCCGTCAGCTTGACCCCGCGTGTCTTGTTCTGCGCCCCTCCCGGGGCCGTCTCCCGCGAGGCGGTGTTGACTGGCGGGGCGCGGGGGAGAAGCTCCCTGTCCCCCCCGGAGCTGTGCCTTGCTTGCCCGGGAAAGCCCTGTTCTTGGAGACTGGGTTTCGCGGGCCGCCACGGCCTTATTGTCGCCATCCCCGCGCCCCCGACCACGGCTGCAGCCCCCCGAGCCTGCGCGACCGGGGAGGCTCTCTGCCTTGGCGGCCCGGTCTTGTTCCCCCTCTCTGTCAGGCCTGGAAGGCGTGCCGCCGGGACTTTGTTTAAGATTATTCTTTTGTTGGCTGCCTTTTTGTGACCTGGCCCTCCTGGTTCTTCCGCCCCCCACTCGCCAGGCGGGAGTGTGAGCTGTGATTTGATCACCACGCACTTGTCACTTGGAGGCTCCGCTGACTGAGGAATGCCGCCCACCTGCTTAGCGTTGCTTGGCCGCGGGTCTCTGACTTGGCTCTTGGACTCTTTTGCAGACCATGAAACGCTCGGGCACGCCCCTCCAGAAGCTGTTCTCCAAGACAATCTAGCGTTCACGTACAGACCCCTAAGACACGTATGAAGTTTCTTGTTCTGGATTCGCAGTAGTGCAATGAAGAAGAGGAGAAAGGTTACTTCAGATCTTGACGAGAAGATCCACCTAGGCTACCATAAAGATTCTTCAGAAGGAAATGTTGCAGTGGGCTGCGACCCAGTGAGCTACACGCATTCTCCAGAAAGACCAACTCCTGACGCTTTGCACTGCTGCCAGGAGCTGCCTCCCTCCCCAGATCAGAGAAAGCTGCTGAGTTCTTTGCAGTATAATAAGAATTTGCTGAAGTATTTGAATGATGATAGGCAGAAGCAGCCCTCTTTCTGTGATCTGCTCATCATAGTGGAAGGGAAAGAATTCAGTGCACATAAAGTAGTGGTCGCCGTTGGCAGTAGCTATTTTCATGCCTGTTTGAGCAAAAATCCAAGCACTGATGTTGTCACCCTGGATCACGTAACACATTCAGTTTTTCAGCATTTGCTTGAATTCCTTTATACGTCAGAATTTTTTGTGTACAAATATGAAATACCTCTTGTTTTAGAGGCTGCAAAATTTTTGGACATTATAGATGCAGTGAAGCTACTGAATAATGAAAATGTTGCTGCTTTCCAGTCAGAGCTAACTGAGAAGTCATCACCAGAAGAAACACTAAATGAATTAACTGGACGACTGTCCAATAATCATCAGTGCAAATTCTGCAGTAGACACTTTTGTTATAAAAAGTCCTTAGAGAATCATTTGACTAAAACACACAGGTCTCTGTTATTAGGGAAAAAACATGGGTTAAAAATGCTGGAGAGAAGTTATTCCACAAGAAGATCAAAAAGAAGTCGAAAGTGCCCCGTAAAGTTTGATGACACCAGTGATGATGAACAAGAAAGTGGGGATGGGTCAGACAATCTGAATCAGGAAACTTTTGATACAGAGAAATCAGACAGAAATGATTCCGAGGACCCTGGAAGTGAATATAATGTTGAGGAAGATGAGCTAGAGGAGGAAATGTCTGATGAATACTCCGACATTGAGGACCAGAGTGAAAAAGAACATCAGGATGCGGAAGAGGAACCTGAGGCTGGTGATTCTGTAGGAAATATTCATGAGAGGTTGACTCCAGTCGTCATTCAGAACAGTAACAAAAAAATACTGCAGTGTCCTAAATGTGATAAAACGTTTGACCGAATAGGTAAGAAAGAAAAAGAGCTTATTTTCTGTCAGTAAGTTTTCTTTCCATGGATGTTTTAAAGGTGATATTTAAAAACTAAACTCAGAGTGACTTTTGAAAGGAATGCTTAAGTAGAGACTATGCTTTGGTTTTCAATAACAAAGTTTATCCTGTTGTTTGAAATTTGCTGTGACTCAGTAACTCATTCTACATATGTATGGTGGCCTTAATTTTTCTCTTTCTTATGTCCTAAGGGTAGGTGACAGATCATTTGTTCATGTAAGACACTCCAGAGCATCAGTTATTATCATACAGAGCTTTGGCTTATATGCCAATTAAATTTTCATGATAAGTGCTGCATCTTTGAGTTGTAAGATTGAATTAAATCGTAGTATATTTAACTATTTGTATGCTGTTTCCCCTTGCTCAGGGTAATATGTGAGTTACAAAAGCTTGTGTCATCACTTTTCAGGTGTTTGATAGTTTATAATTAGGTTGTTTTAGACTAGCCTTATAGATAATTAAAAATAAAATTGTACTAAGCATAATCTAGTTCTACAGTTCTAGTCTTTAGGAAGTGACCTAATTGCTAGTACCAATTATTAATTATCATGAATAAATAAATTTTACCCTGTAAGTTAAAAGTAGGTAGGAATGTGATCTGTAAGCTGAAGCTTTGTGTCCATGTATGTTTTAAGTTCAAGATGTCTGGTATTTGCTAGTAAAATAGCTTTTGGAAATATCTTCAGTGAACCATACTAAGGTACACCGAACTGCAACAATTATGCTTTACCATGCAATTTAAGTTATGAGAGTGAGAAATATATTCTGCCACGTAACAATGGTGAAAAGTGTATAATGCAATCTGACTTTGTAAAATTATTTATATACTTTTCTATCTCCATAGGTCTTGCAATATTGAGTTATTTATATCATTATAAGTGGACATTTGTATTAACAATCATTTGCTGTCTGATTATGCTAGGTGCACATGGGTGTACCAATGTTAGCTTTTTTAAAATGATCTTTTGAATATTTTTCTCTGAAAATATTTTTGATAATCCCATTCAATAGTTATTTTTTGTGAAGCTGTTTTGTTGTAAGGCTGTATAGAGTGAGTGAAATAACTAGTTGTGTAACTGAGTTGCTTAAAAAAGCAAATGTAGGAGGGATATTCAACAAGTTCATGGGAAATTCATGTAAAAAACTATGCATGGATCGCAAAACTTTTTTGCATCAAAATTATCTTTTAATTCTATATTTCCACAAACTTACTGAAGTGCCCTCATAAACCAGGCTCTGTAAATTTTGTGGTAGAGTTACAAAAAAACACTATGAGGGTATTTCTAGAAGAGAGGAAAGAGTGACTTTTATGTTTTGGGGTAACTGAGAGCATTTAATCTTTCCAATAGATTCAACATCTTAGACTTTGTTCCTAGTATATGCTTCCTGTATTCTCTTAATTGACCTCATTTGACGTAGAGATAAGTAGGGATCAGTTAATAGATGACATTGTAGGTTCAGCACGTAGATCTCAAACTGTCTTGTTGAATATGAGGAATGTGTGATGTTTCATGAAAGAGGAGTTTTAACTTTGGGAAAACTATATAATTCTCAGCCTGTATTAACCCTGCCAAATTCTCTAGTCAAAAACAAAACAAAGCAAAACAAAACTACATTTTTCTTCACTTAGAATTTCCTTAAATCATTTCACCACAGGATACTAAATATCTCAGAAAACTAGAATTTTGTCCACACAATTTGGGGGGACACACCTTGAAATTAGGAGCTGATTACTAACAGGAAGGCATTGTGTATACAAAGTTTTACGAAGTTCGATACAGATAATTGAGGGAATTAGTAGGCCACATTATGGGTTTGTTTCCAGCCCACTTTACCAAAACTGTTTACATATGTTTTTTTTTTAATCCCCTACACCTCATGTCACCGCCTTGCTTAGCCACTTTAGGACTGCTTAGTTTTCAGTAATACTTTCTCATCTCATTTCATGGACATGTCTGTGTGTCTATCCAGAGTGTCCCTCTAGTTTTCCTTAGTACTGTTCTTAAGCCCATTGCATTGTTATCTCTCTGTGTCTGTCCATGAGGATGAGCTTTAGTGATGTCAGACTTCTAGGATTTTTGAATCCAGGTCTTGGCTTTGTTGCTGAACCTATATGTGCTTTTGAGTGTCATACGTAAAGTTAGATAATAAAAGTAGTACTTCATTGTAAGGGAGAAAGATAATATATAAATGACATAATTTTTTTAAAGGACATGTGGAACAGAACCTGTGAATTCTGAATGTCCTATGTCCATCTCTTCTCATATCGCACACATTGCAGCCACCAGATAATTCGGTATTTATTGGTCTTGGTAGAATGAAGCTAATACATCTTACTCTTGGGTAGTAGTTTTGAATATCTCTTGGATAGTGTTCTTTTTAATATGAGAAGTTTTTGACAATTGCTTGTTTCTTTGGACCATGATAGAAAGTTGGTGTGAGAATGTACTTGGGAGCCTAGAAGTGGGCTTCTGAAAAACTCCCAGGCCTGCCGGAGCCATTAGCTTCACAATTGATTTCTACTAACCTGATCCTTTGGATTTTTTTTTTTTTTTTTTTTTTTTACCTTTTCATGTATTTCATACTTTTAGTGAGCTATCTGCTCTTATTACATTTTTTCTTAGGCTACCAGCTGTCCTTTTCACAGAGAATTCTCATGCAAATAAGAGATCTTTGATCTTTCTCCCCATACCAAATAGTGACATGACAGATGGAGTGAGAGAAAATTTGTGTAACGTCTTTTTTTATTGTTCCTACAGAGAACTAAAATCTTTCCTTGGGTTAAATTCATACTCTTTCCTAGAGGTAGAAAAGGTTTCATGCAGTTTTTTTGCATGTGACTCACTAGTACATCCTGACAGATTCCACCTGTTCTTTTTTCATAAGTAATTATGATAATTATTGAAGACCGAGTATTTTATTCATGTTTTCTTTAGGGTATGTTGTATAACCAGATTCCCAAAAGATTCCAAATGGAATTAAGATTTAGCAATATCAGATTTATAATGAACGCATTCTTTGATGTTTCTCTTTGCATACAGAATTCAACGGTGATAATTTTACTTGGTCCATATAAGAAGTTCTGAGGTGGGAGGTCTTTTTCCTCTTCTTTTTTTAATAATTCTTTTTAAAAATAAATTAGGAAGAGTGGGAGAGATTTTCCATTCACTAGTTGAGTCCTCAAATGGCCACAATAAACAGACCTAAGCCAGGCTGACGTCAGGTGTCAGAAAGGGACCAGTCCCTGGGAACTAGGATGTCATCACCTGCCTTCACAGGCACAGTGGGGGGGATTGGGAATCCAGCTCCTTGCTGATGGACCTGGGAAAGAAGAGTAGGAACCTGCCTTCCCAGGCACAGTGAGGGGGATTGGGAATCCAGCTCCCTGCTGATGGACCTGGGAAAGAAGAGTAGGATGGTGCTAGACCTTGGGCCCTTGTACCCATATGAGAGACCAAGAAAAAGCTCTTAGTTCCTGTCTTCTACCTTGCCCAACCCCAACCATTGTGCCTGTTTGGGAAGTGAACTAGCAGATAGAAGATCTCTGTCTGCTTCACTCTGTAATTCTGCCTTTCAAATAAATACAATAATCCTTTTTTTAAAAAAAGCAGCAGCAGGGCCAGGCACAGTAGCCTCCTGGCTGAAGTCCTCACCTTGCGTGTACTAAGATCTCATGTGGGTGCCAGTTCTAATCCTGACACACTGCTTCTCATCCAGCTCCCTGCTTGTGGCCTGGGAAAGCAGTTGAAGATGACCCAAAGCCTTGGGACCCTGCACCCGCATGGGAGACCCAGAAGAAGCTCCTGGCTTCAGATCAGTGTAGCTTTGGCCATTAAGACCCCTTTGGGAGTGAATCAGCAGACAGAAGATCATCCTCTCTGTCTCTCTTCCTCTCTGTATATCTGCCATTCCAATAAAAATAAATCTTAAAAAAAAATCTTAAATAAATCTTAAAAAAAAAAAAAAAAAGCAGCAGAGCAGCCAGGGATTGGAACTCTGGTAAGGCATGCCACTATTGAAGGCAATGGCTTGGTCTGCCATGTGACAGCATGAGCCCCACAATGTCAAATTTGTTCACATGAAAGTATCTAATTTGTGACTCTTGAGACACAGTTTGAGTTGGTATTCAGTTGAGAAAGAAGCTTGGATGAAGTGTCTTAGTACTCTGTGCTACCCGTTGACAATTGGAAATTGATTGAAACTTTGATAATTTTGAAATGAACATTTTGATTTATTCATTATTATTGAATACTCTAACCAATAACAGTGCAGAAACAGATATAGATGTTTAATATTTTTGCTGGTTGGTAGACACACACACACACACACACACACACACACACTCCCATCACAGGCTACTAATTGATTTAAACATGGAGTTAATTTGGGTCTTAAATCGTTCTGTTCTTACCAACCCCTAAAATGGCTGCCTGACCTTTTGAATTAAGAATTCCCTTTAAAATTGCTTCTTCTCTCTTTTTTTTTTTTTAAGATTTATTTATTTATTGGAAAGTCAGGTATACAGAGAGAAGGAGAGACAGTGGTGAGAAAGATCTTCCATCTGATGATTCATTCCCCAAGTGAGCTCAACGACTGATGCTATGCTGATCCAAAGCCAGGATCCAGGAACTTCTTCCAGGTCTCCCACACTGTTGCAGGGACCCAAAGCTTTGGGCCATCCTCGACTGCTTTCCCAGGCCACAAGCAGGGAACTGGATGGGAAGTGGAGCTACTGGGATTAGAACTGGTGCCCATATGGGATCCTGGCATGTTCAAGGCGAGGACTTTAGCCACTAGGCCACAATACTGGGCACAATTGCCTCTTCTCTTATGCAGTAATTATTATCCATGGAAGTAATAGAGCCTATAATACATATTTGCATGCAATATGAATTTAAAACTTAGTAAAAATTTATTTTGCCTTAGAGATTCTTGGTCTCTTGACTTAAAATGATTTTCAAAAATTTGGTGCTAGTTTTGGCTTTTTAAGTTTCTTTCTTTTTTAAGATTTATTTTTATTTTTATTGGAAAGTCAGATATACAGAGAGGAGGAAAGACAGAGAGGAAGATCTTCCATCTGATGATTCACTCCCCAAGTGAGCGCAACGGCCGGTGCTATGCCGATCCGAAGCCAGGAGCCAGGAACCTCCTCCAGGTCTCTCACGCGGGTGCAGGGTCCCAAGACTATGGGCCGTCCTCAACTGCTTTCCCAGGCCACAAGCAGGGGGCTGGATGGGAAGTGGAGCTGCCGGGATTAGAACCGGTGCCCACATGGGATCCCAGCGTGTTCAGGGCGAGGACTTTAGCTGCTAGGCCACGCCACCGGGCCTGGCTTTTTAAATTTCTACCTTCTTTTTCTTGTTTAAATCAATAAAGTCTATTGGTTTGTAGGAAAACAAAAGTTAGAGTGTCAGAATGGTTTTGGTTTTTAATTTCACTACCATGTCAGTAACAATTTTGATTTGCAAACAAATACAAGAATTTCCTGACTTAGAGGGAAAATGCTAACAGTTATTAATGTGACATGTTTATATGAGATGTATTTACATAGAAGAAAAAGTATTGTTGAACATTGTTCTTATATTTAAATATTTTTGTTAAATTTCTCTTCCTGTTCATTTAGGAATAAGAATGAAGAGATTTAACATTGTAGGATCTTGGTGCATGCAAGGCGAGCTTTAGCTGCTAGGCTACCATACCGGGTCCTATCTTTCATTCTTAAGATCTCTCTGTCTTTCTTCCTCTCTGTATGTCTGACTTTGCAATAAAAATAAATAAATCTTTTTTAAAAATTTATACAAAACATGCACATTCTCTAATTAAGAATAGTCATGTTTCAGAAATTGCTGTTATTTAAAAATCCAATTGAATACTGTTAATGTTCACTTTTTTTTTTTTTTTTACTGTTTGCATTATTTGCAGGCTTTAAGCAATGATTGGGATTTTTTTTTTTTTTTTTTAATTTTGTGCAGTGACTTCTGTCTTTGCAGCGTTAGCTGGGATGCCTGGTACTGAACAGGGAAGTGGTGTTGGTGGGGCTGTGTATGTAGAACATTAATGGGGAAGCACACCCAAGTGGTGCAGGGAAACTGTGGGACCAGTAGTGGCAAAGAGACAAGTCAAATTCTTGGAGAGCTGAATTTGACGCCTTAGTTTGACTTGCTACAAGGACCACTCATAAATCAGGTGAATCCAGGTGTATGTTTTTATGCGTGTGCACATTCTTTCCTTTTTGTTTGCAAAGCAGAAAGAGAGAGGAAGGCAGAGACAGAGAGCGACACGTCATCCATCTCCCGTTTCACTCCCTGAATGCCTGCAGCAGCCGGGGTAAAGCCAGAGCCTGAAATTCAGTCAGGTTGCCCGCGTGGGCAGCAGGGGCTCAGGTGCTGGGCCATCGCCTGCGCCGCCCAGAGTGTGGGTTGGTAGGGAGCAGAAGGCGCTTGGGACAAGCTGGTGGGACGGATCCCAGGTGCTGTGATAGGGAGTGGGTATCTCCAGCGGCGTGTTCATTGCTGTACTAAATACCCACTCCTCCAGATTGATATTTACCTGTGTGTCTGTACTGGGATTAGTAATACAAATGAAAATAATAATGACCAGTATTTGTCACTGCTAATTATGTATTGATATGTTTTAAGTTTTTGCATATGAGCTTGTTTTTCAGAGCTACATAAAATGTTACTTAGATAGTTTACAAACATCTCCTGGGTGGTTTGCGTCCATGTAAAAATTGGCCTAGACTGTTACGTATATGGCCTATGCTTAAATGCCTAATTGACATTTTTATCAGACTTTTTCTTCTTTGCTCATGGTTGGTATTCTCCCCCCCCCCTTTTTTTTCAGCTTTATTTAGTTTTTAATATTGTTTACATAGTTGAGAGGGATATAGGCCCACAGGGATCTCCTGTTTGGGTGGGGAGGGTGGAGGTTTGGAGGAAGGTGGGTGGAACACATGTTTCAGTTCTTTTTATTCTGGTCGGCTTGGGGGGCGGTGGGCGGGGAGCGGGTGGGTAGGAGAAGGCCACTCCTTACTGGCAAACTACATCAGCACCTGGGGACAGAGAGCAGTCACTTGGTGATGCCTTAAAAACCCCCATGTAGGGAAGGATATGCCAAGGCCAATAGACCTTGAACATATTTCCTCAACCCTGGTGCAATAAAGCTGACAATTTCTCACAGCCGTCTTCCCTTTCCTTTCCTCAGTTCACGGAATAAGTGCAGTGTTCATTTTTAAGTAACACAGAAGTAATTAAGCTTAATCATATATAGATATAACTAGTAAACCAGTGGCCATATATTGATAAAGTACACAGTTAGTTGTGTTTATCATTTTTCCTTAGTGACCTTTTAATATTTTGAACTTTTCTTCCTAATTTTAATGCTAGAAGATTTATCTTCTTCTTAAGTGCCTAACTAAAATGGTATACTTTCTGTGAGTTTTTTTTTCCTTATTTTTTAGTTTAGTTTTGTTTTTTTTTTTAACTTTTTGTTTGAAAGGTAGATTTAAAAAGAGAGAAGACAGTTTGGAGGTCTTAGCCCACTGGTTCACTCCCCAGATGGCCACAGCGACTAGAGCTGAGCTGATCTGAAACTGGGAGCCAGGAGTTTCTTCCTAGCTTCCTACATGAGTGCAGGAAGCCAAGGCCTTAGGCCCTCTTCCACTGTTTTACCAGGCCATAAGCAGAGAGCTGGATCAGAAGTGGAGCAGCCAGGGTAGGAACTGGTGCCCATATGGGATGTCAGTGCTTGTGAGTGGAAGATTAACCACTGCACTGGCTCCAAATCTGAGCTTTTAATAGAAAATTGATCTTCATATTAGTAGTGTTTTTTTTCCTCATTTTTCTTAAGTTTTACATGAAGTTATTGCAATTCCTGAATAAAGTTTACATGTTCAACACTGTCGCATGTAGTTTGTGAATTAGTTTATCCTTGCAAGTCTGCAAGGTAAATATTGTTTTCCCATTCATACTGTAGTTTATTTATCCAAGGTCATAGAGCCTGCTGTTTAAAACTCAGGATTCTGGGCTGGTGCTGAGGCATAACAGGTACAGCTGCGACCTGCAATACTGGAGTACCATATGGGTGCTAGTTTGAGTCCCCAGTGCCCCACTTCCATCCAGCCCTCTGTTACTGTCTCTACAAAGAAGCTCCTAACTCCTGGCCTTGGTCAGGCCCAACTCCTGCTGTTGTAGCCATCTGAGGAGTGAACAAAAAACAAGAACAAAAAGAAAACCAGGATTTATAGCCAAGTGTGTTTATCCAGGATATGTACTATGTGTGATACTCTTTTATTTCTGGGATGTGGAAATTTATGTGCAACACAATGATGTAAATATTTTTATTCAAAATAGGAATGCAAATGAGAATTAAAATGTATTCTTAGACTTTCTTCTTTTTTAAATGGTAACACTTTTCTTTGAGGATCTGTATTACAATTTCTTGAGTCTTTTGGAAATACCTGCGACATTTGTATTGGACTGTTTCTACTACAATCAGGTACTACCTGGGATATGACTCTGGATATCGTATCCACTAATCCTGTGTAGCTTTTCTTGCTTTCCTGGATACTATTTATGTTATTCCCTAATTATAATTAATAATAAAAGAAATAAAATAAAAGTTATTTACTTCTTCACCTTTTGTAAGTTGGATAAATCTTACATGAATGAGTTATACTGAGGTATAGGTTTTATGCGGTATTCTAGACTTGTAGTACCCTTAACCAGTTTAATTTCTCTAAGTTGAAAATATGTGTTATAACATGCATAGACAAATTTTTAATGACATTTTAAAAAGAACTCTAAAATCTGAGATTTTCTTTCAATTTGTGGGTAAACAAATTGAATTAAATGATAAATATGAAAATAAGTCTTAAATTTGAGTAGTCCTTTTGCTGAAGATTAGTTTTACTTTAAACACATACATTTTAAAGTGTTAGGTTCAGAAAATTTGCCAGTTTTCAGAAAATTTCTGAGAAAACCTTGTTGTTTGTACAAGTATGTTTTGAGAATTAACATAAAACAGTAAGGCTTTGAAAGTTAGCAGTTACAAATTCAGGTGTACTTTTTCTAAGTTTGTGTATGTATATTTTCTAAATTGTGAGCTTTTATTCTGTCAGTTTTTACTCACCAAATTGCAAATGCTCAGAATTTAATTTTGCTTTCTCTCCTTCTGTAGGCAAATATGAGAGCCACACTCGTGTTCACACAGGGGAGAAGCCCTTTGAGTGTGATATTTGTCACCAGCGCTATTCAACAAAGTCTAACCTAACTGTTCACAGAAAGAAGCACAGTAATGAAACAGACTTTCATAAGAAGGAACACAAGTGCCCTTATTGTAACAAACTTCATGCAAGCAAGAAGACTTTAGCCAAGCATGTTAAGAGGCAAGTATTATCTTGCTTCCGTAATGAAGTGTGTTGCGTTTTCTATTTTAAATAACATAGTTAGCTAAAAACATCTGTGCGATGCTTCTATCCGACCCTACCCTTGCTTAATATCTTGTAGAGACTACAGATTAAGAATGTTAAGTGTTAGTTTGACTTTTTATTTATGTATATAGAGCTTTTTTGGCATTGAAGCAAGAAAATAAAAGTTTAAGATGAGGGAGATTTTTAAAAGGTTCATGGAAAATTCATGTTAAAAGAAAACTGTATGGATTTCAAGGTTTTTTTGCACCAGAATAAACTTCCCTTTCAGTTCCTTATTTCCAGAAACTTTTGGAGGTGCTCTTAGGAAATTTTTGTTACCCAGTTTCCTGTGTTGAGTTTGGCGCGTGTATCTTGTGAATATGTGTTTTGAGAAATCTTGGAAATTAGTCATATTTATCCTTTTTATACCTGTAAATATCTGTGAAAGAAAATATAATATTGCATATCTTATTCTAAAAAATTAGTGGTGCATAAATTCTGAAAAATGTATTAAAGTCTGGGCTAAAAAATAATGCAGTAAATTACCTAATATATTATCTGTAAATAGCTAGATTCTTGAATGCATTGAAAGTATGACTAAAATTATAGCATAAATACAATAAATGTATTTAGGTGATAATGGTATCCATTGTCCTATGGAATTCATGTGCACCTGTCATTTTAAGATAAGAACTGGTATCTGATTCTTATGACAACTGTTGACAGATTCATGTGGAAATCTGACTCATTAATAGTTATTTCTAATCAGTGTTTTTTTTCCTTTTTAGATTTCATCCTGAGAATGCACAAGAATTTATTTCCATTAAGAAGACAAAGAGTGAAAGTTGGAAATGTGATGTAAGAACTCTTAATTTGTGTTATAAGACCAAAGTAAATATAAGGTTGCCTTTTGGTAATTAACAAGTAAGATAATTGGGGTCTAGAGTAAAAGTTTACCTCATTGCGCTATTTAAATGTATTTTGTTTAAATAAAGGCAGAGAGAAGGATCTTTCATCCTCTGCTCAGCTCCTTAAATGTCCACAGCAGGTGATGCTGCAGCAAGCCCAAGCCTGCATCCTAGAACTCAGTCTGAGTTTCTCCCATGGGTGACAGGGACCCAAGCTTTTGAGCCATCACCTGCAGCTTCCTGAGGTGCATCTTCTGCGGAAGCTGGAATCAAGGAGTGGAGCAGGGACATGAACCCAGCCACTCTCATGATGTGTGGGCCTGCCGCACAGTGTCTTCATCACTGCCAGACACCATCCTATCAGTTGAGCTTTGAATAGGATAGTTTTTCATGGAAATCCTAGTTCTTTTATTGAAATCACCATACCACAGGTTTATGGTTGTATTAACCTGTCAGGTTTTGGTTGCATTCTGACAAGTCATCTCAGAATTTAGTAGCTTTAAACAACATTTTTATTCATCTCATCCTTTCTTGTCAGGAATCCAAATTTCAGTCAGGGCTTTGTTAGGTGGTTGTATTGTTGTAGAAAGTGTAGTTTGAAGTTGTTTAGTTATTCGCTGCCAGTAAATGATCTCTTCTGGTTTGGTGCAGCTTCTCAGTGGCTGGCACCTTGCTGTTAGCTGATGACTAGGCTCTTAGCAGGCCTTCCTCACTGTGAGGTTTCTTGAGTTTCCTTCTAGAGTAGCAGATAACTTCTAAAGGTGAGTGTGTCTTCCCAGAAACCTATGCAAAGACTATAAGGTTTTTTATCGCCCAGCCCAGAAGAGCCAGATCATAAGTAATTAGAAACAAAGCCAGATAAAGGGAGAATTAGATTTTATTTTTCACTGGGAGAAATAGCAAAGAATCTTTTGATGTTCTTGCTCTGTCATATCCTTAAACTATTTTTTTAATATTTAGTGAATATTGTTTAAATGTGGCACCAGCTGTTACTTATCTATTGCAAAGTTTCAGTTAAAGCAGCAAAATCCTCACTATTGAAATTTCTTTGCAACTGAAGTTAATTATTAATTACCTTAACCCACATAAGAGGAAATCAAGATTCTGAAGTTTCACTATCTTGCTTATGAATGAAGATAATGGTATTTACCTAATGGACACAGTCCAACACCACTTCTTGCTAAAAACTTTGATCAAGATTGACATAGAATGAGCATTTTATAATGCAAGCAAAGCAATATACAAAACACCCAATGCCAGCATTATATGAAATAGGGAAAGACTAGAAGTGTTCCTGCAAAGATCTGGACCTAGACACAGACATTCACTTTCACCACTGCTATTCAATATAGAATTGGAAGTCCTTGCTAGAGCTATTAGGCAAGAAGAACAAATTAAAGGAATTCAAATTAAAATCAAAATTTTTAAAAAAAATTGTTTCTTCTTAGTATTTAAACAGATAAATTTTGTAGTGATTTTTCTGTGTTTCCTTATTCATATTCCTAAGAAAATATATGGTAGCAGTGATAAAACCCTCTATCCAAACATGTATTTGAAAGCGGTCATTTGGCACGATGTTTTAAGGCTCTACTTGTGGGAGCACTTGGATATGAGACCTAGTTATGCTTCTCATTCCAACTTCTGCCAGTGCCTGCCCTTGGAGGCAGCAGGTAGTGAGTGAATCAAGTCCTTGCGTATCTCTCACTCCTGTATGAGAGCTGGATTGGATTTTTGCTCTTGGTTTCAGCCTGGAGCAGCCCTAGCTGTTGCAGATGGGCGAATCTTTTTAAAAGTCTGTCTTTCTCTCTGTCTTAGTTTCTCTGTCTTTGGGGTAAATAATTTCTTTTGAAATATATATACACATATACACATAAAACAGGATTATTTAGAATTATGGTGGAAAGAATTATTAAATCGGCCTGTTTGTAATGTTGGGGTTGGATTTGTAGTACAGCAAATTAAGCCTTTGCCATTGATGCTGGCATTCTCTGTTAATTCTGGGTCAAGTCCTGGATGCTCCAGTTCTGATCCAGCTCCCTGCTAGTAATGCCTCTGAGAAAGTGTCACTCAACTGTTTGGTTCTGTGATACCCATATGGGAGATGCAGATGGAATTCCATACTCCTGGCTTCCGTCCTCTTTACTCCCTGCCCGTGTTTCAGTCAGGAGAGTGAGGGAAGATCTCTCTTTTTCTTTCTCCCACTGTAACTCCACTTTTTAAAAGGAGAAATAAATCTTAAGAAAAAAAGAAAAAAGAAATGTAAGATGTTGAAAATTGGTTACCTTTAATATTAATTTAAAATAATTCCTTGATGTAATTCCTCAAGGAGTTACTTTCTTGCCCAACTAGAAGTTCTTTATACTTTGGTTTTCTGTTTCATTACATTTCTTTTTGTTTGAATATATATTTTTTAATGAGCTTTTTAATTTTAACGTTTAATCCAGGTTCTCTTGTATTTTATATACATTTTCATTTAGATTTGTAAGAAGTCTTTTACTAGAAGACCGCACTTGGAGGAACATATGATCCTGCATTCCCAAGATAAACCTTTTAAGTGTACCTATTGTGAAGAACATTTCAAATCACGCTTTGCACGCTTGAAGCATCAAGAAAAGTTCCATTTGGGTAAGCAGACTCCTTTTTCTTAAAGTAGTCATAGGAATTATTGATTATCACATCATGTTGGAAGAGCACTCTATTAAAAGATGTCATTTTTTAAAAATAGTTTAGGTTCACAGAAAAATTGAGAAAGCACGGATAACTTGCTGCCTGTGTTCGTGCATAGTACCTGTTATCAGCATCTTGCAGAGTGATTCATTTTCTTTTATAGTTGACCAACCTAGACCAACACATCTATGACACCCAAAGTGAGGTTCACTTGTGGTGTTGTATGTTCAGTGTACAGTGTATGTTGTATGATCTTTGGGTTTGGAAAAAATACGTAATGACAGATCTTCATATTGTACTGCCAAGCAGATTTCACCATCCTGAACATCTGCTAGGCTTCCCTGTTCATCCTTTCACTCCTAACACCAGCCTCAGGCGACTAGAAATCATTTCTACTCTCTTCTTGGATTTATCCTTTCCGGAATCTCAGATGATTGTAATCATTAAGTATTTTTTAAATTGGCTTATTTTACATTGTCATATACGTTTAAGATTCCTCTGTGTCTTTTCATGTCTTCAGAGCTCATTTGTTTTTAGTGGTAAATAATATTGGATTGTCTGCATATATTTGCATTTGATTATACTTAAAATGCTGCTGGACTTGAGTTAAGAATAAATACTTGTTGAATGAGTTAAATTGGTAAAAGAGTCACATCTTATGGGAGATGAAACCTTGAGACATTTTAAATAAGAAAATATTAAAGGTACTTACAATGAAACGTATTTGGAGGGCCTCTCGTTTCTGTTGTGCAGAATATGTTGCAGTTTCCCTTGTTGTGGCAAGCAGTTTTACCTAAGGATGACTGTGTTTCTGAATTCCAGTGTTCATATTTGATTGTCCTTTCTTTGTGCTATTGGGATTAATATTTCATGTCCTTGTACAATTTATTCTTCCAAATTCAGAGACACTTTCTTCCAAATAGGCAGATTCCTGGAACTGCATGTGCTGTGTTTCTCACACATCAATACCTCTCCCTTGTGGCTTGCTAGTCAGTTAAACTCTGTCTTCAGTGACTTGTTAAAACCCTGGTCAAATTTGAATACTGCTAAGTCAGTTTTAGAATGAGACATATGGGCTTCATTTTCTAATATTAAACAAAGATGCAATGGTATGTTTGATCTACTCAGCATCACTGAACATTTATTATAATTAGGAATAGCAAAATATTGCCAGACTGTAGCTCAATATTAAATTGTCTCATCATTCTTCCCAAGTTTGTCATTACTTCCTCTCAGAAAGTTACTATATAGTTATTTTTATTTTGTTCTAATCTGATTTCAAACTAGAAATTGGCCTTTTAAATTAACCACATGTATGCTAAGTGCTGAGTAAGTTGATAAAGTGATGTTATATACTCACCATGGTGGTTTTATTTACTTCAAAACTATACAGATACTTATACTTTTTATTAATTTACTAATACATTAATTTACTCAAAATTTCTTGTATCCGTCAGATGCCAGGCCTTATACTTGTCTCTAGAGATTCAGGGAATATTATAGTTCACTTTCTAGGAGCCAAGAGTTTGGTAGGGAAGAGAAAACTAGAAACAAATAGTAGTAGGCATGACTCTGTGATACACCTATAAATTTAATTTAGAATCTGTGTGTAAAATTTAACATCACACTATTTTTTGTCTTAGGTCCTTTTCCATGTGATATATGTGGTCGCCAGTTTAATGACACTGGAAATTTAAAACGCCATATAGAATGTACTCATGGTGGAAAAAGAAAATGGACTTGCTTTATTTGTGGAAAATCAGTAAGAGAAAGGTAAAGGCCCTTTTGCATACTAACTGTCATACAGAAATCATTAACAATTACAGGTCATAAGGATTAAAGTAATGCAAGATATAAGATACCTGAATTGATCTTTAGTTTGAAATATAAAGAAAATGGATTTATATAAAATATTATAAAAATATAATATGGAATATAGGTAACATGTGGCAATTTGTTTTTTTCTGACATTCCACTAAAAATACCTGGTAAGTTTTCTGTTTGTTTTTAAAGAGATGTTCTTTCTTTTTCCTTCTTTTTTTTTTTGTTTTTTTAATTTTTTTGTAATTTAATGACAGACAGATCTTATATGTATTGGTTCAATACTGCACAAAATCTGGAAAATGGATGCGTTTTGAAGTAGTACCTTCAGAATTAACAGTATTAGATATATCTAGTTAGTAGGGTGACGGAGAGGCAGAACAGAAAGCATTAGAATAAAAGTCTGGAAAAGTTCCAACTTCGGATGGCCTTCCACCACCCACATGTCCTTGCTGCTGTGTGCCTGCCCTTCCCCCAGGGAGGGATTGCTGGACTGTTACATGATTGGACGATGGAGAGTGCTGACCGCAGTGAGCCTAGGCCTTCTCCTGCCAGTGCTTTGGCTCTTAGATTTTTCTTTGCAGCTTACAGATTAGAAGATCTGTCCCCTAGCAGGTGACACACCCAGATCATATATAGCACAGTCTGTCATCAAGACCCAGCTGTGTCCTTTGACCTTCCTGTCCACATGTTTCAGCCTAAGACACCTAGAACTCAGAGAGGCAAGAGTTACGATAGGGGAAAGCAAGAGGGGTAAGTGACCACTATTTCTACCCAGCTAACGATACACAGTTCGTCAAGCAAGAATTGGCTGTTCTATGAGAAAATCATTCAAACAAAAAAAAATAAATATGAGCTGCAGACATGTAGGAATGATGGCTAGAGTATAGACTCTAGTGGTTGAATTGAAGGGCAAAAGTAGAGCAAAAAGGTACAGGTATGTAAAATAAACATCAGAAAATTGGAGTATGAGACACATGAAACATCTGTATATCAGGTGTTTCAGAAAGGAAGGACAGAGAAAGTGAAGGAGAAATCAGTACAATAATTGAAGGTTTCCACAACTGAAGGACATGCGATGCCAGTTAGAAATGAAGATTCACGAGCCCCCACATTGTGTCAGTACAAATCAGTGCACTGGGTCAAGGAAGCAAACATACTTCTAGGCAGATGGGAAAGTCACATACCTCGTGTAGAACCATCTGGATCTTCTCAGCAGTATTAGAAGTAGAGATTAAATAGTAATACTCTCAAAACTGTGAAAGAATAATCTCCAATGCAGAATTCTGTTATCAATTTAACACAATCAGATCTGGACATAATACCATTTTCAAAAAGATTTATTTATTTGAAAGGCAGAGTAACACCAGACACAGATCTTATCTGTTGGTTCATTACTGTAGTTGAGTTTCCTATAGAGGTGGTGGGTTGTCTTCCATGCTTTCCTAAGTGCAGTAGCAGGGGGTTGGATAGTAAGTGGAACATCTGGGCCCAGGCCATGGCATTTATCAGTTGGCAGCTTAACCCTCTGTATTCTGTAAGGCCCTGGAGCCAACAACATAAAAATGTGCTTGACCAAATGAGAGAGAAACCATAGACAGGCTACAGGAAATAGCAAATTCATAGGAAGATGGTGAGTGAAGATCCCAAAATGTCAGAAGTGGAGTAAGTAGTCTACACTGGTAGTAAGCGGTGTGACTGCATGTGTGGGGAGCAGCACTCCACAAGGACTCCATCTTCTGGTGTGAACCCCTCTGCCTGTTTGCTGTGTGTGTGCTGGGAGATTCCTGCTGTATACTCTGACTGATATAACTGAGGATGTTCATTGCATTTTATGAATGTGTTCTTTCTTGAGCATTCTCTGATAATTAAGTAACTTCACAGCAACGTCTGACTGTACTTCTGCCACTTTCATTACCCAGTGTATTTAGCTCTGTCAGATGCTCCAACTGGAACAACTTAGTGATTTGTAGCATTAATCCGTGACTTTACCCACTGACATGCCAGGAAAATCTCTTGTTGACTCTTAGGAAGCTGCAGCTAGACCTTGACCTGGAGGCCGTGTTTGTATTCTCTTCTAAGCTCTGGAATAGTAGTGATATGCTTACTTTATTATCTTCTAAGCTCTTTAATAATGGTGATATGCTTAGTTTTATGCTTGCTTCTCAAAAGCATATGAACTTTGTACCTGCATATAATATATAATATACGTGTGTGTGCACGTGTGTGTGTGCAGAGGTTGTGCAGATGGAAATGCTCAACATGAACGGGTCCTTCTGAGAAGATGAGAGAAGGATGAGATCAGAGAGGAGCCTGTGCAGACAGTTTTAGTTGCTCTCATTTTATATTTAAATGATTAATACATCATTTAAACAGTATGTATTTGTCTACTTTATGCATTCCACTATATAAAACATTCATAACTAAAACATTCATAATTAAAAATTATAAATGCTGTTTTCATAAAATAATAGATGGCTGTGATGATAGGAGACTCTGTGCTATATTTATATGAAAATATATTTGCAGTTTGGTAAAATTGTATATGCATTATACATTGGTATTTCCCCTGTCTTTGACAACAAAAAGCAAACAAATCAAAAAGCAAATAGAGATAATGTTCTGAATTTTTACTGTAAAAGGGATCCAGAAATCTTTTTCCCAAGAATGAGTAGCACTCATCACAAACTGCTGCCTGTTCCTGGTTGGTGGGCATGTGGAAGAGCGCCATCTACTGGCAAAGCTCTTTAGTGTGGGAGTAAAATAAACACCTAGTGGTAATGATAGCCAAAATGGGCTCTTCGGTTTTGTTTCCTTTTTCCATGAAATTACTTTTTCCATCTTACCTAAACTTTGGATAATGAGGGAAAATTTGGATTTTGGAACTATAAGAACTGCTGCAGGTGTTATGCTTGCAACAATTGTGTTCATGCAATAACCTTTCTAGGGTCACCAGGGCTAGAGGACGTAGAATACATCCTTTTTGTAGGTTGCTTTTTTTTATACCTTTTTTTTTTTTTTAAAGATTTGAATATATTTATTTGGAATGAGAGTGATAAAGAGACATCTTCCATCTGCTGGTTCACTCCCCTGGGGCCAGACTGAAGCCATGAGCCACATTTTCTGCAGGTCTCCCACATGCATGGCAGGTACCCAATGCAGGGACTTGAACAGTCATTCTGATTTGGGATCCAAGAGTTGCAGACGATGGCTGAACCATCTATACCACAGTGCTGGCCCCAGATTAATTTTCCATATCAGCACCTGAAAGTTAAATATGCTGGTAACATTTTCTTTGCCTTAAAACACTTATTTTTATTACTATTATTATTATTATTAGTTCATTTGATAGCAAAACGGACAGAAAAGGAGCCATCCACCAATTGGGTCCCCAGTAATTCAAGGGCTGCTGCCGGGCCATGTGGAAGCTGGGGACTGGACGCTCAGGCCAGTTCTTTGCTGTGGGTGACAGGAACCCGACCATGAAGCCATTACTGCTGTTTCCCAGGGGACACATTGGTCAGAATTACGAACCAGAGCGAGACACTCTACTATGTGACCCAGGAACCTTCATCTCTAGACCCAGTTCCTACTCCATCTTGAAACATTTGTTTCTAAAGTATTCTGCACATATTTGGAAAGAATTGTATTGATAAACTTTACTGCCTAACTAATATTGACCTTGCCCTAATTCAATAATAGGAGTTGAACATTTAAAAGTTATATATCTTATTTCTTTAAAACTTTGCTTAAACTGGATAATTAGATATCTGAGCAAACCAATGATGAAAGAGGTTAAAGTTATCTTTATTTTTGTAAGGAAATAGACCAAGCATTTTTGACACTGGTGAAAATAGCAAAAAGTGTTGGGACTAGTGCAGTGGCACAGCGGGCTGATCTGCCCGGGGCACTGGCATCCCATGTGGGCACTTGTCCACACCCTGGCTGCTCCACTTCCTGTCTGGCTTCCTGCTTATGGCCTGGGAAAGCAGTGGAGGATGCTCAGGTTCTTGGGCCCATGTACCCACATGACCTAGAAGAAGCTCCTGACTTCGTATGGGCTTAGCTCCAGGGTGGTAAGCTAGGTGATGGAAGGCCTCTTGTTCTGAATTTTCTCTCTCTGTAAAATCTGCCTTAAAAGCGTTTTAAGAGAAAGATAATTGTAATACATATTAGCTTGAACTTCTTAAATTTGTTTAATCTGTACATTGACATTTTACTTACTTACTTATTCATTTATTTGAAACTTTTTGAAAGGCAGAGTTGCAGAGAGAGGCAGAGACAGAAAGAGGTCTTCCACCCTCTGGTTGATTCCCTAGATGGCCACAACATCTTGGGCTTGCTGAGACCGAGCCCAGGAATAGGAGCTTCTTTTGGGGTTTAGGGATCCAAGCATCTGGGCCAAACTCTGCAGCTTCTCCAGGGAGCAGGATGGCAAGTAGAGCTTTGGGGTCTTGAATAGTCTCCAATATGGAATGCTAACATCAGAAATGGTGACTTTACCGGCTGTGCCACGTTGACCCCTATCCATTGACATTTTTAAGACTCTTTTTACGTGTATGGTCTTTTGTTTTTAAACACAGAACTACGTTGAAAGAACATTTAAGAATCCACAGTGGAGAAAAGCCTCATCTTTGTAGTATTTGTGGACAAAGTTTTCGCCATGGAAGCTCATATAGGTGCGTAAAGCCCTTTCTTTCCCTAAATTGGATAAAATCATATCTCCATGTTAGTTCCAGATTATCATTTCTCTAATTTAGTATGTAGAATTAAACTTTAAAATGCACAAAATTATTACTGAATAGACTTTTTCTCTCACAAAAGGTTTTATTACCTTCATTCTATGATATGGAGTGTTATTACATGTTTTCTTATTGCCAGGCCTACTAAAGTCTTTACGGTTACCATTGTTTATTGCTTTTCTTTGAAGCACATTAAAACACATTGTTTCCAAAGGTAATGTATTTCTTCACTTTTTAGTAAATAATGCCTTACAATGAGAATGTGTCAGAAGTCACAGTTCTGCTGTCCTCAGTTTTAGAAAATCTTCAGTATGATGATTGTTTTTATAACTTATCTTGTTATTTTTCTGGCTGGATTCCTGACTTTATTTGCAGGTTGTGAAAATTTTTTTCTAAGTAAATCATATGTATTTTTTTAATATTAAATAAGTCTGCAGTTTTAATTTTTCTTAGTCTCCTAATGCTGCTATTTATACTTTCATTTATTATTTAACTCTGCTTAGGGAGTTAATCTGACTATTTACTGGGTTTTGTTACAGTTGAATCAATAGTTTTTAAAAAACTTGAGTGGGAAAGCTTCTCCTTTTAATAGGAGCTAGATAGAGGACTGTGAAGGCAAAAATAATTCAACTTAATGAGTTTTATAATCTGTCCTGGGGTGTCTGTAAAATGAGCACTTTTAAAATTGTTACTTATATGAAAGAATTGACAGAAAGGGAAAGACAGAGAAAGAGGTGTATCTTTTATCTGCTAGTTCATTTCCCAGATGCTTAAGACAGCTAGGGCTAGGAACTTCCTCCAGGTGTCCCCATGGGTTGCTTGACAGAAAACAATTGGGTCACCATTGACTGCTTTTGCAGGGACATTAGCAGAAAGCTGAATCAGAAGCAAAGCAGCTGGGGGCTTGGACGACCACCTTCAGTATGGGTGTCATAAGAGGGCAGGGCCTAACCCTGTCTACCACAGTGCTATTCTGAAAATGAACCACATTTTATTAGTGTGAAGAAAAGTAATGAAATGATGTTCTCATAAAGCTGAGTTTTTAAGACAATATGTTTTCAACTACACATATATAGTATTACTTCATTTACTTCAGGAACTTCATTTGTTTCATTTCTTTCTGTTGTCTTCCTGCTTTTGATATCTCTAAAACTTGGCTGGTCTCATGGAAGGCACCTGCAGACTCTTGGTAGAATCAGTGAAGCAAATACAGGATCTAACAAGACTAGAAGAAATGCCACCCACAAGTGGTGTGAGCTTGAGCAAATGTTGGATTTTTTTTAAAAGTTATTTGTTTGTTAGAGATTGACAGTGATCTCTCAGTTGCTGTTTCGTTCCCTAAATGTTCATGTTCGGGGCTGAGTTAGGGGAACCCATGAGCCAGGGGTGAAGGCTCGGTCTTCCATGTGAATGACCAGGACCCTAGTCCTTGGGCAGTCACCTGCTGCCTTGGGGTACGTGTTGTCAGGGAGCCGAGGAAGGGAGCTGGAGCTCCAACTCGAGCACTGCTGCAGAATGTGGATATCCAAGCAACCTCAAGTGCTGTCTCGTGAAATACATTTTTGAAACAAACAACTATGAACCAGGAGTTAGGTCTTGAAAAACTGGGAAGGACTATGAAAATTAAAAAAAAGTGAGAATAATAATAAAGGTGTTTCTGTATTACCCATTTTAATCATCATCTTTTTTCTGTTATAGACTTCACTTACGAGTACATCATGATGATAAAAGATACGAGTGTGATGAATGTGGTAAAACATTTATTCGTCATGACCACCTTACGAAGCACAAAAAAATACATTCAGGTAAGCTGTATTTTATTATGCTATTTCTAAAACCCCTTATTAAAAAGTATGTGAAAAGTTCATACTATGACATCAGGTTGACTGTAATTTTAATAATTTGGTATATGTTTTACTACTTTGTAAATGCTGGTTCAAAAATGTCTGGAAAAAAGTGTGTGAAGAGAGTTTATGGCATGTTCACTGTAATCTATTGTTTACCCTTTGTGTCTATAAAGTTGAAGTGAAAGTGTGTGAAAGAATTTATGGCTTGTTCACTATAATCCATTGTTTACCTTTTGTGACTATAAAGTTGAAGTAATTCTTTTTCATTTTAGCTAGTACGTAAATATGTGCAACGTACTGGTACTTCCACAAAAGGAGAATCCATGGTAATATTTGTCATTTATATAGATTTGAAAAAAATGTGCCAAAACTAATTAAAAAGGGAATTGTTGGGCCCGGCACGGCTCCATATGGGTGCCGGTTCTAAATCTTGGAGGCCCCATTTCCCATCCAGCTCCCTGCTTTGGGCCTGGGAAAGCAGTCGAGGACGGCCCAAAGCCTTGGCACCCTGCACCTGCCTGGGAGACCTGGAAGAGCTTCTGGCTCTTGGATCAGCACACCTCTGGCTGTTGCAGTCACTTGGAGAGTGAATCATCGAATGGAGGATCTTCCTCTCTGTCTCTCCCCTCCCCCCCCATATATATATATATATATATATCTGACTTTGCAATAAAAATATATAAATCTTTATAGAAAAAAGAATTATTATAATTGGGTGTTAAAATTACCATTATATTGAATTTTGAAACTGCCTTTAAAAAGAGTACATTATTATCCTAATCATTTCAGATCTTTGTATTTATAATACATATGTTTTGGGGATTTCTTTCATATTCTCTGTTGTCCATAAAGTGCTAAGGGAGTGACTGTGTAAGTATAATAATAGGAAAGAACCATATCTAGGAAGAGTACAGCAGGTGAAGGTTACTAGTGCTGTGTAAAGCATCCCCTTAAAAGTCTCAGCAAGTCAGGCTGCATTTTTAGCACCACTGAAAATGTTGGTGAAGCTCTGATGATTCTTCATAGGAATGAATCATGTTTTCATTTACATATGAATTCCAAATTCTGTATCTAGAGGTCACATGCTCTTGTTATATACATATTGAGACCAGGTTTTTAAAGACCAAGAGTTTATAAGTGAATGTAAGAATAGGGCTTGGGAATTGGACTCAGATAATTTTCTACTATGTTTGTGTTTTAACCCATTGCAAATGTTAAAAATCCCCACAGATGAAAGTCTTTTAAAACTAAAGTACTAAGATCTGAAAATCAGAAGGTATTTGTTATAAATAGTAACATGGCCTCATTTCTATTTAATATATGTTCACATTTGAAATGTTTGCTATCCAGATATATGTGTGTGTGTGTGTGTGTGTGTATACCAATTGATACATACACACACATGTTGTTTTTTAGTAATATAAAAACATTTTGTATTTGCATACTTAGAAATACCTAAACACATATATTTAGGAATGTAAGATATCTAATAAAAGAATATTTTTAAAATTCTGACTTTTGAAGTTATTTACCTTGTTGTGTTACATTGAAAGGTCAGGTCTGAAATGTATAGCAAAATCTACCTATTTCTTCTCCATTTAGAAAGAGGAGTCACAGCATGAGTTAAGCATGTGTGTGTAATGAAGTATGTTTGGGTAAGGAATGTGAAGGAAACTGTCCGAAATAAAGATGAGCTCACTTTAGTGGTACATTTCACAAGTGGTTATGTATATATTTTTTGCAAGTTGATATGCATATTTTAATAAAGATACGCCAATCTTTATTTTAAGGTGAAAAGGCTCATCAGTGTGAAGAATGTGGAAAATGTTTTGGTCGTAGGGATCATCTCACTGTTCATTACAAAAGCGTGCACCTGGGAGAAAAAGTGTGGCAAAAGTAAGTGAAAAATCTAAACTTTGGCTAATTACTGGATTGGATGAGTCTCAGTTTTTGGCCGTGCATAGTTTTTCCATGTCAGTTATTTGTTTTTGAAAATACAGATTCACTGAGTTGTACAGCTTTTCCAGGCTTGTCTGCAACTGAAACAGCCAGTTTTGTTCAGCCAGTTTTGTTAAACAGTGCTTTCCATAGCATCTGTTGCTCCTTTATAAACCTAAAAGAATTACATAAAGAATATTTTCTCTAGTTGTTTTTGCTTACTTCAAAGTCTACAGTGTGGTAGATCTTGAAGTCAATGATTAATGTAAAATCTTGAAATTCTTTGGGATATTATGTATCTTGGTTGCTCTATGTGAGCTAAGTAGCTGCCTATGTACTATGCGTAAGAAGACAGCGAGTACAAAATGTTAAGATTTATTTTATTTGAAAGGCAGAGTGATAGGGAGAGACAGAGACAAAGAGCTTGCTACTTATCTCCCCAAATGACTGTGAAGATGTGGGCTGAGCCAGGAACTAGGAACTCCAGTCTAATCTTCCATGTGGGTGGCACTGTTTTGTACTGCTCATTGTCTGGGAGCTATATCAGAAGGAGAGCAGCCAGTACTTAAATTGGTGTTCCAACGTGTCTTAAAGTGCTGTGCCACCAAGCCAGCTCCCCATTGAGTTCTTAATTCAGTGTATGCTAGAAGTGTTGCTGAGTACTAGGATATGAAGACATTCATGAGACTGTTTAGAAGAACTTGAGACGTTGCAAGAATGGATGGCAAAAAGACTTAAAAACTCACTTGCTGAAGGGGTTCTTTAACCTTTTATTTCCATTAACAATTATTCAAAAAAAAAAGCATGGAGCTTTTTGATATAAACTGCATAATATAAAAATATACAAATTGTGTTGACTATATAAATCATATTAGAAATCAAAACTGAAGATTTTCAAGTATTCATTTAAAATGCCCATATGTGTTAGCATAAGTAACATTTTATAAAAAAAATACAAAACAACTTAGAAGAGCAGGATTATTTTGCATTTTTTATAAATGTCTTCAGTGTCTTAAGGCAGCTGGATTGTCATAGCCTTTGCTGTATGTGTTACTTTGGGTAAAGTTAATAAAGAAGATCTAGCCTCACACAGATATGTAATTGGAAACAAGAGGAGCATTGTAATGGCCTTCTCAGGTAATTGTGTGTATTCTTGTTATCCCATTCAAGTGAAGAAGTGGTTGTTCTGTAAAGGTGGCTGCATAGTAGAGTTTGAAACAAGAGCAGTGGATTATTCTTACTCTGTTCCATTCAATTCATGGAGTTTTTGAATGTATTTTGTATCTTGAATGGATTTTTTGGCCGTACATATTTTTTTTTCCCATGTCGTGTATTTTTTCTTGAAAGTACAGGTTCATCAAGTTAGGCACGTTTTCCAGATGTTAGCATATTTCATGGTATGGTATCCACATATCACATTTGTTACTATGGCCTCCTCTCTCTGAAAGGAGTATTGGGAAGCTGTCAAGATCACAATGACAGATTCATGTTTTCCAGAATCTTTAATTAGCTTGAAAGCTGAAAGTTTGTCATTTTTAGAAAGTGTTGTCAGTTGTTTACTTTGAAGGGACTGCTCACTTCATCAGATTTTGAAGAGTTGCCTTTTTTGATACAGCCATCCTAGAATTGCTTCATTTCATCACAGAAATGTTAAAAAGGCTGAGATCTGAAAGGTTAACATTCTTAAATTAATAATTGTGTTCCTTAATCACATCTGTTTTTCTTTCTGTGAATACATGGTGAAGAATGCAATGCCTCTTTAATATATTGGGACATCTCCCTCCTTAGTGCTAAGACAACAGCACTTTTATTCACCATTTCTTTGCATCATAGTATCTTGTAGGGTTTTTTTTTTTTGAAAGATGTATTTGAAAGAATTAAAGAGAATGAGATCTTCCATGTGTTCCTTTACTTCCCAGATGGCCATATGGCCAGGTCTGGGTCGAGCAAAAGCCAGGACCAGGAGGTGTCGTGGGGTTTCCCGTGGGTGGCAGGAATCCAAACACCTGGGCCATCCTCTGCTGCTTTTCCCAGGCCATTAGCAAGGAGCTGATCCAGCATTAGAGCATCTAGGACACAAGCTAGGACCCGTTTGGGATTCTGGCATTGCAAGAGGCAGCTTTACCCGTTATGTCACAATACCGGCCCCAGTTACTATGTTGTTTCGTGAAAGGCCAATAATGCCAGTTATGTTTACTTTCTATCCTCAGCTGTAAAAACCCGAGTGTCCACAGGTATTTCCATGCGTTCCATGATGGCTCCTAGTTGGGTATCATATACTCTGTTTTTAGGGACATGTGGTGACCATTTATATCTGTTTATATTTACCACAAATTTTACTGGAATGAGACAACCAACTCTACCGGTTAGTTAAGGCAACCAATTGTAAGGTTCTTACGATGCCTCCAATTTGCCAAAACCAAATCACTATGAATGTCTGCTTCATCAACCAGAAGTTCCTAGGAGACAGGGCTTTGCTTGATGTTTTGTAAATATTAGTTGAGATGAGTTAAAAATTGTAAATACTATTTGAAACTACTTAAGTATACTTAATTGTATTATATTTCATTTTGGAAATAATTTGCTCAACATCCCAGTAAAACTTAGTGAATATGTTAAAACCAATCTTAAGGAATACTAAATAGCTTTTTAGTGTAATTTGCCATGTATTTATTAGATTTAAATTGTTTCCCAATTGAAATAATAGCTTTAACAATAATCATCGCTTAAATACTAGAAGTTTGTTGTGGGTGTCATGGCTCGGCGTGTTAGGCCACCACTTTGTATCTGAAGAGATGTCTGTTCTGCTGGTGTCCCAGGGAGGCAGCACGTGACGGCTGAAGTAACTGGTTCCCCGACTTCCACATGCGAGACCTGAGTGCAGTTCCTTGTTTCTGGTTTCCATCTGGCCTAGCCCCAATTTTTCTGGCATTTGGGGAATGAACCAATGGCTGGAACATCTCTCTCTCTCTCTCTCTCTTTTCTCTCCATTGCACTAGGCCTCTCAAGTAATTGAGGAAACTTCTGATAGCTATATAACTATTGTAATGTTCACTATTACATTTTAATGTTTAAAATTATTACTTTTCAGGATCTACACTAGGTGCTAATTTCTAAGATAAATTTAGCATGCTTTACAGTATTATTTATGTCTGTCTGCCATTCTCCATACTGACAATGTCAAGATACACTTAAAAAGCAGAATGATGGACTTACAACTGTTTTCTGAAGGACTGTATTAATGTAATAAAATTAGGGGAAATTCGAGAGACTTTGGAACTGTATCATAAAATAAACTTTAAAAAGACTAAAAGTTTGTATTTCATTATTTTTTTACGTGTAAAGTTTATTTTTAAGTTCAAATTCATGATGTTTAATTGCAAGGGAGTCAACCTGTGAGAGCACTGTCACTTTGGTTAATGCAGGTGTTATAATTGTTATACTTCTTTTCCAATCAATCTCACCAGTTTTTTCCTACTCTTCTTAGTCTGTAATTTTTTTTTGAAGATTTATTCACTATTTTTGTTAGAAAGATCTACAGAGAGGAAGAAAGAGAAGATCTTCCATGTACTGGTTCACTCCCCCAGGGGCCACAACAGTCATGGCTGAGTCAGTTCAAAACCAGGAGCTTCTTTCCCAGGCCACAAGCAGGGAGCTGGATGGGAAGTGGAACAGCCAAGACATGAACTGTTACCTATATGGGATCCTGGCACAGAGAAGGCGAGGATTTTAGACACTAGACTATTGTGTGCAGCCCTAGTCTGCAATTCTTAAGTCACATAATCATCACTGAAGTTAGGATATAGAGTGGTTCTAGCTCTGAAAATTTCTACCATTTTTTTCTGTAAGCAGCTTTTCCTTCCTGCTTTAGTCCCCCTTTCAGTCTCCTTTGAGATATTTCCAATATTTTGTTGTTTATTTGATTACCTAATAAAATTCAGTGAGTTAAAGCAATTGAAAATTCCAGCTCATTTTTATAAGTTTTATACTCATTAAAAAAAAAAAAACAGGAAGAAGAGCCAGATTCAAACTAAATGCCTAAAAAAAATTTCCATGTGCCAATGGAATACTGTGTTTTTTTGTTTTCTCTACTTTATTAATCCAAAGATTTTTAAAAATATGCTTGTAAGTAAAGTTTTAACTTATTTTCACTGTTATTAAAATTATACTGAAAAATACACCTTTTTATTTTCTTAGATATAAGGCAACGTTCCATCAATGTGATGTTTGTAAGAAAATTTTTAAAGGCAAGTCAAGCCTAGAAATGCATTTTCGAACACATTCAGGTAAAACGTAATCAATGGTTGTATGTATTTTTATATAGTTATTCAGAAGTATAAGTGTACCTTTTTAACTTTGTTGTTGTAAGTTAAAATTTTTTCCTTATTAAAATGTGTTGTATTGAAGCTCACATCATAAGTAAACAATGTCTTTGTCTCCTAGTATGTAAACCTTACTATTTTAATTTTTTTATACTTTGATAAAATATTTTTGCATAGTGTGTTTACTCAACTTGTAGCTCTCATCTTCCCCTTTTCTGGTTGTTTTATGGTTCCTACTGCTATTCTCTTTTAAAAAATAATGAAAATTTGACTGGATTGTTTTGTTTACCATGTGACTGTTGTGCTATTTCCTTATTACAAAGCTAGTCATCATTTCATGGCTAGTTACAGTGACTGCTGTGCTTCAGCTGATTTTTACTGATCATCACTTTCTAAATGTTTCTCTCCTCTGCTTCAAAAAGTTTATTAGATTCTTTCTTGTAGATTGTCATAACCTTCTTTTGCCTTCTTGCATTAACAGTTCTTGAAATATCTTGATAGAACTCATGGTTTATAAGAGATGGTGAACTTACAAAAAATAAGTTTGTAACCATTCATGATTTAAGAATTTGCCAAATGTAGGTAGTAAGTAAGTTGGGTAATGTAGAATTTGTCCTCCAGGAAATGGTGAAGAATTCTGAACTACGTTTATTCACGTTAACAGTGTACCCTTCTTGGCCACCTGAGTAACTTCATTTTCCTGATTCTTTCTCTTGAGTCAGAATGTCTCTGTGCACTGCTCAGTTCTCACTTTTTGGAATCTTCTGAGCCATATTCCAAACAGACCTTTTCTCTCCCTTTAGCATATCTTTTTCAACAGAAGCGGCACAGTCTGATGGATGTTTGAATTTGGGCTCTGTCAGTTCTGTTGATTCAAATGAAGAGTAGCTGTTTAAGGAGAGTAGCCTAGAGCTGCAGATAGTACTGACTGTGTGTATTGAAGGAATGGATTTCTCATGTTTTCCTGTGACTTTCTTTAATCTCTTCATTGTTTTTAAAGAAATTATTGGAAAATGCATAAGATTTTTTACCTACAAATGACTTATTCTCATCCATGTGTGCTTTGCTTGTGTGAAGCACACAGTGGTGATTGTTCCTGTCTTTTGTAGTTGTCTAATTGAAATAGAGTACATTAACTAGAATGACATAAACAAAACCATAAATGTAGCTTTGGACTTTAATCTTACCTGATTTTTAAAATTTTTATTAATGTGAATTCTTGGTAGGTTATTTTTAATTAACACATACCATCTAAAGATTTTATTTAATATTTTTACTGAATAGCACCCAAAGACCTTAATACATATGTACAACACCTAAAGGTCTTCATATTTTTGTTGAAATGTAGCACCTAAAGATCTGAATCATAACAAGTAACCTAGTAAATGTTTAGAAACTTAAATCTTTAAAAATCAGGTCAATGAATGTTTATTATCGAGTCCATCAGTTTTATAGCCATTACTTAGATCAAGATGAAGAACTCTAGACGCAGCATCTACAGCCTTTCCCCGTCAGCAACCTGCTTGGAAGTGAGAAGGACTACTTTTTGGGTTGTAGCACAAAAAATTTGTTTTTCCCTTTGAGCCTCGTATAAATAGAGTCAGACAATTTTGTCTGACTTTCACTCAGTTCTGGTGATTTTTTGTTTGTTTTCATTATCATGAATATACTCACTGTACCCACTGTCTTTTGAAGTACACTGGGTTTATATTTACCTGGTTCTGTCATGACAAAGTTGCCAGAAACAGTCTTGTTCATGTTGTTTCGTAGAAGTGTGCGTTCATTTCTCTTGAGTGCATGCACTACCCTGGGATGCCCGGCTCACACTAGCCAGTTTTGCATCATAACTGTCTGTAAACAGAACAGTGTAAAACTGGCCTCTAATTACACTGACATCTAATTGCTCCACATTTTGACCGGCATTGTCGTTGTGTGTTTTTTCAATCCCAAAGAGGTAGCACTGTCCGAAACAGCTCTAATAAGCATCCTGTGATGAATCCTGGTATTGAACACCTTTCTGTTTTGTTGGTCACTGGGAGATCTACTTTAATTTTCTATTCATTTTCTCAAATGGAATTATCTGCCTTTTTCTAACTGATAAAGTTTTTTCTGTATCCTGGATATGAAGATATATTTGTATCTTCAACTTTGTGATTTGCCTTTTTATCCTAGTAGTGGTATCTTTCATTGAACAAAGATTCTGAATTTTAAAGAAGTTAATTTTTGTTGTTTTTCTTGTATGTGCTCTGTGAGAAACTCCCTTAGCTTTGGGTAACAAAGATTCTTTTTGCTTAGGTTTATGGAGATAGTTATTTCACTTTGATACTTAGATCTGTAAATCCTCTGTACTTTGTTTTTGTATCATTGGTAGAAGTGGGGAGAATTTTATTTCTATATGGGAGTGGCCAGTTGCCCAGCATTGTTTACTGAACTCTATTTTAATCATTGTATTTGCTGGACAAATGTTTTAAATTAAGTGATAATATATGTGTGATTTATGTCTGACTTTGATTTTGTTGGGTTGTGTTATACTAATGCCCTTGCACCAATACCTACTCCATTTTAATTATTGTGGTTTTATAAGACACCTTGATATATAGAAACATAAATACTCCCCCCGTATTCTTTATTATCATTCTTTTTACATAAATTTGAATACAGATGATTAATTTTCACATACAGAAATATCTACTAGGTGTTGGAGTTTTATTGAATTTATGCCTAATTTTCCTTTTTGTATCTTTATAATATTCAATCGTCCATTACATGGCTACTGAATGTACCTGTAGTAGTTTGTCTTTTTCAAATTTTCCTCAATGTTATATTCTAGTTTTAAGTGTACCACCTTATACATCTACCATAAAATTTGTAGCTAGAAATGTGATACTTAAGTATAAACTTTAAACTCTATTTTTTTAAAATATATATATATTTTTTGTTGGGAAGACAGACTTATAGACTTGCAGAGAGGAGAGAGAGGGAAAGATCTTCCATTCTCTGGTTCACTCCCCAAGTGGCCGCAATGGCCAGAGCTGAGCCAATTTGAAGCCACGAGCTTATTCCAGGTCTCCCACAGGGGTGCAGGATTCCAAGGCTTTGAGCCATCTACTATTGCTTTGCCAGACCACAAGCAGGTAGCTGGATGGAAAGTGGAGCAGCCGGCACGGAACCAGTGCCCATATGGATTCAAGTGCTTGAAGGGGGAGGATTAGTCAATTGACTCATTGCACTGGACCCTAAACTCTATTTTTATGTGTTTATTATATGTGAAAATGCAGTTGCCATATGCTTTTTATGCTGACTTTGCAAAATTCTCTAATTTTTATAGTTTAGATGTTTTGATTTTTTAAACAGAGAATGGGTCATCTGAAAATCTGTCTGATTTTTCCTTTTCAAGTCCTTGCAATTGGCGTGCACATACACATACAGTCTTTTAGTTTTTATGTGTTTATTTGGAAGGCAGAAGGAAATAATATCCTCCATATAGTGGTTTACTCACCAAATGCAGGTGAGGCTGAGCTGGATGGAAGCAAAGCCGAGAACTCTGCCTGAAACTCCAGCGTGGCGGCAGGGAACAAGGCTGAGTTATCACTGTGGTGTTTTCTGTTAAGATGAATTGAAAGCAGATTCAGTCCTAGGGCATCTGATCAGGATGCAGATGTCCTCACCTTGTAGGCTGGAGGAAACAAAACCTTTTTATTTCACAGATTTTTTTTTTTTTAAGTTGGGATAAAATTGATGACAATAATAATAGTTTGGGTTTTCCAAGCACTCACACGTGCTAGGTATAGTCTCAGCTTTGTCTTATTTAGTCTGTTCACTAGCTCTGACACAGGTACTATTACTACAATACAGATTAGCAATCAAGACTTGGAGTTTGCAAGCCTGCTCAAGGTTTGCCTGGTAAAATCTGTGTTTACTTTTACTGTCTCCATTTTGTGATTGTATACTTTGTTATTGCTATTACTAAGTTCTTACGTGTATTCAAATGCAAAGAATGCTACTTAAAATCATGTTACCAGGTGAGTAAAATTAATTCCACTTTTATTCATACAGGTGAAAAACCATACAAGTGTCAAATTTGCAATCAGTCTTTTAGAATTAAGAAAACTTTAACCAAGCATCTGGTTATTCATTCTGATGCCCGACCTTTCAACTGCCAGCACTGTAATGCAACATTTAAGCGCAAAGACAAACTGAAGTATCACATTGACCATGTTCATGGGATAAAGTCTCCTGATGATCCCCTTAGTACTTCTGAAGAAAAACTTGTATCCTTACCAGTGGAGTACTCATCTGATGATAAACTCTTTGAAGCAGAAACAAAACAATATATGGACCAGCCAAAAAGCTATCCATCTGAAGCCAAGACTATGTTACAGAATGTGTCTGCTGAAGTTTGTGTTCCAGTAACGTTGGTTCCAGTTCAGATGCCTGACGCATCCAATGATCTGGTACGACATACTACCACTCTGCCTCCATCTTCCCATGAGATCCTGCCGCCACCCCCACAATCAACTGATTATCCTCGAGCAGCCGACTTGGCCTTTTTGGAAAAGTATACCCTCACTCCTCAACCTGCAAATATAGTTCATCCAGTCCGACCTGAGCAAATGCTGGATCCCAGAGAACAGTCTTATCTTGGAACATTACTGGGTCTTGATAATACTACTGCTGTTCAAAATATTTCTACGAATGAGCATCATTCATGAGTTATTCTAAACATTCCACAGACTTTGGATGGTTCTGTGCTAATGTAGCTAAGATCTGATGTTTTATCAGTTAGTGGGCTGCTGTTTTTTTTTTTTTTTCATTTTCTTAAGTTTCCCATGTTCTCAGAACAATTTCAAATCACGAAAACCATGTGTATTTGTTTACTGAACATATGAATATTTGGACATTTTCTGGCATAATATTTGAGGCGTTTTTTGTGATTTTTTTTAAAAGATGATTTAGTGCTAATTTTTAATAGGTTCTCAAACTTTTTCACAGTTACTAGGTGTTGGCTTTTTTTTTTTTTAAATAATCGCTGGAAAATTTTATTAGTCTCATTCCTATTTTCTCCCTTTCCCAGATTCTAACAGCTTCAAGAACTTTAAGAACGAAAGTAAGAACATGTGAATAACTGCAGCTGTTCTTTATCCTAAGTTAAGATTTATTATCAATCCATCCAGATGTTTAAAACAGAAATTTGGAACTTGAATTTATAAGAAAATCTTGGATAGTTCTATGTTGTTTCCATTTCAATTTGTCCATAATTTCAGGTTATCTTTATCTTTTGGACTTTTGACCAACTCACAACCAGAAAACTAAGATTAACTTATTAATATAGTTGAAATAATTATCCAGATAAGTGATTTTTACCTATACTTCAATCATTATGAGTAAGAAATACAACCTTAGGTCTAGAAGTTGAATTTTGCAAGTTGAAAATGTTCTAAGAGAAATATGACAGTTTTAACTAGATGTTTTTGTAGCTCACCTTTTGTATTTTGCTATTTATTTCAGAAACATTAATAATATAGTACAGCATAAGTCTTCATCTCATTAAAGAAGGGGTGATCATTACAATTAATGACAGTTAATTGAATACACTACTTTTGATTTAATTTTCTGTGACGCAAACTCTGAGGAACACAATCTTGTTATCTTATGTCTAATTCTTAGAAGTGCCAAACAGTTTGTAAAATTTGTGTCTACTCTAGCTCAGTGTCACTTGAAAATGGAATCACTACTCATATTCTGATTTGCATGCAGTTTAAGTTTTTATATATACTTTCACCCTATCTAATTATTCTTGATTTTTATTTTTGTGTCAGACAAAAGTTGAGGACTTATGAGAGGAAATAGCAATTACAATAAAACCTTACTGATTAATACGAATTGAGGAAAAAGTCAAAATTATAACTTGCCTGTAAAGACATGCACTTTCCATATTTTTGATTCAATTTAAATTTAAACCAGGAAAATATTTCCTGGTAGAACTGCTTGAGCATTAGGTTAGACAGGGTTGATTTATTATTAGCATGTCAGTTGTATGTGAACTACTGGGAAATAGTAGGTTTAAACAATTTCTGTTTCATTTGTGTTTACACTCCCAATTGCTTTAAGCACTTTTGTGTGTGTGCGTCAACTGTAAAAAGTCTGGCCTGGCCCTTGTGAGGAAAAAACAAAATATAATGAACTTTTAGTGAATAAAATTTAACCAGTTAGTACCAGTAAGTAAAGGGGGTGGGAGGGGCCTGTTTGCTGAAGCACTTAAGAAATGAAGGTACTTGACAGGAACATTTGCCATAGTAGTGATAAAACAGAAGATAAAACAGATGTTTGAGAACAGAGGCACTTAACCAAAGTAGCTGATATAAATGAAAAACCAACCTGAGTTTTGCCTTATTTATCAAGGTTTGCTTATAATTATATTAGGACCAGTAGACTTAATTACTGTATTTCTTTTTAAAACATTCTTACTCTTGGTAAAAATGTTATATCTGAGGTACTTATGCGGTTGAGTTTTACTATGTGAGGTACTGTTGCTCCGTTAGGCTTTCAAATTGACCTAAAAATGCCTATCTTTATGATTTTTTGTCATGAAGACTGGCAACTTCACTAAAAATCGTACTACAATAAAAACAAATCTTACTTAAAAATATACCTGCCTTACATATACCTAATGTAGAACATTTGGACTCATAAAAGGCAAATGGTATACATATAGATGTGTGTAAATCATATATATATATTACAATATATATATATTTGGTGGCAGAAAAAAGAAGATACTACGTTTTCACATTGAAAAGAATACTTTGCTTTTTGAAGTATTTACAGTAGAATTCTTTCAATAATGATGTCCTAATACTTTAAATATATGATTTAATAATAGAATTGGTTTACACAGAACTGTTCTGGAATACATCTCTTATATGAAGTGAAATACTGTATAATTGTACTTAGCTATTACTGTAGATAACTGAAACTTGAATAGTGATTTACTGTTTTATAAAATGCTTTCACATATGCTATCTCATTTGAACCTCATAACCAGCTCTGAAATAGAAAGGACATGCTATATTCTTATGTTAGAGAAGAGTAATCTGAGGTTAAAATCAAAGAATTCGTGTTACTGCATTCATATGGTCAAGAAGTAGCAGAGCTGCTAGCAGGAAAAGGAGAAGCAAGCATTGGTGCATGCTGCCTCGGTGCCTGGCGCTGCACGGTCTCTCTGATGTAGTATGAACCCAGTCTCGGGGGCTGGTCGTGGGATTCTTACAAAGAAATGGTCTTAACAAACAACAGGGCAACAAATTTACCTGCTGCCTCTAATTTCCAGAAATATGAGAAAATCCTTAAATTGTGACAACCTTATGCATGGATTTGGGCAAACTGAATATATATAACATTTTCAAGTTGGCACAAAAAATATAAAATGAGGCCTCTTTTAAGATGACCATTCTATAACTCTAAAATCTGCTTATTTTGTAAATATATATACAATTTAGAATCTGGCAACTAAGTGTAGCCTCATTCAGAATTTATTTTATGAGTATAATTTATTGTTTTAAATTAATTTTAGCAGATAGCAGTTAGCACTTAATCTGTACATTGAATAATTTGTCATGTGCAGAAATTCGCTGACCTAATCAGTTTTGAACATAAATGCACCAAAGATTTTTAGTGGGTATTATATAGTTTTAAAAAAAAATTAAATTCTTCGTTGTGTGAATAAATATTTGTCCAAAGAAGCACATTTAAAGTCCTGGAATAATGGATTTTTAAAAAGTAGTTAGTTTGAATATTGAGATAAAGTATTAAGTGTTTGTGTCAATATGTATAAAAGTAAAAACAGAAGAAAATACTCTGGGAATAGTCATACTGACCAACTGGTGACAAGGAATAATACTGTTTTCCACAGTTTAATTAATTGAATGTTATGTTTTTAGTGAACACTATCAAATGCTAAATAATAAGTTTATTTTTTACACTACACTATCTAAATAATTTTGGCCTTAATTTTTCTTAAGTCAAGTTGAGATTATTTTTCTAAGAGACTCCATCTGCTTTTTTTGCAGCCTAAAATACCATCTGAGGTTGGGGGTGTCCCTCATTGCCAGCAAGATTTAACCAACACCTGTAAAGGCAGTGGTCTTTGCATACTTTTAATTTAAATACTTGTTGCTGGAAGAAGAGGAATAGCAAAAGATTTTAAATTGGTGCTTTATTAAGAGACTTCCTTTAAAGGGACAATAGATCATGAAATACGTACACTAATACATTTTTTAAAAATCAACTTTAAAGTGTGAGAACATCTTTGTAGAGTGAATATAAACAATTAGTTAAGGGCTAATAAGGTACTTGACTGTATAATTGCAAACACAGTTGAGCTTTCCCACCATATCATTATAAAACATCATTGATGTAAAGTCAGATTTTGAGCATTAGATCTTTGACAGTGTCCTTTTGTACCCATTCTTTTCTGTGTTGAATACTTTGTGCCTTTTCTCTGTGTTGTGGTCACTTACAATCGATCCTGCTGGCTAGATTGTATCGGTTAATAAATGATGTGTTGTTTCCGGTTTGCTTTTTTTTTAATTATCATTATTATTTTTATGAATCTTACATTTGGTTGCCTGCTGGTTGGGCAACCTTTTTTTTTTTTTTTTCTCTTAGATTGCTTTAAGCTTATATAGGAAAATTGGCACTACGTACAAGGTGGACGTTTGTGTGTTTATGATTTTTGTACCTTTTTTTTTCTTAATTCTCTACTATGGCCTTTATCATTACTTTGAAGTCACTCCTGGGCCTGTCTCCAGATGCTTATTAGAGGAATCTGACAAAATTAATAGCTCATGTTCTCTCTCTTTTTCTCTTTTTCCTAAATAACTAGTTATCATACAACTCTGCACTGATAAAGCTTCTTATTTCTGTTTGCCTAAAACTGAGCAAAAGTTTATAGATTGAAATGAGTTTCTCTTTGGAGCGGCAACATCCCAAATAACATATAGCTTGAGTTGATGAACTCGGGAAGACATGAGACTTAAACATCCTACTTTGAACATTTTAAAATTTGGTGCCAAAATGGAGATGACTGAAATGAAAAACTGTAATGAGGAACAAGTAGCATTTCTAATCTTTTAGTATGATAAATGTTACTTGCTGTTAGAGAAAGTAGTAGATAACATGAGAATAATTTTCTAAGCCATTGTTTGAAACAAAACAATTTTTCTTTCCATCTTACCTTTCTCTTTTCTTTACATATCTCTCTTCTAGTCTGTAGTGGTTTGGGGGTGGGTAGGTCCTGCTTAACAACATTTTTACTTAAGATGTATTTTCCCCAATTATATCAGCATGTTTTCTGCCTTTTCTCCTTGGAAATAGCATTAATACAATAGAGGTAGTAGGATTAGGTTATGTGGAAGATGGGAGAACGCAAGTTTTTGTAGAGAGAGTGTGCCTGTTTTGCTTATTTATGTTTCAGCTTGCTGAGTGTGTTGGTCTTCAGTCTTTGACTTCTGAAAAAAATCCCAAAAGTAATATTTAGTCTGCAGTCATTTAAAGAAAAATTAAAGATTTTATTCACAGCATAGAGGTTATACAACAATGAAAGTAAACCCCTTTGTTCAACTTCTCAGACAAAAACAATTCAATCATTACATCTAAAATATTTTTTAATGAAGAGCATGTATACACCTTGTTGTCTGTTGTGCCTCTGCTTGGTATTCCTGCTTTCATTAAAGTTGGACAGTGTACTATAGTGTCATTATGAAATATTTATTCCTTACAACAATCAAGTTCTTATCCATCCTTCTCGCTAAAACTGTGTGACAGTTGGTGAATGTGACTGCCAAAAGATGACACAACACTGGGATTTTAGCTGCTCTGTATCATGGGAGATACTTTGATGAAGGGGATTTATGTTGTACATTAAGATAGAAATGTTTTTAAACTTGCTTTTTGTCTCAAACAATAATTTTTGTCTTTTAATTAAGGATACTTTTAAATTCAATGACAAGGAAAAGTCTAAAATGTCAAAATTCATTGTTAACTGAGTGTAAAATACCTTGTGAGTTTTATAAATATCTTGGCTGTCTCATGTTTATTAAGTACAAATGTCTATAGAAAAATTGAGTTCTTTGTGACAAATAGGAAGTGTCTTGTATATTGAACTAGTTCTTTGTGTTATTTTGATATTTAAAATAAATATAAAGTTCTTTGTTCCCGATAAGCACATCTAGGTTTTATTGAGTTATATTTCTTAGCATGGAAACACTGTACTTTGTATGCCTGCAGAAAAATGGATCATTAACATGTGAAAAAGAGAATCATTGGATACATGTAAACATTTATTTTTCATAAGCTACACATAACTTTGTGACATTTTTATACTTAATGTAAAACGTTAAACTACTTAATGATTTTTAGTTGTTAATATAAACTCATATGTTAGTGATAACTATTTGGCTTGAAATAGTCATGCTATTTTTTTTTTTTGAAAGAAGTCTGAAATTCAGTAAAATCCCACTAATGAAGTGAGATGAACTATTAGGGTAGCCACTCTTCTATCTAACTTACACAGTCCCACTGCTCCAGCCTGGGTTGCTGTCATCACCATCTCAAGCCACATCAGCGGTTAGTAGGCTTTCTCTGTCAGGGAAGCTTCTCCATGTTGGGAGAGCAGCACAGTCCATGGGTAGCAAAATGGGTCTTCTATCAGAAGACAGTGTTTTATGGTTCTTTAGATCTGAGGTCATCAAAACTCTTTGTAAAGGAAAAAAAAAAATTAACATTAGGCAGGCCACATGATTTCTGTCATGACTATTCTGCCATTATAGTGGAAAAGCCATCCCAGATGACATGCAATGAGTGAGCATGACTGTGCTCCAATAAGACTTTGCAAAAATCAGTGAGATGGATGGAGTGGGGTCTCAGGTCATAGTTGCTTGTTTCTGGATTACGTAGTAGTTGATATGATAGTTTGGAACAAATAGCCACCACACTAGGCCTAAACATTCAGTCTTTACCACCCCAATAACAAAACTAGGATCTGCTTTTCAAAAGGCATGGCCTTTTTCCTAAACCTGGAATCCTGTGTTATAATTCCGCTCTGTAACTTGCCAGAGCTTCTACCCCATATCTCTACCCTGCTTCTACTCCTTATCTCTGTCATGCACACTGGAGTCTTTCCAGCCACATAGCATAAGAAGCAAGGTGACACACACTGCAACCTGGATCTGCCTCAGGTTTACCTGCTCCAGACCTCACTTGAAAATGTGGATCTTACAGTTTACCAGGTGAACAGATTGGTGACACATGCCTTAATAAAGCATTCACTGCATCCAAACAAGGCACAGCAAGTGGTTAGAACAGATGTCAAGGCTTATCAGACCATTAGAACCCTAAACATTTTGTGATATGGCAGAAATCTGAACTTTGTTATAATGCTATGATCTGGTCCCTAAAATTATGTGGGAGGTTTAGACACCAAAATGTTAGATTAGCAGGTGTAAGAAAATGAAACCTTAATCCAGTTACAGTGAAGCCTCTGGGAAATGCTAAATGAAAAGATGGAATCACTGTTCCAACATCAAATCTAGGCTTTGGGATACCCTGGGAACCAGGTAAAAGACTTCAGTTAGGTTTCTCTTCAGATGTAGTTATGCTGCCTTTATGTCAAGCAACACGATAGTAAATTGCTCACCTTATTTCTGTGGTCCTTGATCAATTAATTATTGCCACAGCTCTGCCTTGAATTACTCTTCAGTCTTGGGCATACTGTGGTAAACGCTGTAATATTTTTTCTATTAAGTGCCAAGTGAACTTGTTCCTTGAGGATTCCATCATTTATGTGGAGATGAAACTATTTTCATTATAACATTTTCTGTCATCATTATGACCTATAAAAAGTCGCCATGAGTCCTTTTATAGATGACTGAGACATCATAGCTCCTGCATTTCTTTACCCTATGGGCAAAGATTTGTGGTGGTATAGTTAGATATTTATGCACGTTAATGGGTGAGTTAGTTGAATATAAGGCAGATGGGGTGTCCTCCGATGTTCCTACCTTCTGGAGCCATTAGATATCTAACTCCACAGGGTGCCAAGTAGATCCTGGCATTTTCATTTAATAGATGCTAAAACACCATTGAATGCAACTTTCAGTTAGTGAATATAGGAGACTTTCAAAGCCATATCTCCACTCCATACTTGAGTCAAGGTATTAAATAGGTAGAATGATGGTTCCTTATGACTAGTCCCTTGGTCTTTCATCAGTACAATCTGTAGAATTCCATGTAAAAACACAAAACTCAGGGCCACTGCTGTATCCATCAGAGTTACAGAGTCAACACAATATAAGCAAAATTTAACTGTTTGCAAAGATGTAGTCATAACATTAGAAAACATAAAAAAATTATGGGCTTGACATGGTGGTTTAGTAGCTAAAGTCCTCGCCTTGAGCATCCCAGAATCCTATGTGGGCGCTCGTTCTAATCTCATCATCCCTGCTTCCCATCCGGCTTTCTGCTTGTGGCCTGGGAAAGTAGTCTAGGATGGCCCAAGACCTTGGGATCCTGCACCTGAGTGGGAGACCTAAAGGAGTTTGCTGGCTCCTGGCTTCAAACCAGCACAGCAGCAGCCATTGCAGTCACTTAGGGAGTGAATCAAGGGACAGACTATCTTCCTGTCTCTCCTCCTCTCTGTGTATCTGGCTTTGCAATAATAGTAAAAAAAAAATTAATAAATATATATGTCATATATATATATATAACTATAGTTATATAGTTATATATGTCATTGGGACAAGTCACAACAGGGTATTCTGACCCCCCATTAAAGGGAAGAATCTTTGTGGAGAGGGTACCTTTACACGGTTTTGAATGTGGAGACAATCAACCAGCAACCCAAGATGGGGGTGAGAGAGTCAGCAAAATCTTCCCTCTTGTGAAATATAACAGAAGACAAAGGAAGAAAACATGTTTGCAGCTGGTCCACACAAAGAGATGTATGTTAGTATGTTTATGTTAGTAGCAGCATTGCTTTATTTTATTAAGAATGAGCCAACAGAAAAAGTTGTGTTGAGTATTGTAGCATTAACCTAGAGAGGGTTTATTTGCAATGATAATTTGATGAGCAACATCCACATTAAAATATGAAATGTGTTTGAAAATAATAATTCATATTGATGTTTTTGCTGAAACCAAAGTAGGTAGTAGTGCCCTCATAGTCCTGACGGTTAAAAAAATTTTTTTATTTGTGTAAGTATTGTTAAAGTAATAAAGTGTAACTCCAGGCTGTAGTTCCACATGTCATCTTCATTTGTTTGCCACGGAGACCTTTTATTCTTAAGTTGTGTTGTCATACATTCTGTCTGTGTCTGTCTGTCTGTTTATCTGAAGATTCCTGTTACCTTCAGAAGCAGATTCAAATAAAGCACCTGGACACCTATCCTGGCTTTGTCTCTTCCAAGTTAGCAGTGGGCCCCGAATTCCTTGTCTGTAAAATTTAAAAAATAAATTTAATTGATCGGGATGATATTCTGCCAGCTCTACCTTCAAACCAGAGATGGTCTCTCTAAGAGACTGTTCAATCTATCTGGACAATAAGATGCTGGACTCTATGCCTGGTATATGTATGCAAAGAAAGAATCTTGACTGAATTTGAACCGTAATACTGCAGCAAGGTGGAGGAATCCACCATGAGAGGAAGGTATGGGGAGGGGCTGGGGGAATCCCAGAGCCAATGAAACTGTGTCACACAATGCAACATAAATAAATAAATAAACAAACAAAACAAAAAACTTCTAATGAAAGCTCATACATGTATGAAACGGGCTTTAAATTAGTCCTGGCGTAGTCACAGGCAAGCTACAATCATTATTCTCAGATCCTGCAATTACATTAGAAACCAAGAAGTGACTTATCAAGTGACTTACTGGGGATCAAAAGGTTTCATTTAGCTAACCAGGCTCGTTCCGGCATCCTGAGCTAAGAGACACACAGTTGTACCGAGATGCTGCCATGGGCAGTTACTAAAAGAAATGCCTCGCACGAATCAGATTTAACGTTCGATGCGTTTCTAGCACTGGGCTCGGGAAGCCGTGGAAATAAATGTGACTCACTCTGGGCGGACTGGACTCCATGCCAAGAGCGTCCCTCTCGCGTCAGCCTCGGCACCTGAACGGTCACTGCTTCCACTTTGGAAACGCTGGTAATTTTCCTCCTTTTCAACACGGCAGGTCTATAAAACCTGAGGACAGACTTCGGTTCTAGAACGAGGATTTCAGGACCCCTCAGGGGCGCAGTCACAGAGCCGGCCGCGATCACCGACAGCACCCGCAGCGCGCCGGTATCATTTAAATGAGGCGCGGCCGCCTGATTGGCCAGCGCCCTGTGCCCTGATTGGCTCCGAGGCGCCGGGGGCGGTGCCCGGGGCCACCAATTGGCAGAGGCGGTAAGTTTAAACAAGGCGAAGAGGCCATAGTTGTTTGCGGCTCTGTTGCGCTGCTCAGCGTTTCTGTCTCCGGCTTGCACGGTCGGCTGTTGGGAAAGGAAAGGAGGATTCACGCTCTGGGCCTGCACAGCCGCCGCTGAGGGGAGGCCGCCGGCGGGGCTCGGGCTGCCATGGCGGCCCGGCGTGTGGGGCGAGGCTGCTGGGAGGTGAGCCCCGGCGAGCGCAGGCCACTGGCCCGGCGGCGCGGCCCCGCGGCCGAGCGGGACGAGGAGGAGGCGGCTTCCCCGCCGCTGCTGTCCCTCAGCCACTTCTGCAGGTCGCCCTTCCTGTGCTTCGGCGACGTGCGCGTGGGGTCCTCGTGCACGCGGCCTCTGGCGCTGGACAACCCCAACGCGGAGGAGGCCGAGGTGAAGGTGTGGCACCTGCCGGCCGCCGAGCTGGGCTTCAGCGTGTCGCCGAGCCACTTCGTGCTGCAGGTGAGGCGGTGTGGGAAGGAACACGGGAGGGCCTGGGCGGGTTCTGGGGGACCCGCAGGGAAGGCCTGGACGGGTTCTGGGGGACCCCGCACGGGAAGGCCCTCGGAGGGTTCTGGGGGACCCCGCAGGGAAGGCCTGGGCGGGTTCTGGGGGACCCGCAGGGAAGGCCTGGGCGGGTTCTGGGGGACCCGCAGGGAAGGCCTGGACGGGTTCTGGGGGACCCCGCACGGAAGGCCCTCGGAGAGTTCTGGGGGTCGCTTCACAGTGCGGTTTGCTTTTCTCTCTGAAGCTGGGGATGGGTACCGACTGGGGCGGTGACAAGCCCTCTAGACTTCAGCCCTTGCAAAACACTCCTGCGGTCCTAGATTTTTTTCCTAGAAATTTTTAAACTCTTTTTTGGGGGTGGGGGTTAGTGATTGATTAGAACTACTTTTGGATAACTTCTAGTGAGCCTCCTGTCAGTCTAATGTGCATTTCAGTCTCACGGTGTTGCTGCGCCTTCTGTTGAAATAGTGATGCTTTGCAGTAGACTGCAGTATTTGTACGTGGTGTGTATGTGTGCTTTCAGTATTGTAGCTGCTAGTGTAATTTCAATGTTTTCCTGTAGTGTTCCCGGTACTCTTTCGGGAAGCTCCCCTTGGCTTTGACAGCGTTGTTTTGGCCCAAGGTGTGCTCCTGAAGTAGTACAGGAGGGATTGGTTTGGCAGCAACAATTCCTGTCAGCTGCCTAAGTCACCTGCCACTCCCCTCTGCCCCAGGACTCACTGCTGCCACCCTTTCCTTCCTAAATCCACATCATACTTTGGCTTGCTCCTTTTTGTTATTGTATGCGACGCAAGTTTTCTTGGGGTTTTGAATGAATTCTGTTTTACGGAATTTACTGCTGTTTTTGAGAGCAGCTGCGTGTTGGTGTTAAGGTTCCTTGTCTTTTTGCTCCAGAGGCAGAGTGTGTGAGGGCAGGGTGTTGCACTTGGTCTACCCGCCAGGCTGCAGGTTTACATGTTAAGGCTTCCTGGGTCCTAAGGACTTCAGCAAAGCTTCATTCTGGATGTGTGTAACCATAGCAACTGCTTCAGAGGAATATGAGCACTAAATGAGTTTTGAAACATTCTGGTTTGCATAGAACCTAACAATTGATAAATTATCATACATATACTATATGACGATGTGAATTTTAAAAAATAGTTGATCTGTTTTATATTTCTTTTGGAATAAAATCTTCATAATGTAAGATTGTTCTATAATGAGATAGAACTACTGTGCATCCCAAAGAAATAGAACAATCAAAATGATTTTGAGACCATTCCATGGTTTTCCTACAATTGATACAATTGAAACAATTGAAATTTTATAACTTTATCCCATGATGGACATTACAATTACTAATGACTTTTTTGTTCCGATGGAATGAGCACATAAGGTTGGAAAAAGATATTTGACTTACTAGATTTTGTTAGGGTATAGAGTATTATTGACTAATCATTTTTAATCCTTTTTCTAAGTATGTAGCATGTTTTCATTGTTAGGCAATTAGCATAGTCAGAATCACTGAAACTCTATTCTTTCACTATAGCCTAAAGAAAAAATTGTGATTTCTGTTAACTGGACACCACTGAAAGAAGGCCGAGTCAGAGAGATTGTGACGTTCCTTGTAAACAATATTGTGAAACACCAAGCAATATTACTAGGAAATGCAGAAGAGAAGAAAAAGAAGAAGGTAATGTTTTAATCATTCCGTGATTTACTCTAAGGAAATGTTTAATGTGTAAAATTATGTTGATGACAGACCTGAGGTTATAAACAGTTTCGATTTTTAAAAATAATACTCAAAAGCTGTCAACTTAATGGGTAAATGTTGTTTATTTTTGCAGAGGCGTGTCTGGAATACTATTAGTAAGAAGAAAATTTCAGCCTCTTCTGGTAGTTACAAAAGAATTTCAAATACTCAAAATGTTAATAGAACGTTCAGTGTTCCCCAAAACATTGACAGGGTTAGGAGCCCATTGCAGGCCTGTGAGAACTGGACTGTCAGTGATGCCTGTTCCAGAACTGAAAACAATTCTTTAACCCTTGAAGAAAATGAAATCCCCCTGTCCCCCATCAGCCCTGCTTTTAAGGAATGCCATGGTGAAGCTTGCGTACCCCTCTCTGTGCGTCGGTCGACCGCCTATTCATCTCTTCATGCGTCTGAAAACGTTCAACTTTTGAATGTAGAAGATGCTAACATTTCAAAAGACTTTAGTTTTAGTGAGAAAGTGATAACTGAAACCTGTTTTAACGTCATAAATATTAATAGCCAGAGTGAGAACAGTGAACTACTTCTTACCCCAAACCATTCTTCAACTTTAAACATCACACAAAACCATGGACATTTTCTAAGTCCAGATTCCTTTGTAAATAATAATCTTGCAGCTAATAATGGAAAACTAGAAGCAGAAACATATCTTTCGTCAGATGGATTTATGAGAGGTGATTCAAAACCTGTGCATTTGGAGTCAAAAACTGTGCATGAAATTTATCGGACAATTTTAAGCCCAGATTCCTTCATAAATGATAATTATGGAATAAATGAGGAAGTAGAATCTGAGTCAGTTCATCCCATCTTATCCCCAAATCAATTCATAAAAGATAATATGGCATATGTACGTGTATCACAACAAACTTGTGAAGTGTCATTGTCCAGTGAAAATCCTCGCGTCTCAGAGTCTCCTGGAAAGTGCAGGAAAAGTGAAGCTTTGCTGCGTACTCCTGCATGTCAGGGATTAAAATCTTCCAAAGCTGTTTTAGAAGAAATCAAAGTTATGGAAATGAAGTCAAAACACTATTCTGTCAGAAAAAGTCATCCCACATTTCCTGCAGTTCCAGATGTTTCCAGTTTCAGCAATAATACAGAACCTAAAAGACGCCCAATACTTTCTGCCACTGTTACAAAAACGAGACCCACCCATGGCAGAGGAAACCAAACAGAGATGATCAAACCAAAGGTGAAAAGAAGCCTCAACAGTGCAGTTAATGAAAAAATAATTGATAATCAAAGAGACAAAGCAGTTTTGCATTCTTTTCTTCCAATTATAGATCCAATAATAAGTAAATCCAAGGGTGATAAAAGTGAAATAATTCCCTCTTCAACACCATCTTTAGTTAGTCGTAAAAGAAAGAGTGAGGGAATCGTGGAAGGTGGAAATGTGACTGTTGCTGTTATAGAACATACTGAAGTGCGAGAAAGCAAAAGAATCCATTTTTCCCCCTTGGAGTCCAAAACATCAACTGCTAAAAAACCAAAAAGCACAGTAACACCTATTTCTAAATATATCAGCAACAGGGAGAAATTAAACCTGAAAAAGAAAACTGGTGAGTCTTACTTTGTTTTGTTCCTGTATAAGATGTATTTTTTGTTTCGTTTGACTTAATTAATCATTAGTTTCAGGTTATAAGTGCTGTTAAAAGGTGTTATTAGCAAATAATTGTATCAACTTGCTTAGTGGAAAATGGGACAGGTGTGGTAGGGGGCTTAAATCTGATATTGTAACAGATAAAAACAAATTGTGCATGTTCATAGATTACCATGAAATGCTTCATAGCTGTATACATTCTATGAGATTAGGGTGTTTTGCTCCTCAAAAATTTATCATTTCTTCATGGTGAACACATGCAAAATGCTTTGCTTTGAATTTTTGCTTAAAAAAAATGCAATATGCGGGTACTTCCAAAACTTCATGGAATACTGTAACTAAGTGATGTTTATTTTGTTACAAAACATGTTGCAGTCTTTGTGTGGTTTTCCATACTATACATTTTCCATGATCTTTCCATAGGTTATTTTTAGCTGTTGTCACACTTTTGTGACACAGGAGCTTAAGTTAGAGTCTGTTAAATTTTTTCTAACACTCCTAATTTTCCCATATTGGTAATACAATCGACTTCTCTGATACTAGATTTTTTAGATTGCTTGTATTTAGAGATTATATAGTACTTATTCTGTACCTTGCTTATTTCATGTGATAATATTTTTTAGTTTTTCCCATGTTTTTGCAGGTAACAGGATTCCATCCTTTTTATGGCTGAACAGTATTCCATTATGTATTTGTGACACATTTTATAAATCTAGCTGTCAGTGTGGGGTACTTGGATTATTTCCTTTTTTAGAATTGTGTATAGTGAAGGAATTAACATGGGAGAAGAGATGTCTCTTCGACAGTGTGGAATCTTTTCCTGTACGACCAGTAATGGGGTTGTTAGATGGCATGGCCCGTCTGTTTTTGAGGAACCTCCATGCTGTCTTCCGCATTGCTTGCACTAATTTACAATCCTTCTGACTGTGCAGAGGTTTTGTTTTCTCCATCACCTTGCCAGTGGCGATTATCTTTTGTCTTTTTGATCATAGCCAGCCTTGTGTATTTATTTGAATTACAAGTTTTTGGCATCTCCTAAGCTTTACAGTCATGGAGAGTTTTTCACATCTGAACAGACACAGTAAAGTCTCTTGTCAAACTCGGTGCTCTCAGAGTAAAAGCCTTAGTGACTGACATAAAAGTATTGCAATATTAGCTCTCCTATTATTTTTAGCATTGTCGAACTTTCAACCTGTTCTTGTATGTCATTTCTCATATATGTTTTTTGCTCTATCTTTATCATAGTTCTGTTAGCAAGTCATATTCTTTATGTCTAATTTCAGTTTCATGAGATAACATGTGAAAATAGTGAATATGCTTCAAAAAGTTTTTGACAAGTTGCAGTTGAGTTTATTTTAGTTCATAAAGAGAGAACTCCTGTCTGCTGATGACAACTGAAATGCACAGCATGGTTAGGAGGCCAAAGCCTGCAGCTGGGAGCTCGAGTCGAGTCTCCTGTGGAGACCAGTTGTTTGAGCCATCACCGAAGTCTTGCGGATTTTGTGTGGCAGGGAGCTGGAATTAGGAGTTGGGAATCAGATCCTGGTGTTCTATGTGGAATGTAGGCATCCTAAGCCGCATCTTAATCACCAGGTCAAACATTCACCTCGATGCAAAGCATTTGTGAAGTCCAAGCATAGATTTTTTTCATAATGCACACCTTCTGTGAACTTTCTGAACATGCCTAGTGTGAGAACTCTTACCTTCTTCCATACTAGTCTGAAAACTTCTTAAGGACTAGGATCATATCTTTCAGTTCTACATATTCTTAGCACTTAGCACAAAATTCTAGTATGACAAATGATTGACCCTAGACTTTAGTTTTTATAGACAAAACCAAATCCTAGTTTATGGTCTGTAAACTTCCAACTGTTAGTTTTATAATGCCTGAATCACAGAGTGATTAAATATCTGCTGGGTGAATGTGGTTATGAAAGAACCATTTGTCTAGTTTTAATACTACTGGTTATGTTTTTGGATTTATTTCAGATTCAGTATTCAGAACTCCTAAAGCAAAAAGGAGAACAAAACCTATTGTTGCTGTGGCACAGTCCAGTTTGACTTTCCTAAAGCCACAAAAAACAGGCAAGTGTTTGTTAATTTAAGTTCTTCAAAAAAGTGACATTCAGTGAGTCATTAATTGTGATACAAATGGAAATGAATTAATATTTTTGTTGGATAAAAACTTGAACAACTGAGTATTCGAATTATATTTGAGATATTCTAATAGACTTGGATGAAATGGATTCAGAATCTCCTAGGATTTTTAAATAGCCAATAAGTGTTGCTTTGCTTTTTCCCCTTTGCTTTGCCTTAATTGTGCTTTATAATGTGAATGTTTACAATTCTTTCCAGCAAGAAGTGGAAAGACAAAGATTGTTTAGTGTTTTATAGATGGCTTTGCTAATAAAATTTGCTTTTTGCTGTGTGCGGTACAATAGTGTAACGGGGATTCCTCATGCAATAACCTAACCGTTTTCTCAGAGATCCCTAGACACCCACTGCCATTTGCTGCAAAGAACATGTTTTATGATGAGCGCTGGAAGGAGAAGCAGGAGCAGGGCTTCACTTGGTGGCTGAATTTCATACTGACTCCTGATGACTTCACTGTAAAAACAAATGTGTCTGAAGGTAAGAATTAAAATAAGATTTAAATTTAGTTACTGCTTACTTCCTGTTCTCTCAACTCAAGCAATGCAGAAAGTTCCATGTAGCTCGACTGTGTCATACTGTCTCTCTTATCAAGTGCTTTGAAGAGAGTTATAGGATTAAACTGAATCTGAGGACAAATTCATGTAATTCATGTTGGGAGTTGTTAGTCTGTGTCTATCCGGAAAAAGGGAATACTTGAAAGTGGAAGAAAATAAAGACATGAAACCCTTCAGATATCTGTAGGATTTTCTTCTGAAAATGATGGAAATTAACTGATGTAAAGCCTTCAGATGAAAGTTCCAGGGGTCATTGTCAGCAGAAGGGGACATCCTTGAAAACACTTCAGTTGTCAAACCATCCCATGCACTGTGTTTTAAAGTAAAGAATGCCCCACTTGTAGTATTTAAATACAAAACACTTTGTGTACGTGAGAAGCAGCTATAGGATTTCTACATAGATAAAATGTCTTTGGATTAGATAATCTCTAAGATCACTTATATTTCCCTCTAGGAAAAAACTCAAATGTCTAATTTTCAAGAGAAAATAAATATGCTTTACAAAAATTTATGTGACATTTTAAATTTTAATTGATATTTAAAAATCGCATTCCTAAGAAGCTTGACTTTTTAGGAATTTATAAAGAGGATGGAAATAGAGAAGCCAATTCAGAGGCTATTTAATTAGATTGGGTTAGCAGCTGTGATGTTAGAACTTGGATGGCGGATACGACAGGAAGAGGTTAGACTGCAGTTAATATTTTACAGATAGAACTGACAGTTACTGGAATTGAAGCAATATTATAATTTTTTCTTTTTTTTTTAAGATATATTTATTGTTGCAAATTCAAGTGTACAGAGAGAATAGGTACAGAGAGAAAGATCTTCCATCTGCTAATTCACTCCCCAAGTGGCTGCAATGGCCAGGACTGAGCCAGTCTGAAACCAGGAGTCAGAAGCTTCCTCTGGGTCTCCTAAGTGGGTACAGGGTCCCAAGGCTTTGGGCCATCCTCTATTGATTTCCCAGACCACAAGAAGGGCACTGGATGGGAAGCAGGGTGGCTGGTCATGAACTACACCCATAGGGGAATTTGGTGGATGTAAGGTGAGGATTTTAGTCACTATGCTATCCCACTTGGCCCTGTAGCGATAGTTTTTAACCAGAAATATTTTTTTTTTCCCTAGTGGATGCTGCTACTCTTCTTTTAGGAGTGGAGAATCAACATAAAATAAGTGTGCTGAGAGCACCTACAAAAGATGAGGTGTCTCTGAGAGCTTACACTGCCCGATGCAGGTTGAACAGGCTGCGTCGTGCAGCATGCCGTTTATTTACTTCTGACAAAATGGTTAAAGGAATTAAAAAGCTTGAAACTGAAATTGAAGCTAGGCGATTACTTGTTCGGAAGGACAGGCACCTCTGGAAAGATGTGGGTAAGAAGACTGCAGAAATCTTTTTTTTTTTTTAAGATTTATTTTATTAGTTTTATTGGAAAGGCTGATATACAGAGAGGAGAGACAGAGGAAGATCTTCCGTCCGATGATTCACTCCCCAAGTGAGCGTAATGGCCGACGCTATGCTGATCCGAAGCCAGGATCCAGGAACTTCTTCTGGGTATCCTATGCGGGTGCAGGGTCCCAAGGCTTTGGGCCATCCTTGACTGCTTTCCCAGGCCACAGGCAGGGAGTTGGATGGGAAGTGGAGCTGCCGGGATTAGAACCAGTGCCCATATGGGATCTCAGTGCATTCAAGGCGAGGATTTTAACCACTGCGCGGCTGCAGAAATCTTGATAACTTTTTTAACAACTCCCCCAACTTTACTTAGGAATAATTGACAAAATTGTATATATTTAAGTTGTACAACATGATATTCATTTGCGTGGACATTATGAAAATGACAGTGACAGCCTGGTTGCTTTATAGGTTACCTTGCGTAGTTACCTATTTTGGTGTGTATGTGTGGTGAGACCATTTAAGATACACTCTTAAATATGATATGGTATTATTAGTGTTAATCAGTCTCTTCAGAATTTATTCAAGACGTAACTTAAAACTTGTACCCTTTCACCAGTATCTCCTGCATTTACCAATACCCGAGCTCCATGACAACCGCTTATGAGCTGCATTTTTTTTTACATTTGCCATAGCAGATCAGGTAGTATTTGTCTTTCTGTGTATGCTTATTTCACTCATATAATGTCTTCTAAATTCATTCAAGCTATCACGAATGGCACCTTTTTTCTTTTAAAAGGATGTGTATGGTATAAGCACATATATAATTATTTTATTCATTTATTCTTTGATGGACACTTAGACTGAATGTGAATAATGGTCCAGTGAATGTGAAAGTTTCCACTGCTCTGTGCATATACCTCTTCTGGATACAGATTTTGTTTCCTTTGGATGTATACTCAAAAATTTGTTTCTTTTTTTTACTTGAAAATCAGAGTTAGAGAGAGAGTGGGAGAAAGAGAGATTTCGCATCTGCTGTTTGACTCTCCAGATTGCCACAGTGGCTGGAGCTGAGTCAGGCGAAGCCAGCAGTCAGAAACTTCATCCGAGTCTCCCGTGTGGGTGACAGGTGCACACATGTGGGTGGTTCTGCTGCCTGGTTGAGGCCATTAGCAGGGAGTGGGTCGGAAGTGAAACAGCTGTCACAAACTAGTGCCCGTATGGATGCCGCTGTTGCCAGTGGTACACCGTTCCACCTGCTGCACCTCATTGTGGTACCCAAGCTTATGTTTGTTTCACTGCTAAAGATGCATGCTTTAGCTTTATTGCCTAAAATCTTACATACTTAAATATTATCACATATCTTGTAGAGGTATATTTCATTTAAATTCAGTTATTTCATGTAAGCACTTGTCCCCCACTGATACCCTTTCTTTGATTAGCAACCTGAGCTTATTTGGTTTTGATATTTGTTTCAGGAGAACGTCAGAAAGTCCTGAATTGGCTGTTGTCATATAATCCTTTGTGGCTTCGAATTGGCCTAGAGGTAAGCATGTTTGAAGTTTTGAAAGCAGTGTGTTATTATCAATGAGATGGTTTTATTTTGAAAGTTACAAAGGCATTTTCTTAGCTTGGTTTACTTTTCAATACAATGTAAGATCTGTTAATAAGTACTCCTAAGTTAGACTATGCCAATGTTTGTTGTGATATCATTAAAGAGCAATTTATCTGTAACTGCTTAAATGTGATGAATATGTGCTGTAGGTAATGACAGCTATGCAAAATTAATTTTTGAACATGAAATGAAAAGACTAAGTTATTTTAAATATAATATCTAATTTAAATGTCATCAATACCCAGTGAGGTATGTATTATTGCCACTTTACTAACAAAACAGCCAGTTAGGTGTTGAGTGAGTTGCCAAATATCAATAATCAGTGAAAATTAACAATCTACTCAACATTGCACTTCAATTAATGGTCAAATCTTTGCAGGCTTAAGAAAGCTTCAAAGACTTAAAAAAAACTTATATAGATAAATTTCTCTATTTGGCAAGTGTTAATGCTTCTTCATGCTTTTATCTCCATATTTTATCGTTATAACATAGTGTTAAGGACATAGGCTATGTTTTTTAGTTTTTTTGAATAATAAGCATGTGGAGGTTAAACTAAACTAATGTCATATTTAAGTCATTTAACCACAAAGACATCTGACCTTCCCAAATTTTGCAGAAGCTTGTTCATTTGTTAAGCATTCTACTTAAGGGGGCAGTTATAATGAGATTTGAACAACATGCTTGTGTTTTTCCTTGATTACAGGAAAAATTTTAAATGTAAATATTATTTGCCAAGTGATTAAGAATTGATCTTAGTCCTGCATTATATCTTTTTTCACTGCGAAGTATTACACATATTAAAATGTGCATAAATGAGGTATGGAGCAATAGCTTAGTGACTAAGTCCTCACTTTGCATGTGCTGGGATCCTGTATGGGCGATGGTTAATGTCCCAGCTGTTCCACTTCCCATCCAGGGCCCTGCTTATCGTCTGGGAAAGCAATAGAGGACAACCCAAAGCCTTGGGAACCTGCACCTGCATGGGAGAGCTAGAAGAAGCTCCTGGCTCCTGGCTTCAGATCAGCTCAGGTCTGGCTGTTGCAGCCAGTTGGGGAGTGAACCAGTGAATGCAAGATCTTTCTCTATGTATTCTGTCTATATATCTGCCTTTCCAATAGAAATAAATAAATGTTTTTTAAAAAGTGCACAAACCACAAGTACAATGTAAACGTGTTATTTAGTGTTTAACCATTTCACTTCTAGTCATTTCTTTAGAAGATCATGCCCTTCTCCAGTTTCATCCTTTGTATCCCCTTGCTTCTGGAAGATAGTATAAAGCTTCATTGGGCTTTAACTCTTTTTCTTTTCAGACAATTTATGGAGAGCTCATCTCACTGCAAGACAACAGTGATGTCACAGGGTTGGCTATGTTTATTCTGAAACGCTTGCTTTGGAATCCTGATATCGCAGCTGAATATCGCCATCCCACGGTCCCCCATCTCTACAGAGATGGTAGGTTTGTCGCACCATCGCCCAGCTGTGTAAATGTCTTGACTCTGTGTCTGTTCTCAGGGAAAGCAGTGTAAATAGGTTGCTGCTTGCACTACTTCCCTTCCTCCAGCCCCATTATTGCCCATCATTTCCTGTATCATTGTTTATAATTCTTATCTGTTTGCTATCTCTGCCCACCTGCTCCCTCAGACTACACTGTGTCAGTCCACTGGAGGAGGTCTTGTTATAATTTGTAGCAGAGGATCTAGCATCTAGGATGGTGCCTGTCTATAGTAGGTGTTCAGTAAACCTTTGTTGAGTGAGATCAATCAAATCTCTTGCTGTTTCTGTGCCTATTTGCTTGTTCATGAATTGGATATGTAGAGTAATAACTGGTCCTTCGTTATTACGATTACGTGGGATTATAAGATCCCCACTAAGAATGACACAAACTGCCTTATTTTTGCTTGCTGCTAGTTTGTACTTGCATATTATTATTATTAGCATATTTTTAAGTGAACTTGCCTGCTATGCATTAACTTACAATGCTTTTCTTATAATTTATTTCAGATCATGAAGAAGCTTTGTCCAAGTTTACACTGAAGAAATTGCTATTGTTGGTCTGTTTCCTTGATTATGCAAAACTTTCCAGACTTATTGATCATGACCCCTGTCTCTTCTGTAAAGACGCTGAATTCAAGGTAAAGTTTTCATTTATGCTTCATATCATTTTCCTGTTTAAGACTCATTCGTTCTGACATGTTCTCTCTTTAGAAAAAAAGTCATTTTTTAAAGACGAGTACTGTGGAGTAAAACAATACCATCTAGTGAGTCTTCACCCAGCTTGACAATGTCATTGCTGGGATTGCTTGTTTCAGTGCCAGGACTCCTTCCTTTCATAAGGCAGCGAGTTACATATTAATTGGCTCTCCCTTCCATGGCAGATAATTTTTGAACCTCAGTTGAAGTTGAGCTCCAAATTTTGAGACATGGGTTTTACAAGAGCATCGATCTGGTCTGCCCCCATCCCAGCCTATGCTCTCCTGCGGAAGTAGCTGTCCTGCAAAGGAACCCTCCCTTATTCCCCTGCCGGCTCTGCCCACTTCCTTTCTTGTTCTCAGGCTGGTTGGGTGCTGCGGTCCCTTCCGGTACAGGCAACCTCACCTTGGCATTCCATATTGTGCACTAGTCTTTGTTGCGACCGAACCTGGGTCGACCCACACTGGTGCCTGGATTTGCCAGTGAATGACATGGACAGATTCAGCCTGGTCTTGCCCCCACATCTGCCAATTGTATGCCAGTGTGTAGCTTTCCATGGCCTTTTCTGGGCTGTTTCCTATCATGTTTCTTGCGCTTACCTGCCGGGTCTGTGTCCTGCCAGAGGAGTTGCCCAGGCTCCTCCATCAAAACCTCTCCCAATGCCAGGTTTCACGCTTACCAGTGGGTCCATGAGCCAACCCTACTCAGTCCACCTCCTGTCATAGCAGGAGCTGTGGATTTTCCTGACTGGCCTTCCACCCAATCTGGTTCTTGCTGTTGGATGTTCCAGCCCAGCCATGGTTTGTCCATACCCACGTATGGCTCACACATGGCTCAGTAGGGATTTGAGACCTTGCCTAGTCCATCCCAAATCTGCCCTGGTCCTCCAGGACACCAGGGGGTGTTGGGGTCCGGCCCGGTTCGGTGCATCCAATCCCAGCCCACACTTGTGCCAGGGGAGACTACAACTGCTTCCAGATCAGAACGCAGCCCCCCTTCCAGGCCACGCGCCTCTTGGTGGGAACCTCAGCCCAGCTAGGGTTGTCCCCTTTGCTCCCCAACCGCGTCTGTTCCCAGCCATAGATCACTTGCCTGCCAGTGGATGCTCTGACTCAGCTTGGCACAGCCCCTCCCCTGTCCCGAACTCTGCCTTAGACACTGTGGCTTAGCGTCCCTGGCTCCCGCAGACCAGTAGGTACAAGAGCCTAGCTCGGCATGACCTTTGCTCCCTCCTGGTTTCTAGTTTTACTTGTGGGCTAAGGTTTGCTCAGTCATGCCTGATCTACTCTGTTCCATTACCAGTTGACACATTAGCCAGCTGTCGGAGCTACTGTTGCAGGACAAGCGCCAAGCCATAGCTTCTGCATGGACTGGTATTTGGTGCTCATCATTATTAGTGATTACAAGTTTTACAAAGGAAGAGTTACTGCCTGTTTCAGGTCCAAGAAGCACAATGGGTTCAACCTGGAGCTAATTAAGCAGTGACTCAAAGAACCAAATCCCCAGAGCTCCCCGGCTGGGCGGCCAGCAGGCGGAGCCTGGCACCAAATGGCACACTGGCCGCGCCGGAAACGGCTCACCATGTGCACATGGTGGCTGTCCGGGATCCAGGCATGAGACACCCCGTCCTGAGACCCACCAGCTGCCGGGAGGGTACTGGAGGTTTAAATTCCCAGACCCAAGGTCGCACCCCTCCCAAATCCCATTCACTGCCCAATGAAGGCAGCGGGTGGGTCCCGGACCTGCCCAGTCCTGGAGGCCTCCCCCCTCGGTCTACTCACCCCGAAGGAAGCAACCCCCAGAACCCAGCAGGCCCAGGGAACAGCTCACCATGTGCACATGGCGGCTGTCCGGGATCCAGGCATGAGATGCCCCGTCCTGAGACCCACCAGCCACCGGGAGGCTGCTACACATTAATTATTTACTATTTTTAAAAAGGCTTGAAATTAAATTATATTTGTGTTATTACCGTATGGTATTAATCTGGCAATCTTTTTGTAAAACTATTTAATTTTATTTCTTTGTGTATAGCAAAATGATTTAGAAGTTTTTTTTAATCATAAAAAATGATATGCTGAAATATAATACCTAATATGTATGTCTTTATAGGCTAGTAAAGAAATTCTTCTGGCATTTTCAAGAGATTTCCTAAGTGGAGAAGGTGATCTTTCCCGCCACCTTAGCTTATTGGGATTACCTGTTAGTCATGTTCAGACGCCATTTGATGAATTTGATTTTGCTGTGACAAATCTTGCCGTAGACTTGCAATGTGGAGTGCGCCTTGTGTAAGTATCAGAATGATTTTGCTTAGCAGAATAATCTAAAATGTTCTAGAAAATACTTTTTACCCCTGTTGACATATGACTAAAGTTCAGTAAAAGTTGCCAACCGCAGAATATAAGTTGAGAAGAGAATTAAACTGAGCTATCAAGTGCTTAAACAGTACCCCTGTGTTGACAGTGGCTTCTACATCATTTGAGACCATAGCATTAGCCTTACTTTATACATGAGGAACATAATTTGAATACTTAGGTAGAATGACTTGCCCAAGTTTATACAGTGTAATTTGCACATTAACTCATGATATTTTCTTCAACTTACATAGTACTTCCTTAGTTACACACTGGAATTCCTAAGATTGGGCAAGTAAGAATGATGGGTTCCCGATTTGTGCTTTGAAGGAATGGCCTTGGGTTTGCTGTGGTTGCCTCTTTAGGATATTGGACTTGAAGAAATCTGCCTTGTTTCTGGGGCACTCCCCATTGTGTCTTATGTCCTTCTAAAGGAAGCACTTTTATTAGAGTCAAGGAAAAGGGCTTCTTTAATGGTAAGATGGAATTTTTCTCTGTGAAGTTTAGTTGTTAAGCCTCAGATTTACCAGTTTGGTTTTTTTTAAGATTTATTTATTTATTGGAAAGTCAGATATACAGAGAGGAGGAGAGACAGAGAGGAAGATCTTCCATCCGTTGATTCACTCCCCAAGTGAGCGCAACAGCTGATGCTATGCCAATCCGAAGCCAGGATCCAGAAACTTCTTCTGGGCATCCCACACGGGTGCAGGGTCCCAAGGCTTTGGGCTGTCCTCGACTGCTTTCCCAGGCCACAAGCAGGGAGCTGGCTGGGAAGTGGAGCTGCCAGGATTAGAACCAGCGCCCATATGGGATCCCAGCGCATTCAAGGCGAGGACTTTAGCTGCTAGGCCACGACACTGGACCCAGATTTACTAGTAAATTTCACATAACAGTTTCATTTAAAATATCCTTACTCCTAGGCGAACCATGGAACTTCTCACAAAAAACTGGGAACTTTCAAAAAAACTCAGAATTCCAGCAATCAGTCGTCTTCAAAAGATACACAATGTTGACATTGCTCTTCAAGTTCTTAAATCACAAGGAATTCAACTAAGTGATGAACATGGTAAAGACACATAAAAATGACCTCTTCACTTAGCATTTATGTGCATATAAGTTGTGCTAATTAATACCTTTTCATTTGTAGGAAATACAATACTATCCAAGGATATTGTGGATAGGCACAGAGAAAAAACTCTTGCCTTGCTTTGGAAAATAGCGTTTGCCTTTCAGGTACTGTATATCTAGTACATTTTGTAGTTTTTAGCAATTTTGAGTATTGACATACGAAAGCAATTTGAATCAAAGAAAGAGTACTAGGGTTTATTCTCTCCCTGGAGGAGTGATAATTCCCATGCACGGATACAAGTTTAATCTTTATTATCCACTGACAAAGTTGGTGTTAGATCTTTCTCTCAGAGCAGAAACTGAAGTTGAAGCTTATGTCATTGATTAGAAGTGGTGTTGGGACTGGAGCCGAGGCTTGCCTTGCTATATATCCCATGTTTTAAGTATTGAGCACTCTAGTGCTTCTATGGATTATGCTTGTCTTTTGAGAAAAATGGAATTTTCATGGTAAAACATATGTTCTATATATTTCCTTAGATTTTTAAAACTTTCTTACTAGATTAATTTCTCTCTTCAATGCTTTCTCTAAGTAGAAAACAGAAATTTGTTTCTGTGGGTTAAAAATACATTTTTATCACTGTATCACATAATACAATGTTAATAATCTTAATATCTTGGAAGAAATATATCTCCATTGAGTTAGCTGTGAATATTTGTAGTTTTGTGCAACTTATATATGTACGTTATTAAATAAATGAAGCATTTTACTGCATGTTTTCAGTAAGATTGTTTTAATAATGCTTATCCTTCATCCTGCTTGTGTGAAGTATTTGGTGTGTTGATTTGCATTTGTTGCCCCATTTTCTACATCCTCGGCCTAGATGCGCTTTGATTATCATGTGTGCATTTATTGGTGTTGTTGAATTCACTTTATGTGTAATATGTGAGGAATTTTACCTTTGTTTTTATCAAGCATACGGGTTTATGATTTTTAAGCTAGATTTATGGGTATGAAGTTATTTTAGAAGGAGCATTAAAAATCAATACATAGAAGACTAAAAAAAACACATGTTTTATCTTTGTGTGTGTATTTCAGGTGGATATTTCTCTAAATTCGGATCAATTGAAGGATGAAATTAACTTTCTAAAACAAACGCGCTGTATAAAGAACGCAATGTCTGCTCTATCATGCCATTCTGATGCTAATATAAACAAAAAAGACAAAAGGAAAAGTGATGCTGGTGGGCAGCATAGTGAGAGCATTAGGTTATTGATGGATTGGGTGAATGCTGTTTGTGCCTTCTATAATAAAAAGGTGAATTTTTTTGTGTTTATTTTAACCTAATGTCTTTTTTCAGTGGAGTAACAGAGCTAAAGAAACACCAGGACACTTGGCCCAGTTTGATGCAGGAAGCTGCTCTCTGCCTTTGTGTTCACCAGTGTCCTTTTCAAGGTCTACTTACTACCCTGTGTTTTGCATTTTTGTGTCTTTTTTGTTCATTTCCCAGTTTAAAATGTCCCTCAAGTGTATTACTGTAGCACTGTCTAATGTCCTAAGATTGTGATACCTAAAACAAGGTTATGTATTGATTGGCGGATGAAAATGTTTTGACCAGCACGTCCCTGAAGCTTAATCCTATACTGTGTTGATGAGTTTGATATTCATTATTTCACTGATCACAAATAATAAGAGTCAGCCATATTTGCTGTGATTTCTGAAGACTGCTGTAAGAATTACTACAGACTGAATGGCTTAAAATAAAAATGTGTTGGGGCCTATTGTCCAGTGTTTATTTCTAGTGGGCTCTATAGTGTATTAGGCTAACTGCAGTATACATCACTTTGTTATGTATTTCATAATATCCTGAATGGTTAATAGGTTTCCTGTGCATAAAAATAGTAAGTGTTTGAGGAGGTTGAATTGCTAATTTACCTGATTTGGTCATCCTAAATTATGTGAGTGTATTGAATTTTTTTTATTATATTCCCTAAAAATGTACAAATACTAGGTCAAATAAAATAATAGAAATGTTTTGTGTCACTATTCCAGAGAATGGAAGTCTGAAATCAAAGTGTTAGCGAAGTCATGCTCTTACTAAATACTCACAGGGGAGGGTGGAACTCCATTTCCTATGTCTTTTTCTGAAACTGGCATTTTCAGCAATCCTTGGCATTCTTTGCCTTGTAGGTATGCTTCTTTAGTCTGCCTTTGTCATCACATGCAGTTTTTTCTATGTCTGCTTCTCTTGTCACTCAAAAATCATAGTTGAGTGCACTTTATACCCGTGTGACTTCATGTAATTAATTATAACTTTAATGACTCAAATTCTCATTATGAAGTTCTAGGTAACACAAGAAGTTTTGAGGGATACTCTTCAACACACAATAATTAGTATCATACTGACAGCATAAATTTATAGTTATCAACATAATCATATCTGGCTTTTGGAGTGATCAGTATAATTGAGAATTTGGTTGTAACTATATTATTATAATAATTTTAACTATTAAAAGGAAATAAAGGACTACAAAATTGCTAAATGTCTTACTACCTAAATGCAGTCAATATTTTTCTGGCATTTCCACTCAGGTGGAGAATTTCACAGTGGCTTTCTCAGATGGCCGTGTCCTGTGCTACCTGATCCACCACTACCACCCTTGCTACGTGCCTTTTGACGCCATCTGTCAGCGCACAACCCAAACTGTGGAGTGCACGCGCACCGGCTCAGTGGCGTTAAACTCATCATCTGAGTCTGATGATAGCGCTCTGGATGTGTCCCCTAAGACCCTGGGTCATGGTCAGTGCCTTCATGTGTAACTTTCCCAGTTCTTTGCCATGCCAGATATTTGGTTTGAGGAGTCTAATATCTGTTTTTCCACCTGCATACTAGAAAATGCTTCAGAACTATTCAAAGAGCTCCTGGAAAATGAGAAGAAAAATTTCCATTTAGTTAAGTCTGCAGTTCGAGACCTTGGTGGAATACCTGCAATGATTCATCATTCAGATATGTCAAATACAATTCCAGATGAGAAGGTAAGTCATCCGAGTCTTAATACTTTTGATAACAAGAGTCTCAGGAGATAGCAAGATGTATATATTCTTTGCTGAAATATGGTTGACATGTTTTGTGTTTTCTCTTAGGTGGTCATTACTTACTTGTCATTTCTGTGTGCAAGACTTCTAGATCTTCGTAAAGAAATAAGAGCTGCTCGTCTTATACAGGCAACCTGGAGAAAACATAAACTAAAAGCAGATCTAAAACGCTATCAGGTACTCCTTGCAAATGATAATATTACAGTGTGCATCGTTCCTTGTAAGATTTTAGTTAATTGATTTCTCATGTGACTTTTAAATATTATTGATGTGTGAAGTTATTATCGTTTTTTAGGTTTTTTGAAGATATTGCTGTTTCGCTCAAGAAATATATTTGTATTTATTTGAAAATCAGAGTTAAAGAGAGAGAGATCTTCTAACTGCTGGTTTACTTCACAACTGGCTGCAGTGCCTGGGGCTCGGCCAGCCCAATGCCAGGAGCCTGGAATTCCATCTGGGTCTCCCGTGTGGCTGGCAGGATCCCAAACACTTGAGCCATCTTATATTGGGAGTTGGATCAAACATGGAGCTGCCGAAACTCGAGCCTGGACTCCCAGGGGATAGCGGCGTCTCAGGCACCAGCTTAGTGCATTGTGCCACAGAGCTGGCCCTGTTGCATGAGGTTATTGAAGTACATTTAATAATTGTGTATTACATATTTTGAGTTGAGGAGATAGGGTTATTTCTCCCTAATATCTGGGAAATCTTTGATTTTATTTGTCTTGCAGCCTCCCTTAATTCTTTCACTTGGTCTGCACAGTGGAAGATGTGTGACTTAACTGGCTTTCTAAGTTTGTGAAGCCCAAGTGGGATAGTTCTGCTCCGGCTCCCTCTACCTGTTGAAATCTAACCAGCCGTCAGAAACTGTGCTCCCTGAGGCTTGTCCTCAGCAAGTGCTGCGGGGTGTCCTGCACTTAGCAAGCCCAGTTCTGTTTGCCAATAAACTGTTTCTTGGAAGATACTTATTTTTGGAAGCTTCTAGGAGAATTGATTTTTAAAAAAGGATTTATTCATTTGAGAGGCAAAGTTACAAAGAAAAGAGGAGATAGAGAGATCATCCACCTACTGGCTCCCTCTCCAAGCTGTCAGCAACATCCAGCGTGGGGCATAACTAGAGTTAGGAGCCAAGAACTTCTTCTGGGACTCCCGTGAGCATACAAGTGCCCGAGGGCTTGGGCCGTCTTCCTCCGCTCTCCCAGGCACGTCAGCAGGGACCAACGTCCATTGGGATGCTGCCCCTGCAAGTGGTGACTTGACCTCCTGCACCTTCCTGTCAACCCCAAATTTTTAAAAGTTTTCAGGAAAGGATCTTTTAGACCTTTCTCAGACTTTACTCTTTTTTTGCAGCACTGAATGAGAATTATAAGAAGTAGGTATTAGACTATATGTAGCCATGGATTATTAACCATAGAAGTTCCACAGGTTTTTACTACTCAGATCCTTTTTTCTTTGTTTGTTTTCTTGATTCAAATAGTGCAGAATTTCTCACTTTTCTTTGTAAAGGGCTAAATGAAAAGCAATTTCTGTAGCTGTGTTTAAACTTCATTGACCTGATCTGACCCCTGGCTTTCTTCTTGGCTGGCCCTCTGCCACCCCATCACCTATGCACCTCCACCCCTGCCTCACCTACATGCATTTTTTATTTGGAACACTGAACAGCAGACTGCTATGTGTCCTGGTAGGATATTACAAGCCACTAAACTGTAAGCATTATCTGGAGATAGCTACTTTTCAGGTTTTATATTTTGCTTGATTATCATTTTGATAATTTACATAAACTCTGCATTGAGTGGCTCAAGCATTTTATAATGACAAGGAAGCACTAGCAAGTAGCCAGAAGTACCTGATGAATTCTCAAAGAAAGACTCCTGCCCATCCACTGGACAGTTTTTCTGTCAACAATTCAGCATAAACTCTAAAACCAAGTAGATCCTCATATTTGGCCTATTTATGAAGGAAGAAGGCACTGTAAGGAAGTGATACGGGATTGCTCTTCATTGGAGAGTTTGAAGTCCTTAAGGGAAGTGTTTCTTGTGTGCTGAGCTCATATCCCATTCCTTCCATTTGGCAATGACTTTTCCAAGGCAGAGAACCAGTTCCGTCCTGGAGCCTGTGGGGAAGCTGTTTGTCTTCACTACACTTTCCAAGACTGGCCACAGACAGCTCCAGCCACCTGGCCTTCTGCATGACCTTGGTACAGAATCTGCTTTTCTCCCAACTGATGGATAAAAATCTATACGCCTCTTTCATTATGACACTTGATTTCTAGCTCAGGTCTGTTTCCCAGCTGGATTATGGAGATGCTCCACATTAATGGATGGGGGGGTCGCTTGGGTCAGGGTGAATCCCTTTTGTCTCTTCTACCTGTTACCATTCCTGCTCTGTCTTTGCACCCTTGTGTTATTTAGTAATCAGGCTACTCTCCTAACCTTATAACCCCTCAGTAATATGCCGTTTGCCCAGGTATAACCTAAGAAACCGTGCTTTCTAATACTTAGTTAACATGCCACTTGAGACAACCCCATTCTATGATATACCAAGAATTCATGTCTTGGTACCACTTCTGATTTCAATTTCCTGTCTGCCCATGCTGGGAAACAGTAGATTTTGGCTTCAGTTTTGGGGTCCCTGCCACCCACTGGGAAACCTACCTCAATGCCATATACTTCTAAACTGCAATGTTCAGTGTTGTAAAGCATTGTTGTTTTTTGTTTGTTTGTTTGTTTGTTTAGCTAATAAGGCTTTATTTTGACTTGACTTTCTGCAGATCGAAAGGCCATTGCTTTCTCAGGAGTTCTGGCAGTGGTGTTAAAAGGCTTGGTCACCTTGATGTACATAATTCTTACTGCCCAGTTTTACAAGTGTCAGGTCTTTTACCTTTAGAGGCATGATCCAATACAAGGCACTTACCATTTATTACTTCGTGTTTTAATCAAATTGATTCTCATTGTTATGTTAAAATAACAATTTGAGGGCATGTGCACACAGATGCCATCTGCTGGCTGTTATTATTACTGAGGCTCTGTAGCTCATCACTGTGTGTGACTTGCTATCCCAGACAGCAGTCTGTAAGTTGATTTCCACCGGAGGAAATAACTCAAATTCCAGCCTGTAATCCAGTTAAAGTGAATAGCTACATGTAGCCTTGGGAAGTGTAGTGACAGGATTAACGCCATGGTCTGGTCTGCCAGACTAGACTGCTTCCTTGAAATCCCAGCTTTGTTTGGAGAAGAAAAATCCCATGACATCTCTGCTTCAGTTTCCTGAGAGAGGTTAATATCCGCTCATTTGTTTTCAAAGTTCATTGTGAGTTTTAAGTGCATTATTCAGAAAATATTTAGAATGGTGCTGGACATAGGCAATATCGTTATTCATGGCAGGTAGTTGTTAGAAGTAACAGAAAGAAGTAAGACACGTGGAAGGTACTGGCCTCCGGTGTTCCCAGGCAGCCATCTGCTCTTTGATCTCATGGTGTTGAGCATGTGAGAGCCCAATCTCAGAATCTGAACTGTATCCAGGTCGCTCGAGTCTCAATGGATTAACACCACAACAGATGCTACACTGAAGAAAGAACTGTTGTTCCCTCCCATTTTTTGTATTGTTCAAATTGTAACGGTAATACTATACTTATACTGTAAAACATTTTTTCAGACTCCTGTTTACTGCAAGTTAATCATTAATTCACTGGACCAGAATCTGAAGACATACCTTCTTATATTATATTTCCTCTATCTCCAATACTGAGGCTCTATGGTGGATAATACTTTTCCATGATTTTTATATTAGACCATTTCTTGGGACTCGTTTGTCCATTGCAAAAAACACCTACAAGTCTGTCAACAGGCTTATTTAACGTTCTCAATTTATCTATGTTTCAAAGATGAACATAAGAAGCCTGACAGATATTTTAATTCTAGGATTAATTTGGTTAATTATGGATGATTATCTAAACATAGTTTTTAAGATCTTTGATTGTCTGATTCACATTGCTAATGTTTTACTTCTTAAGGAAAGAGACAAAGCTGCAAGAATTATTCAATGCGCTACAATCAGTTTTCTAGCAAAACGACGATTGAAAAAAAGGGTTAATGCAGCACTGGTAATTCAGAAATACTGGCGGAGACGGATTGCACAGCGAAAATTATTAACACTGAAGAAAGAAAAACTGGAAAAGGTTCAAAATAATTCAGCATCTGTTATTCAGGTATAGTATCCTTGACTGATGATGAACTTAAAAATATTCATTGTATTTTTTGAGATGGAAGGTAAAATGCAATGAAGTTTTCCATAATTATATCTTTAGTACAGTCAGTGCTTGGTATTTGAATGGGATTGGTTCCTGGATCCCAGCACGTACCAAAATGTGAGTGCTTCTTCCCAGCGTTTGGTTTATATTTGGCCTAACTACTGTTTTTAAAATATAGCCACATCTATTTGTTTATGTGTTATTGAGCTGTGTTGGCAAAGTTGAGTCTTTGTAATAGAACTGGCCCACAAAGCTGAAAGTACTTGTTTGTGGTATTATACAGAAAAAGTTCACTTACCCACAATCCAAATGATTATTCTGTGTGTACTTAAAAAGAGTGTGTGTTCTGTTGTTTGCAGTGTTCCATAAATGTTGGTAGCTCTACTTGTTTGATAATAATCCATTCTTGTACATCCTTACTTACTTTTTTCAACTCATGCTTTTACTAAGCCACAGGTAACAGTGGCTTAGTAACACGTGGACATGTCTTCCTCGTTCAGTTTTTGCTGTATGTGTTTTAAAGGTCTGTTGTTAGGTATATACATACTTGAGATTTTTTAGTCTTTTTGGTGAGTTGAGTCTTTTTCATTATGTAATATTCCTAATGCCTCCCCATACTCTCTGGCAACCAGTGCTCTTACTGTTTCTCCACTTTCTTTTGTAGAATATCAAAGTAGTTTGACCCCTTCGATTTGTTACTTAGTAATATGCTACTCTAAGATGAACACGTGTCTTTTTCTGGCTTGATCATTTATCAGCAAATAATATTCCTTGGTATGAGTTGTCAGAACTTTTTATCCTTTCAGTTATTAAAGGATATTTAAATTCCCCTATTTTTTGACAGTTATAAACAAAGCTTATATAAACATTTGAGTAGAGGATTTTGCATGAAATTGTTTTCAATGATCTGGGGGAGTGTGTGGTTATTAGATTATACAGTAAGACTGTAGCTTTGTGAGTAAATGCCAAACTGTCTTCCAAATGGCTGCACCATTTTACATTCTCTCAAGAAATGGATGAGTTTCTGCTACTCTGTATCTTTGCTAGCATTTGGTGTTGCTAGCACCTTTGTTTTAGCTATTTTGAAAGGTAGGTGGTAGTATCTTATCTTTATATCAGTTTGCAAATCCCAAGTGATGTTGAGCAGTTTTTGATATGCTTAAGGCATCTATTCAAAATTTTTTTTGAATTAAATTAGGTTGTATGATTTCTTATTGTTGATTTTTTAAAAAGATTCATTTATTTGTATTGGAAAGTCACATACAGAGAGGAGCAGAGACAGAGAGGAAGATCCTCCCTCCAATAGTTCATTCCCCAAGTGACTGCGATGGCCGGAGCTGAGCCAATGCGAAGCCAGGAGCTCCTCTGGGTCTCCCACGCAGGTGCAGGGTGCCAAGGCTTTGAGCCGTCCTGGACTGCGCCCCCTCCCAAGGCCACAAGCAGGGAGCTGGGTGGGAAGCAGGGCCGCCAGGCTAGAACCGGCGACCATATGGGATCTCGTGTGTGCAGGGTGAGGACTTTAACCACGCCATTGCACCCCTTATTGTTGATTTTTAAGGCCCTGTATCTATTTAGATTTAAAATCTTTCTCAAATGTTTGTTTAAAAATTATTTTCTATTAGTCTGTGGCTTTGTTTTCATCCTTTTTTAAGAGAATCTTGTGTGCTGAGTATTTTTTTGTGAGTAGAACTCTTAATATTTTGTCTGAAGTGTTGCTGCCAAATTAAAGGTATTTAGATTTTGTGCTGTCATCTTTTAAGCTGTTTAGTTTTGTATTTTTATTTTAGTTAATTATTGTAAATGATACAGAATAAGAGCTTAGATCCACTTTATTTTTTCACATGTGGATGTAACTTGTTTAAATCCTATTTGTGAAAAATAACTTGCTTTTCAATTCAATATACTTAGCATTTTTGTCAAAGATAGTTTAAGGTTTTGACTGGAGCTATAGTGAATCAAATGGGAAGAACTGAAGCCTTAACAATATTGAGTCTTTCTGTTCAGGATAATATCTGTTTAGATCTTCTGAAACTGTGCTCTTTTGAAATGTTATTCATAAAACTCAAACCTACTTTTTCAGATAAATGTACGGTTTTTTCTTTATACCTACTTTTTCAGATAAATACACGATTATTTTTTTATTCTAACATAAGTGCCATAGCCTATAAATTTGTTTAGCTTGCTATTCTTTGTGTTTATTTTTGTTCAGGTCTTTTAAATTATCTTGATAATCTATAAGTAAATATAGTTTCTTTTTTATTAGTCTATATGCATTTTATTTTATTGCATTTATGAAGTTGATTAGGAATGGTGAGAGGTACTTCTTTGTTTTTTTTCTAGATCTTCAGAGGAAAGAATGTAATTTCTGTCCATGCAATTTGATGTTAACTATAGGATTTTGAAATTGAGGGAAGTTCTTCTCTATCCATAGTTTGGGATTTTTCTTTCCCATGATTTTCCTGTATCTTGTTCATCTTGAATAATTTATTGCTCTTAAAATTAATTGGCTTGACTATCAACTATACACTGCTCTCATTCCATTGAGGTTTTTGTTGTAGTCATAGGGTTTTTTAGTTCTATTATTCTCATTTGATTCTCATTTAGTGTCTTTGGTGTCTGATCATGAGACAGTGTTTAAATTAAAAAGGAGAATGTTAATTTGTAAGCTTTATCATATAATTGACTTTTGGAGTTGGGGCCAGAGGTTCTCGTCTGCCTTCTATGGATTTCAGTTCCTTGTGTGTTTCACTAAATGATGATCCTCAGGCCGAGATCCTGGTATAGCTCCTTCGAATTCTAGGGAAGAAAAATGAAAAAGTACAGATAGCAGCATTCTAAGTACTATTTCTGCTTCCACATGCCTTTTCTTTTAAGGATTTGTTGTGTTTATTGGGAAGGGTGAGTATCAGAGAGAGGGATTGAGAGGTCTTCATCATTTTTATTCTGAAATGCTCGCAGTAGTCATGCCCGAATCAGGCAAAGCTTGATCAGTAAATCCATCCAGATCTACATGGTTTTCTACTGCTGGCTTCTCAGGTGTATCCGCAGTAAACTGGATGTGAAGCAAAATGTAGCTAGATCTTGAACTGGCATGGCAATATTTGATAAAGGTATCATAAGCAACTTAACTTGCTTTACCACAATACTGAACAGAAACTTTTCTTGTTGTTGTTGTTGTTGTTGTTGTTAAATGCAGCTTAATGATGCCTTATGCAAAGATAGAGAATTTATTTTCTTTTTAAAGTTTTATTTGTTTTCATTGGATTGTTTCATTGGATTTACAGACAGAAGGAGAGACAGAAGGTAATATCTTCCATCTACTTGGTTCACTCCCAAAGTGGCCACAACTGCCAGAGCTAAGCCAATCTGAAACCAGAAGCCAGGAACTGCTTCCATTTCTCCCAGGCTGGTGCAATGTCCCAAGGCTTTGGGCCATCTGCCACTGCAGTCCCAAGGCTTTGGACCATCCTCTACTGCCCTCCCAGGCCATAAGCAGGGAGCTAGGTGGGAACTCAAGCAGCAGAAATATGAACCAGTGCCCATATGGTGTCCCAGCCCTAGAGAATAGAAGATTAACTAGTTGAGCTATTGTGATGGGCCTGAGAACTTATTGTTTGTTTCCCAGGTCATTTTGTAGTATTAACCTTGGCTATAATTTGATATATATTTTAATTATATGTTTGCATGGTAAGAGAAATAATATGGAATATATTTTTTGTTGGGCTGAAGAGTAAGAACAATATTTTAGGTAACAATGAAGGAGGTCCTAAAGCAGGCGACTAGCAGGAAAAAAATGTTTTGTGTAACTTCTGCATCCTTGGCTGATGTGCTTGGGCCAGGCATAGCTGATGTGTTGAACAGTTCAAAAGGAGTGTAAGGTGTCCAGGTCTTCTGGTCTTCATGAATACATGAGGAAAGTGAAGATAACCTAGGGAACCACTCCTTTTCCCCCTGAATCTTAGGAGCATTTGGATTATTTTGGACAAATAAACCTCTAGAAGAAATCATCTAGATCTTGCTTATCGGTAGCCTGAACTAACCTGTATTCTAGCAATACAAATATACTGAGTGTTTACCATGGCCCTTTGTATTTAGCTGTTATACTCTTGGATTAACCTAGGCATTGTATTAACGGCATGATTTTTCAAGGAATAGAATCTTTGTTACTTTTCAAGTCTTTGTAGAATTTTACATTTTTTTAAACCATATATCTGTAGTTTCTACATTTTTAGAAATAACTAAAGGTATTCTTAGGCAAATAGTTCTCCTGAAAGTGGTCTGGCTCATTTCTTTATCCTGCTTCTGTAGTTGTTCCTTGAATCCCTCATAAGATTGGTTCCAGTACCTCAGCAGGTGCCAAAATCTGTACATGTTCAAGTTTTTTAAATAAAATTTACAAAAATGAATTTTGTGAATGCACATATTTCTGTGCACTTTACAATTGTCTCTAGGTAATATGTTATACCTGGAAATACAATGTAAGAGTTACATAAGTAGTTGCCATGTTGTTATTGACTACAGAGAAATGACAAGGAGAAGACATCTGTCCATGTTGTTCAGTACAGAAGCAATTTGCTTGTCTCAAGTATTTTCAGCTTTCCATTGCTCGGATCCACTAAACCAGGAGATGGAGCGACAGCTATGCTTATATTATTGAGCTTGTTATGTCATGGTATAGAATCTCTCACCTAAGTAATTTCCAATCATTTTAAGAAAGTCAAGCAACCCTAAGTTAAAGGGAACATAACAAAAGATGCAGAGAAAACTTACAGAATCATTTAAGATGAATATGTAATTGAAAATATTGCAATGTTTTGTTTAATTCTTCTGCTTCTGTAATAGTATAAGTTGGTTTATATTCTAGATTCTGGAATACAGATACAATGTAAGTATAATGAGGAGTAGGATATATTCTTGAATTGCCTACAGGAATATCCATGTAAAAACAAATCCACAAATGAAAGAAATAATTAGCACAAATACATTTGTTTTCCGACTTAATGTTTTTGTTTATAAGTGGTGTATTACAAAAATTAGTGTTTTCAGAAGTGTTAAGTACATGAAGTTATATCTATTTTACTTTGTGTCTTTTCTTAACTTTTTTCAGGGGTATTGGAGAAGATATTCCACTAGGAAAAGATTTCTGAAATTGAAATATTATTCAGTCATCCTGCAATCCCGGATAAGAATGCTAATTGCTGTTACATCTTATAAGCGATATCTTTGGGCAATAGTTACAATCCAAAGGCATTGGCGTTCTTATTTAAGAAGAAAACAAGATCAACAGAGATATGAGATGCTAAAATCATCGGCCGTTATAATTCAGTCTGTGTTCAGAAGATGGAGGCAACGTAGAATGAAGTTAAAAACAAGAGCTGTGCTTACTCTGCAAAGAGCTTTTAGAGAGTGGCATTGCAGGAAACAAGCTAAAGAAAAGTCTGCTATTGTCATACAGACATGGTACAGAATGCACAAAGAATTACGAAGATATATTTATATTAGGTCCTGTATTGTTGTCATTCAGAGAAGATTTCGGTGTTTTCAAGCCCAAAAGTTGTACAAAAGAAGAAAAGAATCTATACTGACCATTCAGAAGTACTACAGAGCCTATCTGAAAGGAAAGATTGAGCGCAGCAGATTTTTGCAGAAAAGGGCCGCGGCCATTCGCCTGCAAGCTGCCTTCAGGGGGATGAGGGCTCGTGATCTGTGCAGACGCACCAGGGCTGCCTGTGTTTTGCAGTCCTATTGGAGAATGAGGCAAAACAGACTGCAATTTTTAGGCTTTAAGAAGTCTGTTGTCAGATTGCAGGCACACATAAGAAAGCATCAACAGTTACAGAAATACAAAAAGATGAAGAAAGCAGCCCTTGTCATTCAGACTTACTTCCGGGCTTATGTTACAGCCAGGAAAGTTCTAGCATCTTACCAGACAACACGTTCTGCTGTCATTGTTCTGCAGTCTGCATGCAGAATGACGCAAGCCAGGAAGACGTTTGTTCACATCCGCACGTCTGTTATTAAAATCCAGGCATGTTATCGTGCTTATATTTCCAGAAAGAAATTTCTGAAACTGAAATATGCAACATTAAAATTGCAGTCAGTTGTCAAGATGAAACAAGCACATAAACAATATTTACATTTGAAAGCAGCTACAGTGTTTATTCAGCAGTGGTACCGTTCCCAAAAAATGGCTGCCCAAGAGAGAGAAGAATATGTACAGATGCGGGCATCCTGCATCAAACTGCAGGCTTTTGTCAGAGGCTACCTCGTCCGAAAGCGGATAAGGTTGCAAAGAAAAGCTGCTGTTTCACTGCAGTCTTACTTCAGAATGAGAAAGAAGCGGCAAGATTACCTGAACATTTATAACGCAACTCTTGTCATTCAGAATTACTATCGTGCGTACAGAGCACAAGTCAATCAGAGAAAGAATTACCTGCAAGTCAAAAGAGCAGCTACTTACTTGCAGGCTGCTTACAGAGGTTACAGAGTACGGCAGCTGCTGAAACAGCAATCTTTAGCTGCTGTTAAAATTCAAACTGTCTTTAGAGGTTACAGTCAAAGGGTGAAGTACCAGACTATGCTTCTGTCTGCTGTGAAGATTCAGAGATGGTATAGGGCATATAAGACTGCTCGTGACGTAAGAACACATTTTTTAAACACAAGGGCGGCCGTGATTTGTCTCCAATCTGCCTGTCGTGGCTGGGAAGTTCGAAAGCAGGTCAGGAGGGAGCACAAAGCTGCGGTGGTAATTCAGTCTGCTTTTAGAATGAATAAAGCCCAGAAACAGTTTAGGTTAACGAAATCAGCCGCCTTTGTCATCCAGCAACATGTGAGAGCATGGATTGCAGGAAAGAAGCAGCGTGTGTGGTATATTGAACTCCGTCATGCGGTAGAAGTGCTTCAGTCTGCATGGAGAGGAAGAACAGTGAGGAGACAGATTCAGAGGCAGCATGAATGTGCTGGCCTTATACAGTCATACTATAAAATGCATCTGCAGCACAAGAAGTGGAAGACTATGAAGAAAGCTGCTCTTCTGATTCAGATGTATTATAGGGCTTACAGTGTTGGCAGAGAACAGCGTCATTTATATTTGAAGACAAAAGCAGCTGTATTAATCTTACAATCAGCTTATCGCGGTATGAAAGTGAGGAAAAGAATAAAGGATTGTAACAGAGCAGCAGTTGCTATACAGACTAAGTATAGAGCCTACAAGGCAAAAAAGATATATGCCACTTATAGAGAATCAGCTATTATAATTCAGAGATGGTATCGAAATATTAAAATTGCAAACTGTCAACATAGGGAATACCTTAATTTAAAGAAGACAGTAATTAAACTCCAAGCTATTTATAGAGGTGTTAGAGTAAGACGACATGTTAAACGCATGCACATGGCAGCCACTTGTATTAAAGCCATGTTTAAAATGCATCAGTTGGCAGTAAGATACCATAGACTGAGAAGAGCCTCTGTTGTAATTCAAGTAAGATATAGAGCATATTATCAAGGTAAAATTCAACGTAAAAAGTACCTGACAGTGTTGAAAGCCGTCACTGTTCTTCAGGCAAGTTTTAGAGGAGCTAGAGTTAGACAGACTGTAAGAAAGATGCAGGTGGCAGCAACACTTATTCAGTCATACTATAGAAGATACAGACAGCAAAAATATTTTAATAAGTTGAAAAAAGTAACAAAAACTGTTCAGCAAAGATACCGTGCAGTGAAGGAAAGAAATACACAGTTTCAAAGATACAACAAATTGAGAAAATCTGTAATATGCATTCAGGCTGCTTTTAGGGGCATGAAAACTAGAAGACATTTAAAGATTATGCATTTAAGTGCCACCCTTATTCAGAGGAGATTTAGAACTTTAATCATTAGGAGAAGATTCTTATCTCTCAAAAAAACTGTTGTTTGGATTCAGAGAAAATACCGTGCAAAACTTTGTGCAAAGCATCAGTTACAATTCCTTCAGTTGCAAAAGGCAGCTATCCAAATCCAGTCTGCGTACAGGGGATGGGTAGTAAGGAGACAGATTCAGGAAATGCAGAGGGCTGCTGCTTGCATCCAGGCTGCTTTCAGAATGCACAGGGCTTACGTGGAGTACCAGGCCCTGAGACAGGCCTCCCTGGTGATCCAACAGCAGTACCACGCCAGGAGAGCTGCAAAACTGCAGAGGCAGCGTTTCCTCAAACAGAGACATTCTGCCACAGTCCTTCAGGCTGCATTTAGGGGTGTGAAAACAAGAAGACATTTGAAGAGCATGCACTCCTCTGCAACCCTCATTCAAAGCAGGTTTAGGTCTTTCATGATGAGGAGAAGATTTATTGCTCTCAGAAAAGCTACTATTTTTGTTCAACAGAAATATCGAGCCACCACTTCTGCCAAGCAAAAATTTTACGAATTTTTGGAGTTACGCAAAGCAGCCATTATAATACAATCATCTTATCGAAGACTCCAAAGGAAGAGGTTACAAGAAAGGAACAGGGCTGCAACTGTCATTCAGGCCACTTTCAGGATGCACAGAACATACATTGCATTTCAGACTTGGAAACATGCCTCAGTTCTAATTCAGCGGCGTTACCGAGCATACAGAGTGGCAAAGCTGGAGAGAGACAGTTTTGTCAGGCGATGGGATTCTGCTGTGGTCATTCAGGCTGCGTACAAAGGAATGAAAGCCAGAGAGTGTTTACGGAAAAAACACAGAGCTGCTGTCCTCATACAAAGCACATATAGAATGTATAGGCAACATTGTTTGTACCAAAAACTTCTGTGGGCTACAAAAGTAATACAACAAAAGTATAGGGCCAATAAAAAGAAACAAGAAGCTCTTCTACACAACACACCGAAGGAAGCAGCAGTGACTTCTGCTCAGGCAAGTTGTCAAGGCATGAGTGTAAGGCAACAGGTTCAGAGACAGCAGCAGGGTGCTGTTATTAAGAAGCATTTTGCTTATTTTTTAAGATTCTATTTATTTGAAAGTGTTGGGGAAACAAGGATCTTCCAGATACCCACAAGGGCCACAGCTGAGCCGGTCCCTTGCCCTGGAGATAGAAGCTTCTTTCAGGTCTCTCTTATGTGGGTGATTGGGACCCAAAAACTTGGGCCATTTTCCACTTCTCTTTCCTAGCCATAAGCAGGGAGCTTGATCTGAAGTGAAGCAGCCGGATACGAATGGGTGCCCATATGAGATGTTAGCATGGCAGGATGGCAGGATGCAGCTTTACTTGTTACATTACAACATTGGCCCCGCAGAAGCATTTTAAAGATTTTTTTCAAGATTTAATTATTTTTATTAGAAAGACAAATTTATAGAGAAGAGAAGAGAGACAGAAGGATCTTTCATTCATTAGTTCATTTCCCAAATGGTCCCAGTGGCCAGAGATGAGCCATCCAAAGCCAGGAACTTCTTTAGGTCTCCCATGCAGTAGCATGGTCCCAAGGCTTTGGGTCGTCCTCTACTACTTTACCAGGTCATTAGCAGGAAGCTAGATGGGAATTGGGGCAGCAAGGACATGAACCAGCACCCATATGGGATTAAAGTCCTTAAAGGAAATGTTTTCTCCACTGTAAAGCTACGGGACATAGAGCATGAACTGCAGGGTAAGCCCATGCGGTTATTTTCGTATAACCTTTCTTACAGAGGGCTATCCAGTGTGGGCATCTGGCTGCCATACTGTTGAAAATGCATGGGCCCATGACTGGTTATTAAACAAAGAGAACCGTGGTGATTCTTATACAGAATTATAGATCGTGTCCAAAGAAAAAATAGCTCAAGCTGTCTCTGGCAGCATGAAAGTTAGACAAGAATTGAAGCCATATCTGAGCAAAACACAGTAGCCATTGTTAACCAGTCTGCCCTGCTAAAGCAGAAGCAAAACTCAATATGAAGTTGCACAAAGTTGTGATGCTACAATTCACATGTGGTGTAAAGCTTTCCTACTTGCTTATTCACAGGAGGAAGAGAATTGTGCTCACAGGAAAGATTCAGTGACCATTCAGAAAGCTTTTCATGAAATGGTCACCAGAAAACTGGAAATGCAGAAATGTGCGGCCCTACGAATTCAGTCCTTCCTTCAGATGGCTGTGTATCGCAGAAGATTTCTTTGCCAGAAAAGAGCTGCCGTCACGCTGCAGCGGTACTTCAGGGTGTGGCAAATGAGAAGACAATTTTTAATGTACCGACAAGCAGCAGTGGTATTACAGAATCACCACAGAGCCCTTCTGTCTGCAAAACATCAAAGACAAGTTTATCTGCAGACCAGAAGCAGTGTTATCATTATTCAAGCTAGAATTAAAGGATTTATACAGAAAAGGAAATTTCAGAGAATTAAAAATAGCACCAGAAAAATTCAGGTATTTACATGTTTAAATGCAGAATTTTGTCCTTTTGTTACCAGTATTTGAATTTATAAAACAAGCTAAAGCAGGTCATAAAGAATTGTAGTGTAAGTAACCATCTTTTTTCTCTCCAATGTAGTTTTGTTTTTGTTGTTGGGAGATTTTTTTTTTTTAAAGTATGAGACAGGCCAGAACACTGAGTAGATTTTGGCCCTGGACATACCACACTTGGTATAATTCAGTTAATGTTAATCTTAGCACATCTGCAAGAATTGTTCTCTCATTAGTCAACTTTTTGTAAGTTAAAAATTTAAGCTAAAGTGAAATGTTAATTTGGCATTATGCAACTCAAATAGTAGTGTTTTACTCAATTAGATCTAGCTGCGTAGACTAAATATGTTGTTTAGTACTTTTGATTTCTAAAATGCTTTTGTGTAAATTCCAGCTGTAAACCTTGGCTGAGTTCCAGGCTCCTGGCTTCAGCTTGCACCAGCCTTATTTGTTTCAGGCATTTGGCACATGGACCAGTGGATAAAAGAAATCATTCTGTCTTGCTTCTTCTTTCTGCTTTCCTGTTTGTCCTCCTCCTTTGTTTCTTTCATTACTCTTGTTCTTTACTGCTTTTTTCCATGCCCCTCCTTAGAAATTTAGAAAGGTTAAATAACTTGCTGATTTCGCACAAAAGCAGGTCCAAGAATTGAGTCCAAGTACTTCAGCCATTTCTGCACTAAGTTGAAGAATGAATTGGGAACCACCAAGTAAATTGTGTGGACAGAATATTCCAGTTGCAAGAGAGAACATAGGGAATTCCATAGCCTAAAGAGAGCAATAGAAAGTGACACAGAACTGCATTAGCAATGGAGGCAGCAAGATTTTTACTGACTTCATAAGAAACGGGAAAAAAAAATCAGTATTTTTTCTAGAGGAAGAGATGTTCTAGAGGAGTTTAAGCAAGATCAGGTCAGAATCCCATTTTTACTTTTAAAAATATGGTTCTCGCAGGAATGTGGAAGATAGACTAGAAAGGAAAGATTAAATGCAGAAACTGGATTGGAAATTGTTAGCAGGAGCTCAAGTGAAGCACGGTCATGGCTGTGTAAGAGACTGTAAGGATTAGTGTTCAAGGTTAGAGTTTGTATTGTTACATGGAGCTTTCCGTCTGTGGCTTATGTAAGTTGACAGTTACTTTTCACTGCCAGAGGTAATAGATGGTGACAGGTTTGTGGGATGACGACTTCAAGTCGTAGTCCATGAAGCCTGATGCACTGACCAGATGTCCACTTGAGATGTCACTCGTTCTGTTTGGAGTTCAGTGGTTCATTTTGGTGTTCAGAAAAGTGGGTTTGTGCATCATAGGCATCTGTTGATAATTCTAATAACATTACCTTGTAGCAATTTATAGAATAGATGCAAGAAGAGTTCCTGGGGTATGAACCCTGGAGAAAATAAAAATTGATATACATTGAGAGGATAAGGTAACACATAATATTAAGAGAGAAAGAAGAAAACTACAAGATTTCAGTATCAAGAAACCAAGGCTTGAGGGAGGAAGGGGAGAGGGCTCAAATTCTAAGTACATCAAATTCAGATTCCTCTTCTTCCTGTAGAAGTAGAATAAGCCACTGTCCTTTTCTTTCTGTCCTTGTGGTTTGAGGTGAGGACTATATCTGGCTGCCCACACAGCGTACATGTCTTGCAACTGTTAAGTATTGGCTAAGTTAGGTGGGGTTGGAAGCTGGGCTTAGGTTTGGGTAGTAATGGGCATGGTATTGTTCAGTGGGGTAAGCCTCATGATTCTCAGAAGACCTACTGTGTGTGAGAGTAGATGATATGACTATGTTTCTGAAGCTGCTTATTTTTAGTGTTATGCTTACATTAATTATATTTAATACTGATTTTTCCAGTTTCTAAGAAGCAGGCAGCTCATTGCATACTTGTCATATTTATGATTTTAATAGGCCGCATGGAGGATGTACAAGACTAAGAAATATTTATGTGAAGTAAGAGCTGCTTGCAAGATTCAAACCTGGTATAGGTGTTGCAGAGCACGAAAAGAATATCTAGCTGTGTTAAAAGCTGTTAAAATCATTCAAGGTTACTTCTATACCAGACTGGAAAGAGCACGGTAATGTACTGCAGCCCTGTAGGAGAATGGGCATGTGGGGCGTGTGCATGCATGCACAGGTGTGTGCCAAGGAGAGTGGGTGTGTGTGGGGGGGGTGTGTTCTTCCGTGCACATGTGTGTAGCTAAGTCCTATATAAAAAGCACTGGTGGACTGACATTGTGACACAGTGGTTTAAGCTGCAGCTTGGGATCCCAACTTCCCTTCTCAGAGTCCCAGTTTGAGTTTGGGTCACTCTAGTTCTGACGCAGTGTCCTGCTATTGTTTCCCAAGAGCCAGCAAATGATGGTTCAGTTACTTGGGTCTCTGCCACCCATGCTGGAGATTCAGATAGATTTTCAAATCATGTCTTTAGCTTGGCCCAGCCCAGGTCCTAGTAGGAATCTGGATTGTAAATCAGCAAAATGGAAGGTATTCTCTCTCCTTTCCTAACTGCCTTCCATTTATTTCTTCCACTACCATTTCTTTTTCTTTGTCTCTGTTTTCTCTGCCTTCCAAATTATTAAAAATAAATAATAAAAACATTTAAGGAATCTTCATTGATTTTTCTTTATTAATTTAAAATTCACAATAACTGCTTTTTAGGTTTTTGAATATGAAGACATCAGCAATTATCATTCAGAGAAAATGGAGAGCTAGACTTTCTGCAAGAATAGCGCGTGAGAACTTGATGGTAAAAGTAGGTATAAAATATTGTCATTTTCAAAGCACTGTTTTAGGAAACAGCAAAAAATGTTTTTTAAATTTAACTGCATTTATCTATATTTATATACACACATACATATTGCAGTTGATTAAAAACTGTTTCATGAAAATAAACCTATTTGTTAGTATTGTAATATGTATCTAAACTGAAAGTTTGAAATGAAGCTTGAACTGAAGTTTGAAATGGTTTAAGTGAGAGTAAACAATTTAGAGACAGTCATAATATATATAACATGTTTCAATATAAAAATATTAAAATAGCTGCAATCCATACGATGTGTTATTAAATGAAAGTTTTGTTATGAATTTCATTGTTGATGGTTATCCAGTGTGGTTATTTATTATTATTTCATATCCTTTTTGTATCTATTAAATTTTGGTTGTCAGCATATTATAAGATGGAGAAGTATTAGCATATTAGAATGGAGTTGTGCAAACTTGCCCTCCTGCTGGTTAAAATGTCCAATATGCTATTCTTACTGTAACTAGTATTTTTGTTAAATATGTTTGCTTTGTAATAATCTTGGTTCTTTTCCCCACTACAGTAAGAGCAATCAGGGGGATAAGAGGGTAAGAGGCCCTGGCATCTGTGGACCCTGTTTTGTTCCTTCTTTTGTATAAGACCTCTGTGGGCTTATCAATAATGCTTCATGGCCTTTCATATATGTGAAAAATAGGACATTTTTAAACTGAATGCTTTGAAAACCATGATTGTACCATTCCATTTTACACTTAAAAATTCAAGAACTTCTAACGCTTTGAAACTTATTATTTCTGTTTATTAATGAAACTTATAATTTTCTAGAGACATCAAGCTGCGTGTGTGATACAAGCACATTTTAGAGGATATAAAGAAAGACAGGCCTATCTTCACCAGAAACCTGCTTTGATCATAAGAAGATATTTACAAGCCAGGGAGGCTGAAAAGTGTGAAAAGACAAAATACATTGAGTTGGAAAAGTCAGCAGTTATTCTCCAAGCACTGGTGCGCGGTTGGCTAGTAAGAAAAAGAGTATGTATTTTTTTTTCTTTTTTCCATTTTTTTATTAAGTAGTATATCTCCATGTTATGAAATATAAGTATTTGATGTGAAGTGTTAAGAAGTTTTGAATTTTTAGAGAATTTCAGAGTGAGTAAGTTTTCAGCTGTTAAGCTTGTTCAGCTAACAGGAATATAGTTTTGACAGACTTAATGTTTTATGATCATATCCTTTCCTAGAAAGGCTCACTTCTAAGCATGAAAAGCACAATTTCCTTTGTGATAACTCAGATAGCTGACAGACTGTGAGAACAGGGAACCAGAGGTAAAGGAGAGCAACACTACCACAAACATCTCTCAAGTGTATCTCTGATCCTTGTGGCAGCTTCTACAGCTGTAATACAAAAAATAGCGTTTCAGGGTGCTTGGGAGACTTGGAATCTTGCTGGTATATATAAAGCATTGGCTACACAAAGTAATAAGATTTGAAGTTAAAAAGGAGAACTTATTTATGTTTTGTTCATTAAGTATAAATTTAATGTTACAGATCTCAAGTTATTACAGAAAATTTAGAGTGTATAAGCCTTATGCTCATTTGTGCTGGACCAATACTGGAGAAAGAATTCATTTTATTTTGTCTGACATAATACCACCATCTAATAGTTCTGCGTGTAACCTATTATGTGTTTCATATTCATGCCATTCTCATTGCAAGCACATTGCGAAGCTTTAACTAGTGTTGCAGAGTACACTTTGAACACTTTGGGTCAATTGAATGCTATTATTATTTAGTCATGTGCCCAAAATGTAATTTTGCTTTCTATGCCATAGGTTATGCTATTAGAAATAGGATTATTAGAAATAATAATCACTTTGAATTATAGTGTTGCTATAATAATTAAAAGTTTATTTTACTGTTGACAAAATTTGAAATTCAATTTGTAAAAAAATAAATCCTAGTTAGTTGTCTTAGTCAGGCATCAGATTCTTGCTAATTAATATGGCACTTCCTTCTCTCCCCTTGCCCCCAACCTTTTAGATTTTAGAACAGAGAACCACAAGCCGACTGCTGCGCTTCACAGCGGCTTCGTACTATCACCTGGCTGCAATTAGGATCCAGCGAACTTACAGAGCTCACCTGGCCGTGAAGATCGCTAACAAGCAGGTTAATGCAGCCACCTGCATTCAGGTTAGCAATAAAACTCCATGCATGATACAACTTTGCTGTTAGAAACTTTGATGTACAATAAGTACCCAAATGCCTTATATGAAGACTCTATGTTTAGGCTTCCAGTGTTTAGTTATTAGGATGATTTGAGAGTTAGAAATTGGCTGATATTTTATAGCACAGAAACCAAGCGGAATTATTCTGCTGTGTAGTCGTTTTATGCACAGTGCTGCTGTAGGAATCTTTCTTTACACGCCCAATCAGGTGAAGGCGTCAGAACACTTTTGATTTTTGGCACTCTAATGAATGGAAAATAGTGTCATTTTCATTTTAAATTACTTACATTTTTAGCTAGCATCTTATGTTTTGATGTATTTGGGATTTTGTATTGTTTTTTAAATGTGATTTTATTATACTTTGTTTTTCTGTTGGATGTTCTTATATTTAAGTATGCTTTATATGTTCTGGAGAAGGTTCCTATTTGATACACACACACACACATATGCATACACACAAAGTTTTGAGTGACACATATTGCAGAATGAAGTATACAGCTTAATGGATTTAATGCAGATTTTGAAATGAAAACTGCTTTGCACAGTTAAATATGTTTGCATACATACACAATACATACTGACTCAACATGAACTGGAAGGGCTCGCACCGAGTAGAGCAGGGAAGTAATGCTACTGGCATGGGAGGGAAGATGCTTCAGGGACCAGCATTGTGGTATAGAAGACTAAAACCCTGCCTGCGACTCCAGCACCCCATATCATTGCTGGTTCATATCCCAGCTGCTCCTCTTGCAATCCAGCTTTCTGTTAAGAAAGAGAATAACAAAAATTGGCCCAAGTGTTAGGATCCCTGCTCCCAGAAGGGGGACCCAGATGAAACTCCAAGTCCCTGACCTTGGCCTGACGCAACCATGGCTGTTCTGACCATTTAGGAGTGAATAGGCAATAAAAGATTGTGTCCCTCCTCTGTCTGTAACTCTGCCTTTCAAATAAATGAATCTTAAAAAAAAAGAAAAGAAACTATACTTTTTAAAAATTGATGTGTGTAAGTGTCCTAAAATAAAAATGAAACCAGCCTTTGAATGCTTTAAAGAGACGGTCTCAAACAAGATTACAACAAAAGAGATTTATTCAGAAAAATGATAGCATCTCAAAAAATGAACATGCATCCAACAGTGTCTGAGCCGGCAAAATAGGGCGGGGCCAGGGGGCGGTGTGCCGTTTTCCCCTGCACTGAGAGCGGGAGGAAATTGATAGTGGAATCACTAAAATCCAGGTAAGTGAAAACTAAGTGATGCTTAGTTCAAAACCCGAGTTGTTTTAGTTGAAATGATATCATATATAAATATGTCAAAGCGTTTGCATGTGGAAACAGATAAAGACATAAGTTTAAAACCTTGGGTGTATTACTAAAGTTGCTGTTTCTCTTTAAGGCTTTATGGAGAGGCTATTCTTGGAGGAAGAAAAATGATTGTACGAAAATTAAGGCTATTCGGCTGAGTCTACAGGCTGTTAATAAAGAGATTAAAGAAAATAACAAACTCTACAACAGAACTGCACTTGCACTTCATTACCTTTCAACTTACAAGCATCTTTCTGCCATTCTTGAGGCTTTGAAGCACCTAGGTTAGTTTGTTTTAAGACATCTTGGAAAAATTAGGAATGCTTGTAGACTGCTGTCATAGTAGAGTATTTGGTAAAACTTCATTTTGTAGCTCTGGATTTATCCAGATATATTGTTTTTCTTTCAGAGGTGGTTACTAGACTGTCTCCTCTTTGTTGTGAAAACATGGCCCAGAGTGAGGCAATTTCTAAAATTTTTGTTTTGATCCGAAGTTGTAATCGTAGTATCCCTTGTATGGAAGTCATCAGATATGCTGTGCAAGTTTTGCTTAACGTAGCTAAGGTAATTTTCCATTTTAATAATTAAATATTCATTTGTCAAAAATTGTGGATCTACAAATTAAGTTTGTGGCTCTCTTAACACTAGAACTTGGATCTAAGTTAAAATGCATTTATGTGGGGCTAGATTGGAGTGGTGATATTTGTCTGTTAACAGCTACAGATAGAAACTAATTTTTGCATGATTTCTTGTGTCTTTCTAACGTAAGCAATAGTTATGACTAACATTGAGTCTGTACTACATGCTGGGAGTTTTCATGCATTGTTTAACGGTTATCCTCTGAGATCGTGCTCCCATTTTATGGAGATTAAAATAGTGGTATTTCTAGTCATTAGTGTCCTTTTCTGAAAATCCACATGTTTTAGGTAATGGAGCTGAATCTAGATCCATTTCTTTCTTGAACTGCTGTTATCTGCTGCGCTATCCCAAATCAGTAGCACCTCAGTGAGAGTGTGTCTGTCTGGCACAATGTGACTACTGTAATTTAGATAACTTGCAATGTTCTGTGTATCAGAATGTGTAACTTTTGGCTTTGGCAGTTGATATTTATACTGAACTATTTTTGCCAGCGAAGTTATTAATATGGAAGTTTTCTCTTCCCTACCCAGTTCCTTGGAACACTACCACAACCTAGAGCAGTTTGCCCTGTATTTGCATATTGACAGGTCAGGTTAAAAGCACCAGTTCTCAGGTCTAGGTTTTGAATGTCATTTTAGATTGTTTGCCTCTAGATTTAACTCTCCCCAGCTATAAAATAGACAGAGTAGCAGGACCCTTCTCCAAATGTTATTTTAATGATTAAGAAGATTAATATACAGAAGTACTTGATACATAACCATGCTATGTAATTGTCAGCTGACTAGTGTTTTGTTATTTTTATCTTGCTATCATTTTTGTAACCACACAATTGATTATGACTATTGACACAGATGAGTGAAGTAAGATAAGTATGTACTAGACTTGCTAATGGCACATTTTTTAGTTAATTTTCATGGAAGCTTGTTTTCTGCTCAATAAACATATAATGGGACATTTAAGTAGATATTGCTGTTGCTCATGATGTTACCCCGTGATCAACTATGAGGATAAGTTCTTGTATTCCTGAAAGGTTCATATTGGATTTGATTGGTTTTGTGTGGAGCTTCTGTGGGAAGGAAAGGGGTTACAATGTGAATAGACATATAAGCTAGATCCAGCAAGGACAGTGATAACAAAAATTGTTTCATGGACATGTTTGTACTGACTGAAGGTGCTCCAACATTTTCGAAACTTTGTGTTTGATTGGGCTTTTTCTAAAGGTTTGTGTCCATTGTAATTTTTAATTTCACTCATTCTCTTTCAAGTATGAGAAAACTACTTCAGCAGTTTATAATGTGGAAAATTGTATAGATACACTGTTGGAGCTTTTGCAGATGTACCGAGAAAAACCTGGCGACAAAGTTGCAGATAAAGGTGGAAGCATTTTCACAAAAACTTGTTGCTTGTTGGCAGTTTTATTGAAGACAACAGATCGAGCCTCTGTAAGGATTAATCTTTCTCTTTCTCTCTTTTTTTTTAGAGATTATTTTTGTAGGTTCTTAAGACTATGAGTTTTCCTTTGTTTTATTTTTTTTCATTGTTTTCCATGATGCAGTTTTGTAGATTTAGTGGCTTGTCCCTCTTCCTGCCCTCTCTCCCTTTGCATTTTCCCCTCCTGCCATTTTCCCCCATGTTGAGTAAATTTTCACAGCACGGTATAAAATTAGATATGTGTAAATTCCTGTCTTCCTGTTGTAAACATGTGTTTTTTAAAGTTTTTCTAGGGTGAGATCTTTGAGTTGTTCTCTGTAACTGTTACAGTCAGCATTGGGGTTGTATAGATTTTAAGCTAACAAATGACCTTTTCCAGTTTAAGTTTTACTGTGATCACTCTGGCTACTGATTGAAGAATGAATTTGGGCAAACAGTGCAGATACTGGAGGGGGAGGGGGGCATTAGAAGGAAGGCAAGTGTAGATTAAAGTGTGGTCTAAGAAAACGGTTGTACTTGACCTAGGGTTGTATCATTGAGAGACAACTTTGAAGCTTTGGCAAGGTAAAACTTACAAGACTTGATAACTGGATGTTTTAGACATACTGACTGTAATATTTCAATAAGTTAAGTGTACAGATTTTGAATATTTGATTTTATTACAGTTACCTTATACTTTAATCATATTGAAATCGGTCTACCTGTTGAACTTAAAGAGTTTTTGTCCTTTATTTTTAAAAGATAAAAAGCTTACTGCATAGTGTTTTTTGCGATGGATGTGTTGCTGTAGAAGAGACCAAAAATACCTAATTCTTACTAGTTTTTTTTTTTTTTAATATACCTTTTCTCTTTTAGGATGTGCGAAGTAGGCCCAAGGTGGTTGACCGTATTTATAGTCTCTACAAACTTACAGATCATAAACATAAAATGGATTCGAAGAGAATACTTTACAAACAAAAGAAGAATCTTTCTTCAGGCATTCCCTTTATTCCAGAAACACCTGTAAGGACCAAAATAGTGTCAAGGTATGCAGTTAGGCAAATGCCTTGGTTCTGTGTCACTCTTCTTTGCTTCATTCATTTATTGTCCGCAGTATGTTGTTTTTAACAAGAAGCAAAATATAAGTAAGAATAGTGTAGTTGGTGAATTTAAAGAGGCAGTTTCAAATAAGTAAAGAGATAAAAAAAACTATAACTTTTAAGTATTTAGTGGTTATTTAGAAATTTTTTTCCTTAATTAGATAAGAGCTGAAACAAAGAAGCTTGTTATATGTTGTTATAATCATCTATGAAAGACAAACTACAATTTAGAAGGTGCTTGTGCAAAATATCAACATTAAGTCCTCTTATAATCACCCTAATTTTTGAAGTTTCATTTTATAGAGAAGGGTTTTCTTAGTGCATGTATACATATACATATATATATATATATTTTTTTTTTTTTTTAAAGGTAGAGTTAGAGAAAGGGAGAAAGGAAGAGACAGAGACTTTAGTCGTCTGGTTCACACTCCCCAGTGGTTGCAACTGCTGAATCTGCCCCTAATTTTCATTTGGCCTTCTCCTCTTTCTTCATTCTTTGTGTCCCTCATGAGGACATATTGTTGTTGAGTTTAGGTCCCCCTCACATGATTCACAATGATCTTGTCACAAGATCCTTTACTTTGATATATCTGCAAAAGCTCTTTCCAAATAAGGCAACACCCATAGGTTCTTTGGATTACATGATGGATATTTCTGTGTGCTGTACCATGCAATCTACTACAAGACCTATGGAATCCATAGATTTAGCTAGTTTAAGATATTGATTACTTTTAAAGTTTATAGAAAAATCAGTGCTTGCTTACCTGGTTAAACATACAGATTCTCTATCACCATAAAGCATGAAAGACTGAAAATGGTATGGAGCTGTATGTACTACAAGGGACTGAGGTCTCAATGTGGTAGAAAGATTCATTTGCTAGTTATATTAAACCAGATGAATGAATCAGAAATGTTGGTTAGAGAATGGAGGTCTCAACTGAGATTTCAATGACATTGTATTTCTGATGATGACAAGACTAGTATATGCCTAAATATCTAACAGTTAGTGAATGGACAGAGTCTACCAGGAGAAAGAATTGGTTGAGGTAGAACAGAACAGGCAAAAACTGACCAGCTTGTTGAGCTTTGGGCCATGTGTATGCTGACTCATGGAACTGGTGCAGGGAGCTGAGAGATGACCAAGAAGCAGGTGCACAAACACTAAGACACCGGGGTCTGTTTCATACGCCAAAGGCAAAGGCAGAGATAAGTAGAAGCAACATCAGGGAAGCCAGTGTTGGGGAGGATGGAGAGGAATAGTGTGGAACTCAGACTGGGCCACTGCGTGACGCCTTCCACCTCTCTGACAGAGTTGTAAGGAACACCAAAGAGAAAACTGAAGGCATCTCTTTTATTAATACTTTATTAATACTGTATTTTTTCTTAACAGACTTAAACCAAATTGGGTTTTGAGAAGAGATAATATGGAAGAAATCACAAATCCCCTACAAGCTATTCAAATGGTGATGGATACACTTGGTATTCCTTATTAATAAATGTAAACAGTTTCAGCATATACAGTGTACAGAAATATTAACTAATCATGAATATGTAGTGTTTTTTGCCTTTTTTGTTTAAAACTTAAAATTTGACATTGTATTAATATTAAAATTTGCATGTATGTATAACAAAAAAATGTTATAGTCCTCATTGTTTCTTTTATTATTTAATACCCTTATGTATATAATAAACTGGTCTAAGATGATTATCAGACTTTGTCATTCATGCATGTTAAAATATTGGAACATTTAAATACAATCACGTTCTGAAAGAGGAAAAATAGCTTATTGCCAGTGTTTCATAGACCGTATTTTTTCCAGAGAAATAGCAGAACTTGAAGATTCTGACGACTGGATAGAGTAAGCCCACACGAATGTCTGTGGGCACAGCTCATTTGTTTCCTTGACTAGCTAGTATATCCTAAAGCAAAGAAGCCCCCGTGGGAAAGTTAAGAAAAATTCCATCTGCTACCACATATTCTAATAATCATTAGCTTTGAACTGATTGGGTTATGATTTGAATTTAAAAGAGCATGCTATTGCTTATAACAAACATGTTTATGTACCTACCACAGACCTGGAAATGATTCAATGTTGAAACGTTAGTGTGTGAATTTCTTAGGCCGCAGGAAGTCTAAATTCTGATTGCCATTTGAAATCTGATTGAGTTCAAAAGTCTGTTTGTGTTTGCATATGGCATAGAAGTTTTAATTATTTTGAAAAACATGGTAGTGGCTAGAAAAGATGAGGCTCTTTACTTAGTATATATTAGAGCAGTTTAAGGATTATGCCCGACTGGACTGCAGTTGTCTGTTTATGATTAGGTCACAATAGACATAAATATACTAGTTTGTTTAAAAAATATATAGAATTAACTTGGAGTAGGGCCCAGTGTCGTGGCCTAGCGGCTAAAGCCCTGGCCTTGAATGCTGGGATCCCATATGGGTGCCGTTTCTAAACCCAGCAGCTCCACTTCCCATCCAGCTCCCTGCCTGTGGCCTGGGAAAGCAGTCGAGGACAGCCCAAAGCTTTGGGACCCTGCACCCACGTGGGAGACCCGGAAGAGGTTCCTGGATCCTGGCTTTGGATCGGCATAGCATCGGCTGTTGCGCTCACTTGAGGAGTGAATCATTGGACAGAAGATCTTCCTCTCTGTCTCTCTTCTTGGTATATCTGACTTTGTAATAGAAAATAAATAAATCTTTTTAAAAAATTAGCTTGGAGGTTTTGCTTTTTAAAAATTTGTTGCAGTAAAATTTTAAAAGTCTTCATACTAAATGTTTTTCAAATAATATTTTTTGTTTTTTCTTCCATTGCTTAATGTTTCTCCTCCATTTAACAGTCGCAATGCAATTTCACTTTGACATTCTATTAGGATATAACTGATCATCATACAAAATGCTATTACTACAAATTTCTCTAAGCTAGCTATAACCAGTTAGTAGCATAAGGCATACAGATAAATATGCAGGATGACTTTCAGCTTTTAATTTAACATTGTATCTCAGGCTGTAAAACCTGAATGGACCTTCAACCCACACACTTCCTATCCGACTAGATTGTACTAATTGTTCCTAACGCGGGCAGTAACGTCAGTCATCCTGGGTCCTCCCAGAGAGAGCTGTTCTGTTTGCCAAGGAGTGAGAGGGCCAGTCCTGCTGTTAGAACAAGACCGCACACAGCCCTGTTTGAAAAGTTGGAAGTTGTGTGATGCATTCTGGAATTACTACGAGGAAATACACTCTCAAATTCAATGTAGGAATATTATGTTTTGGACGTAGGTATTGATCTTGCATACCCGAGTGCAGTTCCAGTCCTGGGACAACCAGATAAGGCAAGATAAAATGTGAGGTATGAAAGAGATAAAGTGTGATTTTCTCATCATCATTATATAATTACGTTACATTTGCGTTTTTGCTTCCCAGTCCTAGATGACTTTCTTGCAGTCTCCTTGACTGAACACATTCATTTAATCAACTTCAGCATGCTTGCCAAATATTTTTTTCCTACATTTTTAAAAAACCATACCAATTTTTACTAAGATTGCTATTCTGAAAATCTTAAGCAATAGATACATTTATTCACTTGCTATTTGGAGAGTAAACTAACAGATGGAAGGCATCTCTATGTGTCTTCAACTACATAACTAGCTTTTAATAAATCTTACAAAAGGAAAATGCAAAGACAAGTACAGCCTAGGTAAAAATCTATACAAATCTCACATTTAGTCAATAACTCCAAAATACTGACTCTCAAAGGATTAAAATTAAAAAGCCTCAGTGTAAAAAGCAGCTAAGACCTGTCTTTATAGTAGTTTTGTTTTTAGTGTCCCTATTTTTTAAGATTTATTTAATTTTATTGGAAAGGCATATATACAGAGAGAAGAGAAAGGAAGACCATCCATTTAATGGTTTGCTCCCCAAGCAGCCGCAACAGCTGGAGCTGAGCCAATCCAAAGACAAGCCAGGAGCTTCTTCTGGGTCTTCCATGTGGGTGCAGGGTCCCAAAGCATTGGGCCGTCCTTGACTGCTTTCCCAGGCCACAGGCAGGGAGCTGGATGGAAAGTGGGGCCGCCAGGATTAGAACCAGAGCCCATATGGGATCCTGGGGCGTTCAAGGCGAGGACTACTGTGCCGAGCCCTGTTGTCCCTGTTAGTTATGACATTTGACTTGAGATTTTTGCCAATAAAGTAATTTATTTATTTATTTATTTATTTATTTATATTTCGCTGTCCCCTCTTCAAATCCCCTCCCTTCCAACAAATTCCCTTATATTATTACTATAACATAGTTCACCATAAAGGGTCACATGTTCATTATTGCGGCATGGACGGTGGCAGAGTCAAGCATCCCATTGTCAAGATACAGCTTATAGTTTCATTAGTAGTCCATCTTTGATCTGGAAGTAGAGATGCACACTGCACTGCATCCTCACATCTGGACATGATAGTATTCATTACATAGTCTCCACATGTCCCCTAAATGAAAAACAACAAGACAAAATCAACAACAGGAAGAAAAATGGAAAACTTACAAACTATGAATTTCTCAAGAGGTTGTGATGGTTCAACAGTCCTGAATTGTTGGCAATCCCGCCACTCCAATCATGATGAAATCTCTCCCGAATCCACTGGCTGCTATAGTCTACCTTAGTGTCTCTGCCCAGATCTTCACTGCCAACGCTTGGCTGTGATAGCTGATCAATTTGTTCTGTCCTCCACCTTCTGCCATGGTACCAGGTGTCCTCTGGAGGCTCCAATGTAGTGCCACATCCTTCATGTACATTTGGATATTCTGTCCACTGCTCTGCGCCACTGAGGAGGCCCAGCTCTGTGAAGGTAATAGTTTTAATTCATTTTCCCCTGCTTTCCATCCAAAGACTATGACATGGCCTGGTATGTGGTAGACACTTAACACACTTTTCATGAACGAAGGATGATACAGCACAGTGGTGGTCTCATTCTCTGCTACCGAGTTCGAACCCTCTAAATGTTCAACATTACCATTTTTAATAATATCTCTGTCATTATCTGAGACAAGTAAGATCACTTAATCTTCCTAAGGAGCATAAACCAGATAGTACACATTATAACACTGGGCATTGTTTTATGTTCCTAAGTTCATCTCTGCACTTGATCAATACAAGCAAATATCAGTGGCACCAGCGGACTTTACTCTGAGAACACACAGCTGGGAATTCATGTTGAAATACACCCGCCCTTCCACACAGTTCTTGGTAGTATTTATGCTCCTGTGATTGTCAGCTGTCTTGTTGATCATGTTCTTACTGGGCTTGGGTATGAAAAGTAATGACAGCTAAGGTGCTTGTGTTATTCTCATGTTCTTTGAAAACATTTTCAGTGTATGGTATGACATGGTAGCAGGACTTACATAGACGTTGTAAATTATTAACTTTCCCTTCGAGAGAAGCAATGTGTACTTATTGATGATTACCTAGTGTTCCAGAGTTGTCAAACTCTATCTGAATCACACCACTGAAGATGAGCCTGAGAGAGTTGCCTTTTATTATCATACTAATAATCTCAGGAGAACTCTATGCAGAAGAAGGTAAAGTCTTAATATTCTTTATTTTCTAAAAATATAAGTGGGAATTCTAACATTCATATAGCTTGAGTCTTGATATATTAGTTCATTTTGATATATAAACTTTATAAGATAGTTTTCGTAAATATAACTTGGCATAGTATTTTCTTAAGAGTTATTTATTTTCTTTGAAAGAGTTGCAGAGATCTTCCGTTCCCTAGCTCACTCCCCACATGGCCGTACAGGCTTGGGTTGCGCCAGGCCAAAGCCAGTACCAAGACTTTGATCCAGTCTCCCAGGTTGGTGCAGGAACCTGAGGACTGAGACCGTTATCCTGGATCTGGATCACAGGCAGAGCAGCCAGACTCCAACTAGAGCCCGTATGCGATGCCAGTGTTGTAGGTGGTGGCTTAATCTCTTCTTAATCTCTTATGCCACAACACTGGCCCTTGTCAGAGCATTTAGATAGACTTGCTTGGGAAAATCTTCCTGGGAAACTTTAATAAGCTGTTTTCTTCACTGCATAATTTAGTAGAACAAAACAATACCAAAATCCTTTATATCCATCCGTAGGTTTGAGGCCACAGGAAAACACAAGCCGTGTTAAAGTGCGTTCCAGCTAGTCACAGGCATTCTGAAACTTACTTGTTGGCCTGAATTCTACTTCCGTTCTAGAATCCATGCTTTACAACATGTTCACATTTAAAAAAATCTGTTCACATTGTAGAACTTACTATGGGAAGTTTGAAAAAAAAAACAAACCATAAACCATCAACAAGATTTTCAAGTCATGACACATTGTTTTTTTATCCCAATGACTTATGCATTTAAAGTCATAAAACAGGTTGTTAGGAAGACCATGTGACTTACAAACAAAGACACTTGGAAGGGTAAGCAGGGTTCTATTATGTTTGGATAACAGGCATAAATCAGATCTGTCTGGGCAGGTTGTCATCTGAACGTTCCATAAGTAGCAGAAATATTTACGGCAGACTGCCTGGTATGTAAGGTTAGTGTGA